ACAATTCCAATAATCAAAATTGTTTATCAAATTTATAATGAATTCATTTCATACAAAAGTAATTATTTTCTCATGTTATAGAAAATTATTCCAAAATTTTGGATTTTTTAATCATATTAAAAGAAAAAAGTTTTTCTTTTTGATAGGAATAATATGAAGCATTGAAAGAGTTATTTTTACAAATTATTCATCAAAATAAAGCAAAATATAACAACTGTTTATTTGAGTTTTCATTAAATCATTCGTAATATTTATTAATTTAATATAACTAATCCTTTCCCATAAAAAAAAAAAGAAAATGTAACAAAATTTAATTGTTCATCATTCTCTCTCTCTCTCTCTCTTTCTCTCTTTATTTTTCTCCGTTCTCTCCATTTCTTTCCAATTAAATAATTAAGTAATTCTAAATTAATTAGAAAAAAATTATGTTTTCACTTAACAGTTTGTTTCAATTTATATTACTACTACTTAAAATTGAAATTCGCTATTCTTTTTCACTTTTAACTATTTATTTATTTTTTATTATTTGTATTTGATAAAAAAAACTTTCGTTCAATATAAATTTATTTTAGAAAAAAAAAAAAATGATTGGATAATGAATATTAGATTAGTGGATCGCAAAATTAAAAAAAAATAAAAAACGAAAACGAAATGGAGGGAACTTTTTTGTTTTAGGACAACATTTTATTGGATTTTTTCTTTTCTTCCTTACTAAGTATTTTACATTTGATTTCAATAAAATCTAAATGACAAATTTCAGAAGTATAATTGAAATTCGCTTCAGAATATAATGAAAAAGAAATTTTTTTTTTTTTTGTTTCGTTTATAATTTAATATTGTTAGGTAATCGAAAAAATTAGTTGATGAAGACGAGCGATTATAAATTTAATTATCCTTAAGAAGAAGAAAAAAACGAAGAAAGAAGAAAAGGAATTATTGAAAAATTCAAAGTTATGCTGCCCATGAACGTGAAATTATTATCATTGTTGTTATTATCACTATTGTTATCACTATCATTATCAGTTCTGTTATGAAAATTCTACAACTATTGCTGATGTTCCAATTATCTTGCACTTATCAGTTACAAATTTCATGCAAAAATATTGATCAGGTAAAAATTAAATTTAAGTTTTATTTTTCCATTTTTTCCACGTCTGTTACAAATTCCATTTCAAAGAAAAAAAAAAAATGACGTTCTTGTTTCTTTTTTAAATATATCATCAATAATTATTTTAAGTATTATTCTAGTAAATCATTTTGAGTTTTTCATTTTTTATCACGTAATGCTATCATTTTTAAAATTTTACACCTAATAAAATTAAATTAAATTAAGAGAATTTATTTCTGTTTTTTCTGTTTTTTTTTTGTTTCTCTTATTCAAATTGGTTTTAAAAATTAATTGATATCAATTTTCGAATGCAGTACGTAATATTGTAATAAATAAACTGTAATTTAGTGCGAAAAAAAAGTTAAATTCTCTTTAAATCATAAATTTTTTCATCTAAAAGATAATTTAGTTTTGTGCTAATAAATTTTTCGCCACTTTTTTTTACACAAGGAAATGAAAAATTTAAGTAAACTCTTCAAAATATGTGATAACATTGTTCGAAAGAGCTATTCAAATTTATTTCTAATTTTAGTTTTTTATTTTATCTTTTTTCTTTTCTTGAAAAAGGCGGAAAAAATTTGAAGAAATATATTGAATAAAAAAGAAGGATATTGACAAATTTGAAAGGACATTTAAAAGTGCTTGTTGAATTGAATTTTTTTTTTTTGAACAACTAACTCTTTTCTTTTTTTCTTTTTCAAACTTTTTCTTTTATTTTTTGCAACAAACAAAATACTTTGCAATTTTTTCTTCCAGGTAAATAAAAAATCGATTTTTTTATGGTCAATTGAAAGAAATAATATTATTGAAGGTTATATGTTTGGAACAATTCATGTACCATTTACTGAAGTTTGGGAAGAAGGTAAATATATTGAACAAATTTTAATGTATTACTTTTTTCTGTTATCAGTTAATGAAATTTCAATTTATCATAAAATTTAAAAACTTTTTTGTATTTTATTATTAATCGATTTGTTAGATGTTTACAGCATTAAAACAATTAAGCATTTTAATAAATATAAATTGGAAGAATCCATCTTGCAATCTTGCATTTGTTTACTTTGCAAACAATTTTATTGAATTAATTAAAGGTTAAAAAATTTAATTAAATGATAAAGTAAGGCTTGTTAGATTTATATAATCATAGTTATGCTAATATATCACTTGCTAAATTAAGCAGATAATATTTTCTATACATGGCGTTATTGTCAAATGTCAACGATAAGGCTAATTGATTTATTTACAAATAATTTGCAAAAAAAAAGAAAAAAAAATTACAATAATTATTTTTGCACATTGTAAATTGTTAAATTTTTTCCTCAACTAATTTATTCCTAAAAAATTTTATAATTTCCAATATTAACATTATCAATATTTTTGCAAATCAATTAGTACAATGCATGCATCTAAAATATTGATTTAGAATAAACAACAAAAAAATTGCAACTAAGAATTGCATCCATCGTCCAGAAATAATTGTTTTATTTTTTGTCAAAATTAAATAATTAAATTAGCATTTATTTATTTTTACTAATTGATGCATTATTATATTGACAAATTCGATAAAATTGTATACCATGCAAAATGCAATTGAATACATTATTGCATGCTGCAAAAGTTATAGTATAACAAAAGGATTGGAATGATTTGGTAGAAAAAGCTTTTAAATAAATGTCCCATTTGGATTTGCGTTTCCATTAAAATTGCAAAAGCATTTCAATAACCAATAATAATAGATTCTTGAGTAAAAGCAAATCATTTGTGATCATTGAAGTAGAAATTAAAGTAAGAGCAATTTGCAGCATAAATCTATTGTTGATCGTTCAGGAAGTAATTACTCTATGAACTTAAATTACACATATTCCATTTTTCTCTTTTATTTTTCCCCGCTCATTTCCGATATTTCTCGCTTTTACATCTTTTTTTTTTTTTTTTTTTCATTTACCTAATTGCTTCAATTATTCCATTTTGATCATTTTTTATGATTTCATTTTTTTTTTTTTCTTTAATACATTATTAATAATTTGTTACTATTTTCAACATTTTTACTCTAAAATATTTTAAAAATAATTTTTTCTTTTATAAATTAAATGGCACAAATATTTTTAATCGTTGAAAATTTTTTGGTAACTTATTGGTTATAAGCAAATGAAAATTTTTGGAAAAGAAAATGAAAGGCTGTTTTTTTTCTTCTTATTTTTAAATTTTAATTTCGTTTTTAAAATAAAATAAAATATTTTGCAAAAAAAAAAAAGAAAAGAAAAGAAAATATAGATATTTGTCTAAAAGAAGAAAAAAGAGTTGTTATGTTAAGTGAAATAAATAATAAAATTCATTTCTTCATGATTTTATAAGTGACAAAATTCAAAAAGATCGTGGTAATGATCAATGGAACATTTATTTCCATATCAAACAATTAAAGTTAAAATTTCACTTAAATTATTATTCCATAATAAATGCTATGCAAAAAATGAACTTAATTAATTTGTAATATTAAATTAAATTTGAATAACACTATATATAATCAATGAAAATAATTTTGATAAGAATATAATTTCATATCAATCAAAAATAATCATTCCCAATTTACAGCTATACAAAATGCATTTTATATCAAATTCGATTGTAATTACAGTATCGGAAAAAGTAAAAACGGCATTTGCGCGATCAGATTCGGTTGTTTTTGAATTGGATCTTTACAATGCAAATACAATTGAACAATTATCGAAATGTAAAAATATTCCGGGCGGTGGTACAGTGAAGGATTATTTGTCGCCCAAATTGTATCTAAGGCTAGAACATTGTATAATTTTTTTTTTTTATCATGAATTTCCTTCGTTTTTTATTAATGAAATTTTAGTTTAATAAATATTAAATATTTCTAATTAATTAATCGATTACATTTAAAATGTCATCATATTAGTTTATTATTTGTTAGGCAGAAATATTAAAATTCGAACAAATTCTAAAACCTGACATCTTTTTTGCATTCAAAATTTCAGAATTTCTTTAGCATTCTATTTGTTTGTTTGTTTGTTTTTTTTTTTTTTTTTTCGATCTTTTCTTTATTATCTCAGTAATCTTAATTTTATTGCATAAGGCTAATAAGTAGTTTTGTGCAGAATTTAAAAAAAAAATACAGGTAGTATTGATGAAATTACCAGTGTTCAAATAAAATTCAAATGATTTCAGCTTTAATTTTAGTTTTTGTTGTTGATTTAAAACATTTTTTATTATCTGATTATATGGTAGTAGTAAATAAAAAAAAAAAAAAAAAAAAAAAAATAAAATGAAATGAATTTGCTATTAAAATCGATATGGAATTAAAAAAAAAAAGGAGTGATCATTTATTTTATTAGCATATATGATGGAATTTTATAATTTCAGTGAAATTAAATTGAAATTTGTGAGCATGAAGTAAAAAAAAAAGAAGGGGAAAGAGAGAGAGAGGGAGGGAGAAAGAAAAGAGAGAGATGTGGTAAAAAAAAGCTATGCTATTCAAAAGCAATTTAATGATATCATAATATTAGACAAAACGAAAAAAGACTTTGAGATAAGCAAACTTTTAAATTTTGAGACTAATTTATTGAATATCACAGAATTTATCAATAAAAGGACGAAAAAAAAAAACTTAGCACTTTTTTTGAAAAAATTTTTCATATAGTATTTTGTGGTTGAAAAAATGAATAAATAATTAAATTAATTAAAAATAAAATAGCAAAACTGCCTGCTTTTCCATTATTTTTGGACAAATCTATTTGTCTACAATAAATTGAAGTGATGAATTTTTAGACTACAAATTTATTTTACATAATTACAAAAAAAAAAAGAAAAAAAAAACAGTTTGTAATTTATTCTATAAGAAAAAAAAAAAAAAAGAAACCATTGAGATATGAGAATTTATCGGAATCATTTGGAAAGACAATATGATCGAAAAGAAAATTTACAATCCGATTCAGAAATCAGGAATCATCCTCGCGATATGATTGGAAATATTGTCGGTATGTAACAAATGTTGATGAAAGAAATAAATAATTTCATCAAATGAAGTATTTTTTTTTTTCTTTATATCTTTCATACATTTATATTTTATTTACATAGCAAATAAAATGCGAAAAGAAAAAAAGTGATATTTGCATGTATAATATTAGTTGAGCATATATATTAACCGTATTGTTTACTTTCATTTATGTTTATATCTGTAAACGGTAAAAAGATAATTCTACCCGCAAGGTAAATATCATTGTTTACCTTGTTCTGACCTCGAGATAATTATTTATGAACAGTAATTTTGATGCATTTTCTGAAGAATTAATTAAAAAAAAAAAAAAAAGAGAAAAGAAAAAAATAACATCACTAACAAGACATCATTAAAATATGTTACTAATTATAAGTTATTGTTTGTAAATTTCATTGATATAAATTAAAATTGAATTTTTTTTCTTATAATTTTTATCATTCAAAACTTTATTTTATTTCTTTTTCCATTCAGAAGGATGGGAACGACGACGACCGGTTTGGTTGCTATTCCTATTGTATCAATTAAGCGAAAAATACCTTTACCGTGAGCATACACCAATGCTTGATTTATTTCTTGCTCAATATGCGCTTGAACTTAATAAAAAACTTTATTCAATTGAAACTGCTACTGAGGTTAGATTTCAAATTTTAAGATTTCCAAACAATTTTAAGATTAAATTTAAAATTAAATATTTCTAAAATTTAATTAATTTGAAATATTCAATTATTCAACTACTTACTTTAAAAAGAAATACTAATTATTTAACTATTATAGTTATATGTATTATACATATAATTATATGTATATATTATGCAAAGCTATTCTTTTTTCTTACATCTTTTCCATCTATTAGTTTAATAAATGAAACTATTAATTTATTTAAAAATAAATTTTTTTCGTGATTTCAACAAAATGAATACATTTTGAACAATGTAATTCTTTTTATTATATTTTAATTCAATTTAAATGCAATTTTTTGATAATAATTAACAGACAGCTATTAGTAAAAATAATTATTAATTCAAAATTATCTATCAAATTTTTTTAATTAATAAAAAAATAATCAAAAATTATCAAATTAATTCATTGTTTAAAAAAAAAAAAAAAAAAAAAACGGCTAACAATTTCAATCATTTTTTAAATAACTAACAGATTTATAAATTGAGCCATCTTTTATTTTTCAGCAATGTAATCCGCTTCGTTCAGTACGTATGGATCAGGTTAGTAAAAATTCTCTAAATGGAAAAAACTTATTTCATGATTTTATAAATATTAAAGAAAAATTAATTGTTTACTCAATAATAATCGATGAAATGATATAATAAAACAAAGTCCTCTAAAATTTCTTGTCAATTGTTTATGCAATATATTAAAAGGGATCTTTTAGCAATTCCTGTCAATCATTTTATTTACTATTTTTAAAATTATTGAGTAGAATGTAAATTTTTTACTATTGAAACAAAAAAAAAAAGTCATTAAATAAATCAATATAAACAACAAAAATTTCACCAATTCTATCACACTTTTTTTTTTTTTTTCATGGTTATTTCATGTATTTTATTCAGAAAAAAAATCTTTTTTTTTTTTTTATGTATAATTTTATTTGTTATTTCATTTCAAATTTCTAATAAACTATATAATTGAGAAAAAAAAAAGTTAGTATGTGATAATTATAAAAATAACTGGACAGTTAAATGGATAATTACTGGATAAACAATTCAGAATTTTCCTATACAAGCAATTAGTTTGTTAGTAATTAAAGTGAAAACAGTACATTAGTATGCATTAAGAATAAACTGATATTTTAGAGACACGAGCAGATGGAAAATTGTTACAATCATTTGCTTCTTTAATTTGTTTTAACCTTTAACCTTATGGTTAAATATTTTACTAATTAATATTTGTATCAAATATAAATGCATATAGAAAATGTAACTTGTTAAACTTCATCATTTCAATCATTCTGTTTTATCATTGACTGATTCCTTGTTAATATTTAATGTATCGATTATGATATTTCAATTGTTTTAATGACTTTGAATGAAAACATTTCTTTTATTATTAATCTAATAAACTAACATTGGAAATTTAATATTACATTTAGACAAGAACTAATGACAAATGAATTGCAAATTATTATTAATTCAGTTGCTATATTCAGAATAACATTTTCCAGTTACTATTTGCAATTAATTATACGTTATCATATCTGGAATTTGAATTTAATTTAACAATGGCTGGAATGCAATCAAATAACAGTGGTATTGTTAATTTAATTAATAGTTATAAGTGTGGTTCATTGGATGAATCGCTATTCAATACTGATTCCAAACGATTTATTCATCAAGGATTTAGTATTACAGTGGAACTTGATCGAAAAGCTCAAGAAGTAAAGTTAATAATATTTTATTTCAATTTGATAAAATGTAATTTAAAAATTTTAAGATTACTTTGAGGTTTTTTTGTTATTTTTTTCTTCCGAAAGATATTCTAAAAATCAATAATTTACTATCTAAAATGAATTGCAACTATAACAGTAAAACATTCTAAACATTTCAAACATATACACATACATTATAATTGAATGAAAAAGAAAACTTTGATTTCAAATCTTTACATATATTAAATATTATATTTTAAATTGAAAAAAAAAAAAAAAAATTCTACAGATTGATAATCAACTTCGTCAAGATATTATTGAACGACGAAACATTAGAATGGCTGATCGTATCGCTAAATTATTACGATGGAAAGTGGGCAGTCAATATTTCTTTGCTTTAGGAGCCGGTAAGATATCCTGAATTAAACTGAATTGAACTGAAGAATTTCTTAATTATTTATTCTGCATTTTTTTTTTTTTTGAAATAAAATTATTTCAAGTACTTTTTATTAGATGATTTTCATAGCTTTCCGTTTTTCTTCTTACTTCGTGAAATATTTCAGTGTTTACAATACAATAACACTTTATTTACTACTACTAATAATACAATCACTGATTAATTCATTCCATCTCATTCCATTCATTCATTCATTTTCAGAAAATCCTATAATTTGTAACAGTTTTTGTATATTAAACAAGGAAATAAATTCTAGTATTATCAAATTTCATTTTTGATAAGTGTTGAAACTATTAAAAAATATCAATTCATTAAAAAAAAAAACAGATATTTTCAACTTAATTGATTATTTTATATGCATTGTACTAATTGTTCATCTATTGATATTAAAGAAAAAGTAAAAAAAAAAAAAAAAAAAAAACAATGAGAATTAACATTTCAATTTTGTAGATAAACAATTAGTCTTAATCATAAAAACGATTTTTTTTTTTTTGCTTTTTTGTTTGACTATTTGGACAAAAAAGCAAGTTACTCATTTCATGAAATTTTAGCAGTAGTTCACTTCAATTTTCTCAGGAAAAAACTAGCTAATTCTTTGAAAATACATAAACTTGTCCTATTTAATGCATAATCTAAAAATTCATTTCTATTGCACGATTATTGATAATCTATCTAACATTTGATTGATTTATTTACTAAAGTTACTATGAAATCCTGAAACATTATGAGTAATTAAATCACACTAACTAGCTAGTTTTCATGAATAAAATTTCTTAATTTTTCTAACTGATTGTACTAAAAAATAAGCATAAAACGCTTCCAATAGGTTCCAATCAAATTTATGATGAAAAAAAATTTTGATAAAAGAAGGAAAATAAATCAACTTTTTAGTATCAAAATTTGCTATTTAAATATATATATTTTCTAGATATCTATATAAAGGTATTGGTTTTTGACATGCAATTTTTTGAACTATAAAATATAGGAGAATAGGATGGCAGTAATTTTGGAAATTAATAGAGGATTAAACCTTAAATATATAAGAAATTAAGAAATGTCATATGCGCCACGCTGCTATTACAACAATCATATTAGCTACTAAAATATTTTATACTATCTGAAAGGTAAGAAGAAATTCTTTTGAATAATATAGATGCGAACTTTTCCAGCATATCTGTCCAAATTGTAAATCATATAAAATCAGAATGTGATCCTGTCTAAAACTTTCAGGTCATTTCATGGGTAGTAAGTCAATCTTGGCACTTTTGGAAACTCATGGATTCGTTACAAAGGTTGTTACGGAGAATGATGAGATTAGGTGAGTAGTTTCATCCATAAATTTTTTATTTTTGCCGTATAAATCTACAAATTTACAAAGCTGTATGCTTTATCAGTGACTGATATGCATATGGCAACAAAATAAGAACGGCAAAAATTAAAATTATCAGAAACAGCTCAAATATTTAGTTTTCGAGAACACGTAAACGATAGGCAAGTATATGTATTCAACGAGTTATGGGTACGCGATGATGATATAACAACTGATTCAGCAATTGATATTACGCTTACGGTGGGCGAATTACCCAATAGTAGAAGTCCAGTTAATGAAAGCCAGTGTCAAATCATCATTTTCATTGTGATGATTACAATTTCATTCATCATGTCATAATATTGTCGTTTCAAATTTAATACTCATATGTTACTTCGCTATCCATATCATTGATATGAATAACTGTCAAAATCCTAATAAAATCCAAAGATTATTCAGTGTTTTAAATGCTAAAAAGTTTGTTTAACATTTAAAACATTTCTTGTTATATCGAATGTATGTAAAAATTCCATAATTAAATCCATGAGGTATCTTCTGAGCATAACGAAAAAGTAAAAGGAATTTCATTTATTTTCTATTTACATATGGAAGGAATGGATTATTTTAGGCATTTGTAGAATCTAACAACCCTGCAAGCTTATGATAACTGTAAAACTAATTAATCCAAAGCACCTGCAAAACAGTAATAGTTCATAAAAGCAGAAGAAAGCACAAAATCCATCCTTCCTTCCATATGTAAATAGAAAATGAAACAAACAAGGCCACGACCACCAGTAGCACATGATATTTTATTGTCTGGACTTAAGTTCGAATTCCCTCACTATCCTCCAGAAATATATGTATAATGATCCTCCAGAAATATATGTATAATGACATCATCTAGAGAGATGTATATTTTATCAAAGAAACCCAAACTACACTCAACCCGAACTGTTCATACCCTAGTTTATATATTCACCGGACTTAATACGAAACATAAATCGAAAACATAGCGGAATGTACAGTACCTTCTTGAACTACCGTTAATTTGAAAATTTTCTGCAATTCAAGAAGATGTTGGAGAGTGTTAACATCAAAAAATGTTAGAGTTATTGTTAGTATTAAAACATGTCTTTTTCCTCAACAATCTAAAGTCCTATCCGCAGTGTAATTCAAAATATTTCTAGGTTAAATTATTGAAAACTTTACGATCGATCGATAACAATTAAGAAAAGGTATTGCCTACTGTAGTTAACTGTGTAATAAATGAAATGATAACGCATGGGACCCTAAATGTCCGAAGAATTCTGATAAAGATGGATAGTTAGAAGTGTTGAAGAAAAGAAAAAATAAATGAGAGCAAAAACAAATATTAAGCTGAATATTAACTATTCCGATAAAAACAACACTGAGTAACATTAACAAGGACTTTCATCTAATACATGGAAAACAACACGTATAGTCTGAGGATGGATTTGTATTCCTGTAACCACAATTTTAGATTTTCTTCATCAGAGCTTTTGCCATCATTGCACCCATCTGCGCTGGTGATGCCGAGACCTAAATATTCCAAATGCAACAGTCCTTATTTGCAAAATGTCAGTACAAAAAAATTACGTCTGAGATATATCAATCAATCTACTCCATATGTTGTTACAAATAAGCACATTTATTCCTAACCAATCAATAGTTTAACTTGTATTTATTCATTCGTTAAGCTATCAGTAGGTAAAGATTAGTTCCCACTATATCACGCTATAGAAAAATTCTAAAAAACTTGAGGAAAACAAAAAAAAAAACTGATTGCAGTTTTAAAAGCACCCTGTCCGTTGTATGTTGATTTTGGACAATCAAAGCTACCATACGTGAATAATATTTAATAAAAGATGTCTTGATATAACTTCAGAAACTTTTTAAATGACTTACGAGGACACCAACACTTTTCAAAGCTTCAATTTTATCAGCGGCAGTTCCTTTACCACCCGCAATAATCGCACCGGCATGTCCCATTCGCCGACCTGGCGGTGCAGTCTGCCCGGCAATGAATGATACTACTGGCTTAGCATTTGATCCCTAAATAACTTAAGTTATCGTAGTGAAATCTTTCCAGAAGAAACTATAAATTCATTTCACCATACTTTCATATCCAGTATATTAACAAAAAGAAATACCGAATTATTTTCCTTTAAAAACTCTGCAGCTTTTTCTTCATCTTGTCCACCAATCTCGCCAATTAAAATAATACCTGCAAAAATAGTAGTGTATTTCTTTTGCTTTAATTCATGAAATGGAAAAAAGAAGGCTTAGAAATCAAAATATAAAAACCTAACCCTTAGTTTGAGGATCTCTCAAGAAAATATCAAGACAATCAATGAAATTTGTGCCATTGAATGGATCACCACCAATGCCAACACATAATGTTTGTCCAAGACCACAAACCGTCGTCTGGTGAACTGCCTCATATGTAAGAGTTCCAGATCGTGAAACAACGCCAATAGTTCCTTTTCGATGTATATGTCCCGGCATAATACCTATTTTGCATTCTTCCGGCTAAAAGTTTGGGCAAAAAATTAAACCAACAGAAGAAAAGAACACTTGTAAATAATTTTTAGTGAAAATACAATATTTTTAAAAGGAAAAATTTAGCACGGGTGTCTGATTTACAAATATACATAAAATGCTTTATTTAGTTTCTAGTGACTTAATATTCAATAAAAATTGGAGCATACACAAATTATCCCTGGACAGTTTGGACCAAGCAGACGAGTCTTGTTCTGTTTCATTAGTCTATTTCGAACTTTAACCATATCTTGTTGTGGAACACCTTCCGTAACACAAACAACCAGTGGAATTTCCGCATCTATTGCTTCGTCGATCGCTTTAGCTGCAAAGCGTGCCGGTACATAAATAACTGATGCATCCGCACCTGTTGCTTCACGAGCCTGAAATTTTGTGACACATTCTTACAGGGGAAAATATATCGATATACAATAAGACAACAAATCAATACATCGAATTTAACCTATTTGATCATCTACCATAGTAACCTTCCAGTGTAGCACTTATTTCAAATTTCAGAAGCGATAGAATATCAGCTCAATATATATTGTCTGAAAGCAAAGTCAATAAAAATCAGCCTGTTCACTAATAAAACTGATAAAAATCCATAAAATGCAATATTTAAACTAACTTCTTTAACAGTACCAAAAACAGGTCTTTCAAGATGCATTGTACCGGCTTTGTTTGGAGAAACACCTCCAACAACATTAGTATTATAATTGATCATTTGCTGGCCATGAAAAGTTGCCTAAAATAAAGCAGTGAACTTCCGCTAAGTCTAATTTCTCTGACTACCTAAATCTTGTCTTCAAAAAACATCAAGAACCATCAAAATAGGCAGTCTTCCAGCTGAGACGTGGCACATGATAATGGGATTACGCGTAGGATATGATGATACAAATGCACGGTTTGCTAGAAATGCAAAACTTTGAAATTAAGAAATCTTGCATCTGATCTATCCCTTGTGTACTAGATATCAGTGCATTGAAAGAAAAATAAGCAAATAAATACAAATTTTCATTCTTACTTGTTTCCCAGTAAACCCTTGAATTATCACTTTCGTATCTTTATTAATCCGTAATGCACTTCGAGTACTCGTATAATGTCGTAGCAATCCTAAAGCATCAAATATCAAATATTACAAGTTAATAATGACCAAATCACGACTCTCCATCCTTCCTCTTATTCCAAGTAATTGAAATAGATTTAACCAACCTATACCAATTGCATGAGTTTGCCGGCCAAGCTTGACTGTTCGTAATGAAGACATTGCAAAAATTCTGCCCTGAAACATGTCATACAAAACTATGAGAAAATATTTCAGAAATAACAACCAAAAATCATCTCATGAGATAATTACAAATTATAAACAAGAAAATGAATTACTGAGGTTGAATACAAATATAAACAGTAAGAAGGGAGAGATAGAGCGAGCTAGAATGAAAAATAAACAGTCCGCGATCTATGAGAAATACATGATAAGTGGAAAAATGTATCCCTTTACAATGTCTTGCCGAAACTTGATAAGGTAGTTGTAGGAATTTCTCTAGCGTTTTAGGATTTCGGGACGGAATAGTTCGAAACCGACAAATTGCAATAACTGAAACGAAACGGATGAAAAAAAAAAAAAAAAAAGAAAGAAAAAAACCACATTCACCAAATTAACAACACATATGCCCCTTACTAAACAAGACTGCATCACGACAAAACGACTCATTTAACCGACCACCTCTTCAGCATATCGGTGGTATCAGTCATTTGAGTCATATCAGGCTGGATTCCGGTTAGATAGACGATGCTGGATGTAACCGGATAGTCCTGATGATGAACATACATCACTGGGTACCAAGGAAATGATAATTGAGTTTGAAATATTACTAAAGCTTTAGAAATATAATCTGTTTAACGATGTTGGGACTATCTCCTGTTACTTTCCCGAGATGGTTGAATGGTATAACTTTTTCGGTTAAAAATTTATTCCACTATTAATTTGAGCAGTTAATTTAATCAAAAAGGTCCTGATAAAAAACTAAAGTTTATTGACCGTTTGAATATCAATTTTCACAAGATTTCACATTTCAAAATTCTAGCATTCCAAATATATCAATCGGAATGGTAAAACTAAAGTTATCAATTCAGAACTTTATAAATATCAATGACAATAGAATTGCAAAAATATCATACAATTCTTATGCCTTAACATACAAACATATATACATTTATGAATTATATACATTTTTCGGAGTCCTTTTCATATGAATAAATGATGCTATAATATTTTAGCAATTTATCCAAAACAACACATATTCACAAATTAATTGGCTAAACCTTTTTGGAATGTAAAACTGAAGTTTTCATTCCAGAACAATAATCTCATTGTTTTATAATTCGTTCGTTTTGATATTTACGGTTTATATATATATATTTCTGGACTTTATATTATAATTGCTTCTTATCAAATTTGTTAATGAATTATTATTACATAAATTACTATTCCTAAAATATGAAACATGGTGACGTCAGGTAAATGTACTTTATCGAAACATGCTGAAGTCAATGTACTTCACTGAGGTAAAACTGAAATATTTTAATTTAGTTTCATATATTATTTTTTATAAGCAACAAGAAAATTTTATGGAAAAATAATTATTAATATTTTCTAACATATTTTTGCAAATTATTCCTAATTCCAATCAATAAAATTAATATGAACTGTAAAAGAAAATTTTTGAAAAATTTTGGTTTTTGAGGTACTTCCTGTTACTATAAATTCTTAAGGGATAAATTTTTTTATACACCTGATAAAATTTTTTGATTAAAATAATTTTAAGTCAGTTAAAAATGAGTGTAATTAAAAAGTAAAACGAAGAAAAACGAAACGATGCCAAAATTATTTAAGTTTTGCAGAATTTACAGTTACATTCTCAATGATAACATTAACATATCAATATAAAGTGTAAAATTTGATTGATTAAACTTTTTAATGGAACGAAAAAAAAAAAGTTTTTTGATGCATATATTTATTCATTCAGGTATTATTATCACTTTCTATCTTCATTTCCGCTCTTTTTTCCTTTTCTTGCTAATAGTATACTATTATCATTATAATCATTGCATCATTAATGCTTTCAAATTTTGTTCCAAAATAGTTTCACGACAATCCTTGAATACACGTCTAATATTTTCTGTATCTATTGCTGTTGTAAAATGATAAAAAAATGGTCGTCGTCTATCACGTCGACAATTCTCAAATTTATCCACTAGAAAAAACTGAACGTCACGCAAACTATTATGATCACCAGTGAAATCAGCAAAATATTGTCGAATATCCGACTTTGGTACCTTCTCTGCAACATTACTTACTATAATTGTATGAAAAAATAAATAAATGAAATTAAATAAACAAATAACACTATGTGCTGTACTTATTATCTAATTGCATTCTCTGAATAAAAAACAGGGCAGTCAATTAGTCTATCAAAAAATATGAGATTAGAAAAACAAATTTTGAAATAATTAATATTTAACTTACCTTCAAGTAAATCACTTTTGTTCATAAACAATATTATGGAAACATTGGCGAATGATTTATTATTAGCAATTGTTTCAAAAACAGATCGCGATTCAACAACACGATTCGTCCTTCGATCTTCAAGAATTACCTGTAATGCAATAGAATATTAAGCAGAAACTAATTTACTTATAAAAAAAGTGCATCTGGAAAAGTATGTACATAAAATTCTTTTCATAAATTTTAAAATCAACAATCTTCTGCAAAATTTTAATTGTTAAGAGATTGTAATCAGAATACAATATTTTTTTACAAGCAAAAATCAAAATAAAATTACTTGATCATATTCGCATGAAGCAACCATAAATAGTATACTTGTAATACCTTCAAAACACTGGAACCATTTTTGTCGTTGTGATCGTTGTCCACCAACATCAATAAATCTGTAAATTACCAATTAAATTAATTGAAAACAAAATTGAAGCCAAAAAAAAAAAAAAAGTTAACCACATTCTACTGTTATTAATGCCCTGCTCAAATTTATTAAATGTAAAGAAATTATAGCAGCAATTTTTTCAAATGTTGTGTTGAAAATAGATATTAATTTCAAACCTATTGATATGTGTAAAACTTAGACAATCTGATTAAATTATAATCTAAACGGAACTAAAACCTAAATTCTCACTACTTAAATTAATACCTAAATGAAATTCGCTGTATTTCAAAAACATGCTCAGTTATTCCTCGTGTAGCTTTTCGACAAAATAATATATCCCGATTAGTTGGACAGTAATCCGGCATTGATACTCGATTAATATGATCGAAAAAGTATATGCAGGAATCAGACTGAAACAAAAATTTCAAATTAGATTAAACACAAAGAGTTTTAAAAATAAACATCATTTCATTAATACAATTATGTCCATTAATAAGTTTAAATAATTAATATGACACTTTTTATATTGTCATTTGTCAAAATCCTATCTAAAATTTCTTCAAAATGAATTCCATAATTTACACCATTTTAAGATATATTTTAAAATATTAATTTTCATGAACTAAAAGTGAAAAACCATATGCAATAAACTTACAATCTGAAACAGATTCCGTTGTTCATATGTCTGTTTGATTGATGCATCTTCCCAAAAATCTCGTATTAACGGAGCTATCTCGGCAAATGTAGACTGATCGATACCTCGCATCATATCTGATACTGTAAACCTAAAAACTATTTAAAACTGAAGGTAATATTTCAAATCATTTTCATTAATTCAAATATTATTTCACCTCATAATAGAATCAACATTCTTCTGCCTTTCAGGATTCTTCCAAGCATACCCCAACTTCTGGCGTGCATCAAGAAGCACTCTCATTGCAGCAATTACATTCTAAAAATTTCAATTTCAGTAGTTAAAGAAATTTTACTTAAATTCATTTCTCATCATCTATTGAATGTCACATATTAAACAGATATTTTCTCATTTTTATACATTACAATTTATAGATGAGTTTCCAGTTTAATTAACTTAACACAGATGATTTCATTATAACTAGCCTACTTTAAAGCTTATCAAATTGCCCACCTGATAGATCTGCTGTCGATATGCTCGTATTTCATCAGCAGTAAATTCACCTCGTCCATTTATGATAACCATTTGCTTGATAAATGTTGATTTTCCGGATTCTCCTGAGCCCAACAGTAAAATTTTCACCTGCTTCCCAAATAACAGGATAGTAACACAATTTTGATACGAATTAATTATTGATATTTTGAAAAGTATGGAAATATTTCCACCAGTAATACATAATAATGATAAAATAATAATAATAATAATAATAATAATAATAATAATAGTAATAATAATAACAGTAACAATAAAAATAATAAGTAATAGTAATAATAAAAATAATAAAATATAACAATAGTAATAACAATAATAGCAATAATCTACGCTTCCTGATTTAAATTATAAAATAAGGTTGAATCAATAAATAGAATTTTTATCTATCTTGACAATTTTCATTTCACATTAACTATCCAAAAGGTTTAATAATCAAACATATATCGAATCTTAATTGAAATTAACGATTAATTAATTACTTGTCGACGAAGTTGTTTCTTTTCTTTTTGCAGTTGCTTCTCGATGATTCTTGTCTGCTCGTCCACATGTCTTCCACAACATAAAGCAAATGTTGCTGTCATCATACTGTCACACAATGAACAAACTGCAACATTATTAGCATTGCTTATTTATACAATATTTGTATTGTCTGATAAAATTTATTAATTATATAAGTAAATAATTAATTAGGTTGAAAATTTCTTTACAATTATAGAAGTAATTAAACAATAGCAATCAATTAATTCATCACTTAATCGATTAAAAAAAATTATATGCTAATAGATATCAAATAAAAAAATATATGTAGGCTAATTACAGCATATAAGTCGTTTTTAGCATAAATTGAATAATAATAGAGAAAATCAAATACTAAATTCCATGCATTTTTAATAAATCAAATTTTTGTCAGTTCCAATTATTAATTGAATTAACAATTCAAACGATTTTGAAAATTTGTTCTTAGGTCATTCATTGAATTGTTTGAAAATTTTTGCAAAATTGTTGAAAGGTTTTTTTTTTTTCTTTCCTATTATGTAACGTTATAAGTTTCGTAAAACATTCCAATTTCATATAACCAAATTTTTAAATTAACAAAAAACCAAATGATACATTCGAACATTTCTTTAAACTAACTATTAAAAGATTATAAACCAAGTATTAAACTGACCTATGACCTAAAACAACATTAATTATAACAAAAGTATAGCAATTAATTAAAGCATTCTAAAAATATTTCCACATAATGCTTACTTACGATACATATCATACATTCAAAAGCATTCAAAAAACAATTTACAAGAAAATCGCTTCAAGCAATCATCAGATGCATTATTTGTAATAATGCTGTTAAAATCTGTTCCGGATATTTTAAAAGGCTCTAACATCAACTCCAGTAGATCCATTCCGGATATTCTAAAAAGCTGAACTCTAGCAAATCCATTCCAGACATTCTGGAAGTAATTGTTACAACTTCGTAATATCCTCACAAAAAAGCTAAAAAAAATCCTTCAAGCGATAATTATATTTATCGCACTGTATACTGTATAAATTATGATGAAATAATATAAGTAATTACAATTATTTATTCATTATTTATTGTAATATTTATTCATACTTCTATTAAATTTGCTAATTTGATTTATAAATAAATGAATCATTCAATTTCAGTATTATTTAATGAATACTATCTAACTTTACTGTAAACAATCATTCATCCTTCAACGCAAAGAAATATTTCATACCAATTTAAAAAATAAAATTGAAATTGATTTTAATCCTAAAGGTATTAATGCTGTAGTTTAGCTGCAAACAGAAAAAAGAAAAATGAAGAAATGATGACGTTTTTTGAAAATCAAACTTCATTTTAAGAATCATCATAATTTTGTTTCTTTTTTTTTTTTTGTTAGCTAGAATGAATGCACTAGTAGAAACTAAATTAAATTTTATATTGCTATTTTTGATACTAAAATATTTTTTGCTTTTTCATTTTTGCTACAAAAATTTAATATCACACTATATAATTAACTATGTGATATTCATTCTAAATATTTGATTGGGAATATTTTCCAAAAAAAAAAAAATTTTTTTTAATTTTATTTTATCTTTTTTTTTTTTGAAAATAAAATATGAAAGAACATGTAATTCAAGGAAGTAGTACTAAAGAAAGATGCATATGAGAAAAAATTGATTTTACTGAAGGGAACATTTTTTCTCTTTTCCCTTTCATGTTTCATTTTTCCGTTTGTTTTTTTTTTTTTTTTTTTTTTTTTTTTAATTTTTTAAATTATAGCTTGTTTGAAAGAATTGAATTTCAACAAACAGTAAGAAAAATATGGAAGAAGAAAAAGAAATAAGTAATCCCAAAATAGTTTCATCATTCAACAACAAAAAAAAACAAAAAGAATTCTGCAGACTTATATTTCTAAAGTAAACTTTAAGGAAGTAATTCTATCTAAGGAAATATTCAAAAAAAAAAAAAAATAAAAAATAAAAATAAACGACAGCAGTAATGATGATAACATTAATGCTAATTAATCAAATATTAAAAATTTTAATTCAATTTAACTGAATTACTTTGAACTGATAATAGAGGAAAATTATTGCACGTCAAATTGAAATAATTTTATTCCATTATTAATTCAAGTTATTTTAAAATGGTTCAATTGAAAATTGACGGTTACAGTCAAATTTTTAATAATCGTAATCAAATTTCAACAAAATATTAATCTCTTAATTCAAAAAATTAAAAAAAAAAAAAAAAAAAAAAAAAAAAAAAAGGAAAACTATTTAAATTGAAAAATTGAGGAAATGAAAACAAAACGGGAAATTTGATGCTAATAATTTAACAGTAACAGAAATAAAGGGAAAATTTTTTAAGCAAGAATGAAAAATAAAATGAGGAAGAAAGAGAGAGAGAGAGAGGGGAAGAGAAAGGAAGGGAGAGGATGATAGTTAAGATAAAGAAAATTGAAACATCACCATGATTTCAATGTGTTCGAAATGGAAAAAAAACAATTGTAGTATACTTTTTGTCCATCTCTCTCTCTCTCTCTCTCTCTCTCTCCCTCCCTTTCCCGTTCTCGATGATATTTGTGATGATTCATAAATCAAACTGTATTTTGTATTACGATTGAAAACGATAACGAAAAATGAAATGAGAGGATGAAGAGCGGAAAGTGAATTGCAACAAGGCGTAGAGTATCGAATCAAATACATTCAATGAACGGCAGTAATTGACTGAATCAGTCAGTACGTGATGAGAAAATAGAAATTACATAAACATTCACCATACAGTTTAACTATATAGTACAGATAATTCATTTAAGCGTACGTAACCTTTGTTCCATACAATTTTATTATACAGTAACAAAGTGGAATTTGTCTAAGTGACCTTTTCTTCATGCAATTTAATTGTATAGTAAAGATAATTTTTTTAGGTATACGTGACCTTTTTTTTCATAATTTTTTTTTTTAGGTATACGTGACCTTTTTTTATTATACAGTGATGAAATTTCATTAAGTGTGCATTAAATTTATAGTCTTTGTTTAGTACACTTTAATTATAAAGTAAAGAAAACTCTTTAAGATTTTTGTAATCTTTTTTTAATGTTTACTTGACAATTTTGATTTTATGTTATCATCAATAGTTAATTAAACAAATCATTATCATTTCAATGCTGTTTTTATTTTAAATTTACTCAAAACTATAACTGCAGGATTCTATGTTCCATTCTATGTTCGATTTTATTGTATTACTTTTTCAATATTTTATTCTATTCTATTCTTTTTTATCGTATTTTATTCTTTTTTTTTTTTTTCAAATTCTATCCATCACATATTTATTGTTTTAATTCTATTTTATTCTACTCCATTTCATTTTATTTTATTCCAATTTAATTCTATCCTATTTAAAGTATTTACTCAATCACCATATTGTTTGAAATTGTCAGTTCCAAATAAAACACACAGAAAATGATATTGTTGAGTAATAAAATGAAAGAATTGTCAATACCTATATGTATGAACAGGTATTACATGAATCATCTATTGCATATTTGATCAATAATATTTATAAAAAAAAGGATTGTGAATGAATAGCTTGCTAGGCATGCAGCATGCGCATGCTAATACATCGTTAATTTGTTGAAATATTTCCTGTTCTTTATTTTATTTTTTTTAAAAAAATTTGTTATTAAATTTTACATACTTATAATAAATGAACCAAACAAGCTTAATCAATTATGATATTCAAAAGAGCCAGTACCTCACTGAAGAAGTCGAATAGCTCAGTAATGAAATATTTCATTTAAAAAATAGTTGACGATAAGGAAGAATAGAATAACTTGAAATTTTTCTTTTTTTGGAAATTTTATTTTTTTTAAAAAAAACTTCTTATTCATAATACGGCGACGAAATTTGTGGTAGAAAGCAATTCAATTTTTAATACCTACAAATATACGCATTACATTACATTGCATAATGAAGATTCAATAACTATAATTATTTTTTAAAATTTAGAAAAAAAAGCTCGAATTCATTGTTTAAAATTGCACTAATAATTCAAAAAAGATAAACTATATCACCATAAAACGCATTTATTTAAATTATTATTTGTGGACAATACTAGAATAAATTAGATAAAATAAAACTGGAATACATGAAATAAAACAAAAACTGATTTGAGATAAAATTGAAAAGTGAAATGATTAAACCGTAAATGAGGAAAAGAAAATAAAAAAGAAATATAATTTGATTTAATCTATAATTGATTTCTAATAGAATTTGGGAAAAAGGTTTGCAATACAGTTTCTTTTGAAATTGTTTGAAGTAATTCCTTCAATTTCATCAGTTTTCCGATTCGATTTTTATTGTTTTGCATTAATGCAACCATTGCGTATGTTTCACATTTCATAAGTAAAATAAATGCTTCATTTCGATAAGCATACAGCGCTGGTAAATTACCAAAAATTTCGTTCACTGCAAATGAAAAAAGAGAAAAGAAAAAACTACATAAATTTTAGAAATCAATGAAAAAAAAAAGCGGCGAAAATTTTCATTTGAAACAAAATTTTAAAATTTAACTTTAAAAAAATTAGCAAGAACTTTTGTAATGTAATAATTTTTTTTACGCATAAATTTATTTGATAAAATAATGAATATGAAAAAATTTTCCAAAAAATTTATATATCAAAAAGATAACTTCAATTTCAAGGGATAGTTATTTCTATGTGAATTTAAATTACAATAATAACCTGATTCAGAAATAATAATCATGCATAGGTACCAAATTTCAAATGGTGTTAGCATTAATGAATCCAAAATTTCCAAAACTGTTTGCAGTTCACCAAATTTAATAACATCTAAAAGAAATTTTTTTTTTATTGCTATAATTTAAAAGGTGAAGAAAAAAAAAATATTAACTGATTTGTTTCATCAAAAAAAGTAAAAAGCATATGCATAAATTTAATTTTATACGAATAAAAAATTTCGAATGAAATAACACTTTTATTGTGTATGGCTTACAAAAGTAAAAAAAAAATTGATGAAATTTTACTGCTTTCAAAATATGTCGCATAATTGACAATAAATAGCATATGCCAGGAATGATTCAATAATAAAATGCGTTCCTCGATACTGATATGTGATAAAGGTGGTGATAGCATCATAAATCGTAACATGAAATTTAGATAAATACTTGAATTCAACTGGCTAAATTGTCCAACTTCTTTCAATCGCTTTACAAATGCAGAATGCTGATTTCTTGTTCCATGATCTTTAAATGAAAGTAATTTTTTTCTTTTTTTTTGCTTTATAATAGAAAAAATTTTAAATAGCACTGTTTATGATTTAAATTATAAATTAGAATTTAAAAACAAAAATTTTTTTACATCAAATTCTTAGCTTTTCGTTTCATTCTAAATAACAAATTTGTTGGTGAAAAAAAGAATTTTTCTTAAAGTATGGAATTTTTTAATTAATATGCAAATGATAAAAAAGAAAAGAAGCGAAGAAATAAAAAACAAACCTATAAAGCAAGCCTTTGTTTTTTTGTTCCTTAACTTTTGCGTAAGCTCATCAGTGGATGCTATCAGATAATTACGACACCTTAAATTAACACAATATTATATTAAAACTAAATTAAATCAAAAAAAAAAAAAGAAAAAGAAATCAAATATGGTTTACCTTTCTTGAAATGTTTTTGTTGAATTCGATCGTATTTTTCGTTCATTTTGTACAGCTAAAAATATAAACGACAAATGCTGCAACTTCTTATCATCTGAACAATTACATTATGCGCCGATTTAATTTAGTCAAACTATTACAATCATCTAACAGTAATAATAACTTACTACTCTTGAGTGAACTGAACTAATTTAAAAATTTCGCAAATATATGCGCAAATACATAATGTATTCATAATTGAGTATATTTAATTTGACCAATAATTTCAAATTTTAGAATTTGATCAAACTTATGAAATTATTAGAATTTGATAAAACCAACTTACATAAAATTTTAATCATTGCTTTGCATAAAAACATATTTTTATAAAAACATATGTTAAATTTTCAAAATATTGCTACAATTTAAGTATTCAACAAATTATCAGTGAAGCGAACCACATGGATTCATAGATACAGCAAGACATTTGCGAAAACGACATGCTTGACATTGATTTCTTCTTGCGACATCCACAATGCATTGCTTGCGATCTTTGCATTCATATTTCATCGAACGTCTCACCGATCTTTAAACTGTTCTTAATTTAGGACAATCATAATGACTGTAGCTGAATGCAATTTTTATAATGATAAAATGAATTAAATCTAGAATAAATTTAAATTATGTTTGAATTGAATTTGTAAAAATCATTTAAAAAAAAAAAAAAAAAAAAACGAGTTTCTAATTGGTAGTTAATTTGAATGGAAATTCGATTGAGCAGACAGAAAATGAAAAATCTGCTTATTGTTGGTAGTGATAATATGTAATTATTTACATATCATAGCTCATATCATTTATTGTTATTTACAATAAAACAGCTTAATAACTTTTCAAGCGATATTGTCCCTATTTAGGTTGATTGTTAAAGATATTTATGGAATCAATATATCACATTCAATTTGGATTTTTATTATTAATTAATTGCAATGTTTATATAAATATGTCGAAATTTAATTTGAATTATGCATAAAATCCAAAGTTTTGAAATTCACTCAATCTTCATGATCAATAATTTAAATCACTATTAATGTATAAAATGCTAATAAAATTTATGCTTACTGAATTTCCTCTTAATAAATAAGAGATTTAGAAATTAAAATTTATTAAAAATTGAGCTGTTTAATCCAAAATTTGCAAAAGCTTAACATTTGAGGAGAAAAAAAAAGGAAAAATATAGCATAATGTTATTGTAGTGAATAATAAAAGATTATAACTTAATTTATTTCATTATAAAACTATCAGCGAAATTTCCTTTTCGATCATGAAAGTAAATATTTTTAATTTAAAATTAATTGTAACAATTGAAAAACAATAGAAAAATAAACAAGTAATGACTAATAAAAACTTAAAAAGAATGGCAGATGTTCCATTACTTTTATTGCTAAACTATGTTAATCTAACTCATCTAATCATTTATTTTGATCAAATTTACTTTTGAAATATCTATTAGAACAAAATTTATCGCAATCTTCCTTTTTTTTTAAAAAAAAAAAAAAAAATATTGATAATACGGCAGATAATAATAAGGAAAAAGAAACCATTTGTATTGAAATAAAATTTTAGTATCAATACAAATGCTTTTATTTCAATTGTGATTTATATGATTATTCCAATAATAATTTTAACGAATTTATTTAAATCAGCAAATTATTTAAATTTACAACATGCTAATTGATACAGGTAGAGAAATACCGCTTAAAAAAGCCTCGACATCCATCACAACTCTGAACTCCATAATGTCGTCCTTAAAATTATTCAATTAATTGTGAAATGTTTAAATTTTAATTGACAAAAGAAAAAAATTGAGAGGTATCCGTTTTCTTCTTTTTTTTTTTTTGTTTTTCATTCTTCAATATTTAAAACTTTTTTGATTGATATATGAATGTGAAATGTTTAATAAAAGCAAACCACTAGCTCGATCACCACAAACACGGCATAAAATTTCAGCATTGATCATAATGAAATATAAGATGATACTTAGCCAACTAAGCAATCTTTGAAAATTCAACAAAAGGACCGGTCACATTTGTTCCCATTTAAATGACCATTTTAAGAGAGTTCAAGGAGAGGGAGAGAGAGAGAGAGAGAAAGAGGAAGAGAGGAAGGATTGAAAATTCAGGGTGGAAAATAAGATGCTAACCGTGGGAGTGCAATTTGAGAAGTGCTGTCATCAGTCGTTGTCATCTACCTTATACGAATTCTCAAATTATTACGGTAAGTTTGCTTAGCTTCTTGCAAATAACGATGTTAGCATTTATGAATTATTAGCTATCCCATGTTACCCAACACGTGGGAATATTGGAATGCTCGCAGCAAGTAGCAATCATTTTATCCCACCAACCACTTTGTGAAAGCTATGCAAAACTTTTGAAAATAATTTACTGGAGATGTTCATTCATCTTTTCATTTATTAATGCTAATTATAAAATTAAATCACATTTTATCTAAGTGTTCATTCAAAAACAGCAGAAAGAAAGAAAGTTTAATACGTCATAAGCAGTGGTCAATGTAGTGTATATTATTGTAGGTAGTTCATCGAACTATAAGAAGTAACCATTAATTATTGATGATTGTTAAATATCATATATTCAAGGGCTTAAAAAGAGAATTTCAAATTTTCATAAGATTGCAAAAGTTGATAATTTGTAACCCTATTTAAAAGAAAAAATTGCAAGAGTTAACGATTTTCAAAAAACAATTCAATTTCCTAAGTGAAGTTTTTGAAAATCATTTCGAAATTAAACGATACATCATTGTAACTTCTTAAGCTAATCTATTAATATCAAAATTTCAGTTTGTAAAAAAAAGAAAAAAAAAAAAAAAAAAAAGAAAGAGAGGAAACATTATAGCTACATGCAGAAAAATGAATTAACAAATTAGAAGAAATGAACATTACGATGACTTTTAGCATTGATAAAATTTTATCACAAGCAATAATATCAAATTTAATTTGGAAAAAACTGAAAATTTTCTTTATTATTCTTTCAAATATCATTCATTCATTCCACTTGTAAATTTTTCCTTTTTTCCTTTTTTTTGTAAAAGAAGCAATGAAATAAGTGAGCAAAGTGATAAATGAAAAAGTGAAAAATAAAAAAAAAAATAAGAAAAGCATCAGTACTATACAACTTTAAATGTTAGTTTTGAAAGTTTGCATCTAAATCAATCATACAATGAAATAAATTGTGGACAATTGCGCCACTTCTTTTTTACATTTTTGCGCTTCTCAATGTTTTCATTAGCTCATGCATATGTTTTTGTTCCCGTATATGTTTAAGAACATCATATTAAGCATTAAAAAATTAACCTTCTGCATTCTACCTTTCATTCAATAATGTTAATTTTCCAAAAAATAAAAAAGTAAGTTACTTGACCAATTCAGTGCCAAAACAGTGCTGCTTGTTATCTTTTGAAAAAGAAAAATGAAAAAAAGAAGTGTATGTTCGTAATAAAGATATAATACAATAATTTAATTGTTGGTATAAATTATTCATAGGTAAACCGATGTTACCTCATAAGTTTCTTAAGTTTTTGGTAGCTTTCATAGCACTCAATTGTTAATTTTTTTAATGAAGTAATGAAACAAAAAACTGATAAATTTAATATCTTAGTACTGATTGAAATTTAATAAAATTTAACAAAAAAGTTTTTACTATGTCTTTTTTCTACGTAATAAAAAAATTTTGGGTGAGGAATCGCTTTCACCAAAATCTTAAACGAATTAGAGTATTATTAAACTCATTACTTTAGTGGAAGTAGTGTTAATTAGCAAGTTAGTGAGAATATTGTTAAATTTACTACTTTAGTACAAGCATCATTAATTAACATTTAGCATATAATACTGTAAAAAATTATAAAAGGTGATTAGCTATCATAAGAATATGCATAGTTATGATTACATAATATATAGCTTTTCCCTTTTTTCAAAGAAAAATAAGCTGTTTCTAGTTAAAGAAACGAATAAAATAATAACTTGAAGTAAATAAATAAAAAAAAAAAAAAAGTTTGATCATAGAAGTAAATAATTAAAAGCACAAAAAAATTTCATACAACAATAATTTTTAACTTGCAAAAAAATTCCAAATTCATCAATATATTAATTAATTGGAAATTCTAAGAATCATATATTTCAGGTTTCCATTCTCATAATTATTATCGATCACTAATATTTTGTTTACACTGATAAATAATATTTTTGTTACCCTCCATTAAAATGATTTTTGAATAATTTCAAGTAACAAAACTTTTTAGTTTTGCTATCAAATGAATAAAAAATTTTTTATTTTTTAATGCAAAAATAGAATTAATTTTTTTGCAGGAACAAAACAAATAGCTGAAACAATGATCAATTTCTCGTTTTTTTTTTTTTTTTTTCTTTCTGTAAAAAAAAGAAATTCACCTTTTTTTATTTTTAAGTTTGCACTCAAAATACTTGAAAAAAAAAAAAAAAAATTAGAAAACAAATGTTAGTCATTGTTTGGAAAGTAATTAGCAAAATTGAATAAGTTATCATTATTATTAATTACCATTATTAATCATACATCATTCTAAAATGTGAAACTTATTTTGTGCACATATAAAAGGCAGCAAAATTTTTGTTTTTTTTCAATGTGAAAGAATGTATTATTTAAAATGAAATTTAAAATGTAGTAGAAAACAATCAAAACAGTTGTTCCTTTCCTCATTTTTGCTAACACTTTGAAAAATTAGTTTTCTTTTTTTTCTTCTGTTTCTGTTTGTCTTTTTTTTTTCTTTTTTAAAGCAAATTTACTTGCAAATAACAGTAAAAGAATAGAAGGAGAGCAATGTGCAATAAATTTAAAAACAATGTTAAATTTTAAGAAAGGAAGTAAAAATATATCGTATAAAAATTTTTTTTAATCTTTTAACTGGTAAAAAAAAATTTATTCTAAATTATTTTGCATCTGTATATGCATGTGTGTGTGTGTGTGTGTGTGTGTGTGTGTGTGTGTGTGTGTGTGTGTGTGTGTGTGTGTGTGTGTGTGTGTGTGTGTGTGTGTGTGTGTGTGTGTGTGTGTGTGTGTGTGTGTGTGTGTGTGTGTGTGTGTGTGTGTGTGTGTGTGTGTGTGTGTGTGTGTGTGTGTGTGTGTGTGTGTGTGTGTGTGTGTGTGTGTGTGTGTGTGTGTGTGTGTGTGTGTGTGTGTGTGTTATATATACATGTATATGCGTTTGTTCAAGTGAAAATATGTTGTGATAAGTAAAAAAATTTGAAAGATTAAGAATGCTTAATGTTATCATATCACAAGCAGACACAGTGCACACATATATATATACACACACACACACACACACACACACACACACACACACACACATACACAGACATGTATGTGTATATTACATTACACCTACATCCCTCTAACTACAAACATGCTATGTCATTTCGATTTTAGCTTCTTTTCTTATTTCATTTTTGTTTCTCTTTTTCGAAAAAAAAAAATAAATAAAACAAATAAATAAATAAATAAAAATAACGAAAACAAGAAAGAAAGAGGAAAAAAATGAAAGGAAAAAAAAAAAAAAAAACTTTTACATTTCTTCTTCATTTTATCTTAGAAACAAAAATTGTAAAAGTAAGCTGTGGTGCTTTTCTTCCTTTCATTCTTTATCATCTTCTTCTATCTCAAAAAATATTTTTCAAATTTTACGAACAGCAATTCAGAAGCTAAGAAAACGATTCAAATTTATTTTTATTTAAACAGTGTAATAATTTTGGGATTCATTTCATCCATTTTATTTTATTTTTTCTATCTGAATTAAATTATTTTATATTATTAGTTCTACAATAATATCAACAATAAGAAATGGCTGATGATATCAAATCGAAAGGTAAATTTTTCTCATTTTTTTTTCCTGCGTTTTAATTTATTTTAAATTAAAATTTTACCTATATTTTAATTGCCTATTTTTAATGCTATCATCAGTTTTTATTAACAATTTTATGCTTTATTTGTATAACTTTTAATTATTATCAGTTCTTATCAATTTGATTTCTTTTCTTAACTCATATATTTTAACGGATATCGATAAAAAAAATATCAATGATTTATTTCTTATTAGTTAAGTTAATTTACTAAGAATAACTTTTTTTTGACTGATTTATATTATAATTACATATTATTATTATTATTATTATTATTACTATTATTATTATCAATTAATAAGAAATATGATTTTCTTCTTTCTTTATCTCTTAACATTTCTCTTCAGATGAATATTGTTTCAAGTTCCTATGAATTCTTTGATTGACCTGTTATTCCTAAACCAACACCACTTAAAAAAAGTAGATTTACCCATTAAATTTTTAAATTAAAACCTTGCCTACTCTCATTTATCTTTTCATTTTTTTTTTCGTTTCATAAATTACTGTGAAATAGGTCAATCATTTATTAAATTGAATACGGTTAACATTATTGAGAATCATTTATTGAACACAATAAAAGTGCATTGTTAAAAATTATTTCGAAACAGGTAGTATTAATCTTATTAATTTGTAAACAAAGTTAAAAATATCTGTTGGAAATGACTACTTATTTTCGGTATGATAATATACATTTCGATGACATTTGTTCATCATATTATTTTAACAAATATAATCTGAATTTTAGCCTAATTAATCATTGAAATTCAGAAAAAGCAAGTATTAAATTTTTATTTCATCTTTTTTTTAAAAATAATTTCACTAAATTTAATGCAATCTGAACTGATAATTTTTTTTCTCTCTTCCCGCTCGCTCTTAATTCTAGCCTAATTCCTTATTGAAAAGAAAAAGGTATTTGTTTCTTAAAAAAAAAAAAAAAAAAAGAAGAAAAAAGAAAAAAACATTTTCTAAAAAAGTTTTGTTTCAGTTGAAAAAAAAGAAGCGGAAGAAGAAGAAGAAGAGGAAGAAGAAGATTCAGTGATTGACGTACGTCATCGTAAATTTGTCTATAAAGTTCAATTTGTGCAATCACCTGATCGTAAGTTTCATACAGTGTAAATATTTTAATGAATTTAAATTAGAGATGAAATCTTGTAATCACTTTACCATTAAATTTATTTTTCGAATTTTTTAAATGTAAAAGCAAAAAAAAAAAAATTCTTGTTTTTTTTTTTTTTAATTTTTTTTTTTTGCAGATCCAACAACATCATTTCATATGACAACACAAAATGCTTCATCATCTTCAGCTAATTCATCAGGCATGATGAAAATGGACGATTCAAATCAATATTTCAGTAATGAATCATTAATTCCGCGAAATATCGAGCATCTAGCTTTATCTCTAAATAATAATAGTAATAGACAACAAAATTCAATACCAACTATTACATTCAATGAAGCAGAACAATGTTCAACATTTGTTGATCAAATGGATATACTAAACAATATGAAAGAATATCATTCGGAACAGCAAATGATCAACTTAACTGAACCATTTCAACAATTCAATCCTTCCGATGATGAGAAAATTTCAAATGGAACATCACTTGATAAAACTAATGATACTTTCAATCGTGAATTTGGCGCATCATTTACGATTTCGAATGATTTCGAAATGAGCAATACTGATAATGTTCATTATGATGAAATGTTTTCCAATATTTTACAACATGATGATAGTAATAACATATCATGCATTCAGCATGCACCATTATTTGGTTATACTACTGGAAATTTATTCAATTTTACAATATCTGATTTTAATTTATCTGATTCATATATTGCTGATAATGTTAAACAAACATTTACTGATGATTATCATTCAGGCAAACCGATTATAATGGGTTTGATGCAAAATGGACAGATAATTGTTGATGGTTTAAGCATGGCAATCAATAAAAAATTAAGCAGCAAAGAAGAAAATGAATCAATTATCAATGAAGGAGTCATTTCATCATTATCAATATTATCACAAAATTTGGACGATTATCTAAATGAGCAACATGAGAATGTTAAACAAACAAATAGTAATGAAGTTATCAGTGGTATAACTGTTAATGGTGAATTAATAATTGCTAATAGAACAACTGATAATAGTTCACCAATAACAAAACATTTAGCAACAATTATTATGGGTTTAACTGCAAATGGTCAAATTATCGTTGGTGGTTGCATGTCTAATGCTATCACTGAAAATCCATTAGGAAAATTTAATGAGCAAAATCATGTAACAATTGATATTATTGGAAATATAACAGCAAAAAATGAAAAAGTTTTAATTGGATTAACAACTACTAATTCAAATTTTACAAATGTTCATAATGAATCACTTCTTCGACGAGATTCTTTTTGATATTTTTTTTTTATAAATTAAAACAAATATTATATGCATACCGTATGTTTGAAATTAAAGTTTTAAAAAAAAAAAAATTACACTGCTCAATTTTATATCTTATCGGTGTTAATTATTGAATATGATATTATTATCACTTTGTTATCCCATTCAATTATCATCATATTTGTATTGAAGTTAAACGAATTAAACTAAGTAAAAGTTTATTTTGCATTCATTGTTATGCTATCATATTGTCATAAACAAAAAATACTACGGAAAAATGATATTTTCATGAGCTACAAAACAAAAAAGGACAACAAATGTCAATTTTAGTATTTCAAAATGAACAAATTTTAATTATATATATATATAATTATAAGTAATTAATCATTCTTCATCAAAATTTGTCATCCCGGTAATGCAGTTACTTGTTCTTGTGACATCAAATTTTATAAATTATTTATTTTAAGATCAAGCTTATCAAATACTAAGATGCTGAAATTAGTATTTGTTAACCATAAATTTAATTTATCTGGTAGAATTTAAATGTAATTCATTAGTGATTATAATTCAATAATTTGTTGCTGTCACTTTGTAAAATCGAATTTAATTTAAAAAGTAATACTTCAATGTGACATATAATTCTTTTTTTTTTTACATGCACATATATTTCATAGAACTCACTTTTTTTCCGTCTTAACATCATAAATTTTTATTTTTAAAAAAGCATAATAAATTTTACGTATGGCAAAACAAGATTTTTGGGAAAAAATTTTTTTTAATATTAAAGAGTAAAATTAGAAAATTTTGATTTTCGAATGATAATTTTTTAAAATATACCAAAAAATTTCATCTAAAAAGAGCAGCTTTTTTTTTTTCTGCAAAAATAAAAGATTAAAATTTAGCAGAAAAATTAAATTTCATGAAAACAATTAACACTATACAGACTTTCTAAATCTCTATAACTTCAACGTACAATTTTCATTTTAAAAAATCTTTTTTTTTTTTTTTTCGTTTCATTGATTTGATTATATCTTTCATTCATTAAAAAAAAAAATAAACGAGAAGAAGGAAAAGGAAAAAACAAAATAACAAACCGAAAAAGCTAAAAAATTTGCTTACTATTCGTTAATTATCATATTTTAAAATGTCAAAAAAAAAAAAAAATGTAACTTTTTAAATTAAAATTTTTACAATTTTCTTTGCTATTTCTTTTTTCTTTTGTAACATAAATATAATTTATTATAATTTTTGGAATCAATAAAACATTCATTGAATTGAATATTTGTAAATATTGAAAAGGTAATTTATTTATAGTTTATTTACCTACATTTAACAACTGTTCCATATAATTTGAATAAATAAACAAATAAACAAACGATCGACGACTTTTAACAGATTGAGAACAGGATTTAAATGTGACAATAATAAATAAATGATTAATCCTAGGAGTGATTATTGACTGAAATGATCCATTTCAAATTGAAAAGTATATATATATATATGTGATAGTAGCAAACATCATCATTCATCATCTGCCATCTAATCATACCACATATCGTTATTATCCCTCAAAACTTCTCGTTTTTCTCTCGTTATAATTTTTATATGCTTTTTGTAGAAAATAAATTTCGAAACTAAACTTTTTTAAGTTTTTATACAAAAAAAAAAACGAAGAAAAAAAACTTTTACTTACATGAATTTTCTTTTTTCATCCATTCTAATTATTATCTTCATCACTATAAATGGTAATTTTTTTTTTTTTTTTTGTTGTTTTTTGTTGTTTTTTTCTTTTTAAATTATTAAACTAATTTATATCTTAATTAGATAAGAAGCATTTTTTTTTAAAAAAAAATATAAATTAATGAATAGCAATTATAGCATTATATTACAATTAATTTTATTATAAATGTGTGAACTATGTTAGAATTATCGTTTGAATTTGCAAGTTTATTATGGAATTACATTTAGATAGCAATTATAACCATTCAAATTAATCTGAAAAAAAAAAGTACTATTTTTATTATACATATAATATTATAATAAATAAATTTTTATTATGCAAAAAACAAATTTTCATATATATGTTGATAAATTATATTTTTATAATAATATCATAATTGATTAGATCAATATTTCGATTTTTTTTTAAAAGTAAACAATACGTTTTATCATTTCAAATCATACAGTGGTAAAAATTACTGTTATCAAGCAATAAAACTTTTTCAAAATTGTAGAAATTTTCATGGAATAGTTTTACAAAATAATTTGGTTGAATTTTTTTTTTTTTTTTCTTTTTGGTATAGCATAAAGCAAATGAATAGAATTCTATTGAATTGTTGATGGAGTTTAAAATTTTAGAATTATATGATGTAGATAATGCAAATTTCATATAAACAATTAAATCTTATTGAGTTTTCGTTTCTACCATTTTTCAAATATTAAAAATATCAAAAATTTATTTGGTTAGCGAAAAAAAAAGAAGGCAAATTTATATAAATTTACAATTTTCAGTGGAAGCAGATGTCGAAATAATAATTGGAAAGTAAGTTTTAATTTTAAACTAATATTTCGAGATACTTTGCTTTACTTTTTATGATTTATTACTAATTTTAAATTAATTACAATTGATATTAGTGATAAAAATGGATTCAATAGAAACTTTTCAATTCATTTTTTATAATAGAGTTGAAATCACAATTGAATCATTTCAGAAATGATTCATGTGAAAACGAATTAAATCAAAGTTCGGTGGCAATAAATTCTTCAATGTGCAACATTGTGAGGACATTAGATGATGATTGGTCACAAACAGGTAATCTAAATAGATTTGATTAAAATTAAGATTGGCGTAAATCATTATTTCAGTCATATTATTTAACAGATTTAGAGATAAAATATTTATGATTTTATTGTTGAATAAAATTGTCTCTTTTATTTATTTCTTTTGTAGTAAAATTTTATGTTTGAAATAAATTTTTTATAATTTTTGAAACAGATTTAGCGCTAAGTAATATTATAAATTTGACAATAACTTTGATGAAATTCAGCCTAAAAATGAATTATTCGCTCCTTTTTTTTGTTTCAGAAAGAAATACAACTTCATTCTCCGATGAATCAGTTAAATCATCTATCAATGATAATTTTGATGATTTAAAAGGACGAATATCAATGGAAACATTAGATCTTATCAAACGACTTCATATGCAATATCTCAATGTAGAAAATTCTAAGAAACAAACAGAATTTTCAACATTCAATGAAAATAAATCTAAAAAGAAGGACGAAGAAATTATTCGTATTTCTGGGAAGCTTGAAATATTATAGTTGTAATATGTAATCGAAATGAAAAATTTTTATTGCTGTTAGATATATTTTTGTTTACTTTAAAAATTGTATATATTCATAAATTTTAAATATAAATTTTGAAAAAAAATTCAATCATTTAAATATTTTTATCACTTCTTTCTTTTCCTCCTGTCTTCTTATCTTATCTTTTATCCTCATTGTAAATATTTTTAAAATATTTTTTAAAAAAAGTGCTATAAACATTTTTTTTTATTCCAAAATAAGAACATGAAAAATGCTAAGAAAAGCTATGTTTTTATTTCTAAACATAAATAAATTAATGTAGCTTGATGATAAGCAAAAAAAAAATTGAATAATTTCTTTCAAAAAAAGTTACAAAAAGAAAACGAAATATAGAGAAAGAGAGTGAGAGAAAAAAAAATGTTTGAAATGATTTAAAAAAAAAAAAAAATAACAGACAAAAAAAAGTAAGCAAAAAAATCAAAAATATGCGTATCAGTCAAAAAAAAAAAGAAAAGTTCTGTGATATTCAACATTTAATTAGCATTAAATTCAAACTAAAAAGCTATGTGTAACATAAGAACAAATTATCTGTGATGTGTATTATAAAATTTGCAATTTTTTAAAACTTTTTTCAAAAAAAAGAAAAGAATAGAAGAAAAACGAAGAAAGAATTGTGAAGTTAAAATGATTGTAGGTTGGAAAAAAAAATGAAATATTAAATGCAACTGAAAAGCATATTTTACATTTTATTCTAATATCAGTAAACTTTTTCGTTTTTCTCTTATAATACAAACAAAAAATTTTGTAATACTTTTAAAATTAATGATTAAAATATTAATACATCGCATATTAATTAGCTAATTTATGAATAATATGATTAATTAATTATTGCTGAAAATATAAAAATCGTTACAAATACTTTATTATATATACATTCAGACTTTTTTCCTCGCTTATTTTTATTTCATTTATCATAGCTATTTATGTTTTTCATTTATTATTAATAAGATGTTTTTCTAAATGTTAAGTAAACAAAAATTTATTTATTAACTAAATATGTAATTAAAAAAAAAAGGCGGAAAAAAACATCTACCATTTCTTATTAATTAGTAATTTAAAATAATTAAAACTGCAAATACAAATTTTATTTTTATACATTTAAATTTAATTATTTAAATTTTCAGACTGATACAAATGTGAAGAATATTGAGAATGGTTTTAAAATGCATTCAAATAAATCACTTTTTTTTTGCTTTCTTGTAAATGATTTTTGACGGAAATGCAAAAGATGAGGAGATGTTTCGAAGATTAGTGTGATGGATGCGGAAGAAAGAGACGAAATTTTTGAAGTTAATAGAAATTGAAAAATTGAAAATGATGAGAAGCTTACCAAATGAATTTTTCACAATCATTGCAAAAGTGCTTTTTTCGTTTCTCTTTTTTTTTTTTTTTTTTGTGATTTCATTTCATATTTTTCCTTGTTTTTTTGTATTCTATTTTTTTCTTAAATGTTCAAAACGCAACTGAACACTGCAAAAATCAATTAATGATAATTTTTTTTTTTTTCTTTTTAGTTCATATAGAGTTAGTGATAAGAGGGATAAAGAGGGAGAGAGGAAGAAAGAAAGAGGGAGAGAGATAAGATAAAAATTTTCGAAACACTGTTTGCTGTAGATTTTACATTCCTTTTGCTAATTTGTAATATGTGTAACAGTATCTCAAAATTTTTATTTTACTTTTTTTTTCTTAATTTTTTCCATTTTTATTTTTTTGAAATAATTATATTTTAGAAAAAGTGATTCTAAAATTGGGATAAATTGATTTATTTGGTAAAAACAAAAGAAAAAAGAAAAAAAAAATTTGAAGCTAATGATAAACTAACTTATTCGTTAACAAATATTTCAAACATTTAACAATTTTTTTTTTCCTTTTTTGCTTTCATTTTTTTATATTTACTGTTATTTATACTTATGACACATTCTAAAATATTCTTTGATTTCATTGAATTAACTATTTTCATTTAATAAACAAATATGCATTTAATTTCAATTTAAATAAAAAAAAAACGGATATTTTATTAATTTTTTAATTAAATTTTTTTCTCAATTTCACGTTGACCTCTAAACAATAAGAACTTACCTTTCGCACTTTTTTTTTTATTCGTCATTTTCATGTTAATTTTACTCCTTTCAATATTTTGCTGAAAACAATTTTATTAATTATGCTAGATTAGAGAAAAATAATAATAAAATAAAAATTGAAAAAAAAGACAAATAAAACAAAGTATAGAAAAAAAAAAACAGGTAAATTGACAAATTTTTTATATCAAAAGAAATTTTATAGTTATAATTTTAAAAAAAAGTATTTTTTTTATCATTCTTTTATTCCTTTGTTTCTCTCTCTCTCTCTTTCTCTCACATCGTCCTTTTTTTTCTTCTACCCATATATATTTGTTTATTTTGACCTTTATTAAATTTCAATTGTTTAACTTGAATCAAGCAAACAACTGTTTGCTCGTTTAATCTCAAACACTTTAGTGCTTTAAAAAAAAAAAAAAAAAAGAAGGAAGAAAAAAGAGAATTTCAATGAGATGTTTCAAATTTATTGACTAAAATGTTTTAAATGAATGATTGATTACTTGTGGTTTCCATCTCTGTAGAAATCACTGATTAATGCTTATCGCTAGATACCAATTCATAATTACCACAAAGAAAGTAGACGAAGATTCAGAGTAAAGAAATGATTGCAATGTGTTTTGCTTTGTTTTATTTCAATATTAACTTTATCTCTCATTCACTAACAAAATTTAAACTTTTATCAAATACAGTTATTTCTTTTTCTTTAATCATAAAAATAAAACGAAGAAAAAAATTTTTTTTTCATTGCTTTTTTTCTTTCTTCCTTCCCAAATTTAGTACATTTATTTTTTTGCCTTTCTTTTTTTTTTTTTTTTTTTTTAAAAAAAAAGTGGGAAAATGAAAAGGATGTATGAGTTATAAAATTACTATTAATTTTCTAATCATATTATATATATGAAATATATGAATTTATAGGTTTTCTGAATTTGATTTTTTCAGTTTATTTGTTTATTGTTTCTTTTTTATTCGTTTTTTTTTTTTTTTTTTTTTTGTGAATTTCAATAAATTGAAATAAAAAATTGAAATTCACAAAAAAAAAAAAAAAAAAAAATGATTGATGGAAGAATTTTATGTTAGGAATAAAATTGTTTATTACTTTCTGAATTCCACATTTCATAATTTTACTGACACTTTTTTTTTCCTATGCACCTGTCTTGAAGTGTTGTCTTATCTCACCTGCATCTCGTTATTAACGAATTGTTGAGGTAAAATGAATCTTCCAGCTGTTATTTTTTCTTTTTCTTTTTTTACAAAATCATCAGCGCTTCTATTTCTTCGTCTGTTCTTTATGCTCAATTTCAAATTTTTGTTTTTCTGTTATTACTAAAAAAAATAGGAGGAAAAAAAAAACGAATACTAATTTACAAGAAATCTTTTACTATTTGTTTCAAATTTACAACTATCTTCAAAATAATCAGCTTTTACAGATTACTTATTTTCGTTGTTTGTAATTGAAAAACAAAACTTTTCTAAGATATTTCATTTTATTCTTTTAAATTAATTAGAAATGTGTAAAATAAATTTTAAGTATCTGTTATTATTATCGTTAGGAATATACGCTTAAATTTATACATGAAATTGAATTGAATAAAGTAGGTATATTAGAACAGTCATCAATTTAATTTCAGTCTTTATCACACTCTATTATTATTGTTATATGATTTTTTATTATTGTTATGTTGTTATTATTATTTATTATTATTGTCATTATTACTATTATTATCATTTATTATTGTTAGTGTCATTATTATTATTTATCATTATTGCTATTATTATTATTATTTATTTATTATGTTTAATGTTATCATTTTTTGCATTGATTATTATGAGTTTTGGATCCTGTTTTTTTTTTTTTTTTTTGGAAACTTAAAATTAAATTTTTAGCTATTGCCTTTATGCGTACCTTATGCAACAACTTTCAATACAAACTTTTATCGTCTGTGTGACTGTTACCGTTAAATTGACATTTGGAAGGGTAATCGCTATAACAAATCGTAATATAACAACAAAAACAGCAATGGATGATAGTAATAAAGGAGGTATGTTGATTTTTATTTCTATAATTTTGAATTAATTTAATTAATTAGTTATTCGTTTTCTTTAAAAAAAAAAAAAAAAAAAAAAGAAAAGAAATTGATGGTTATGAGAAATGAATGAAAAAAGTAAAACGCTATATCATTAATCAATAATTGCAATTTCATCTAAAAAAATTAAATTTTTATAAAAAAATCATCGAATAAATTCAAATTGAACTAGTATTTTAACCTATTTTAATTCTGCATTCCATGACAATGCGAAAAAGTCTATTTTTGATTTCTTTTTTCTTCCTTCCTCATTGTTAATATCACAAAGCTAAAAACTGTTTTGCAAGTATCAGCTAAGACTAAAACAAAAATTTCGAACTTTTTTTCGCTTTTTGCAGAAAAGAAAAATTTACAAATTGGAATGACAATCGAATCAATTAGCGATTTTAATCTCAAACAATCGGTAAATCAATCAAATTGTTCACATTTTTTTCACTTTTTTTTTAAAAAAATAAAAAACTCTTTGTTTTTTTTTATTTAACACTATTCACGCATTACACACAGTTTTCCCCTTTTCCTTTTTCTTTTTTTTGTTTTTGTTTTAGCGAATGAGTGAATGATAAAGTAAGTGAAAGAATCGCACTGTTTTCAATGATAATTGAGAAAGGTCATAACCTTTCTGGAAGCAATTTTTAAATACAATCAATGAAATGCTTAGCTTATTTATAGCAACAAACTAATTTGATTATGTAAAATGTTGCAAATTAGCGACACTAAAATTGCATTAAGTATTAATATATAAAGTAAAACATAAAAATATTCTTTTCATTTTCATACCATTTTTTTTTTTTTTTTTTATTCAAATAACCATTATTTTCATATTTATGTAGCAAAAAAAAAAAAAAAAAAAAAAAAAAAAGGAAAAAAAAAACAAGAAAAAAGAATAATACAGCTGAATTATTATAAATATTTAGTTAATTATTTGTCATCTTATTGTTTTTTCTTATTTTATAAAAATAACCTATTTTTTTTTATATTTAATTTCATATTTATTATGAAGAAGAACAGATTCTACTAATTAATTCATTCATTTTCAGAATTTTAAAGCGTCCATTTCTTTATTAATGGTAGTGGAAAAATCAGGTAGACCACCTGGTTCAGTTATTGTCAAATATGATCAATATCTATACCCATTTAGTGATTTGCAATTTACTGGTAATAAAGTACAACCAAAAGATGCTTATCGACTTATCATTTCGGCATCTGATGGTACTGCATCTACTCGATCAAAGTTAATACTTACCTTTTTATCATTTTTCATAGTATCAACCCAATTTTGAATGTATAATTAATTGCTTTATAGCTATAATGAAACTTTAGCTAAAACTTTGTCCTTCATTATGATAGTAAAAATTACTTCAAAATTAGTAAATTTTTAAATTTATAATTGTCATATTTATTTAATATTGAGTTATGATAAGTAAGAATTCTATTTGACAATTATATAAAAGTAAAGAGAGAGAGAGAGAAAGAAAGAAAAAAAAATGAGTAACACTTATGTTAGGTAATGTATGGAATTTAATGATAAAAAAGCAATAATTTCTATTGATACGATCAATATTATAATAAGTAGCTCTAATTAATTAGTAGTAACGACTAATCTACAGGTGATAGGATGATAAGTGAGCAAATATTGCAAAAGGAATGCAAACTAATTCGTTTTTCTCTTATTGTTCTTTCCAGCTTTTTAATATTTCGTAATTTAATTAATTAGCTAATTTTTTTTTTTTGAAAAATTTTGTTCAAATCTTTTTTTAAAATATTTAAAAATTTTCATTTTCTTTTTCTTTTTTCTGGGACAAAATTTTGATAAAAAAAAAAAAGTTAATCAATAAGTAAGCCTTCTTTTTGATCATTAATAATGCTTGTCTTATTTCAGTTATGAATTGGAAATTCATTGTCCATTCAATTTGAAACATTATCCATTCGATTCGCATTATTGTCCCATTGATATCTATGCGGGTTTTCATTTCTCATTTAACTTTAGCATTTAATATTTAACATCTTTTAAAAATTTTTACAAAATTCCTCAATAATTTAATAAATGGAATGTAATTAATTATTTGTATTTCATAATTTTTTATGCTTCAAATTTTGAGTTTTTTCCAAAAATGCATATTAAAAAAAAAAAAAAAAAAAGAAAAATTAATGCCTCAAATTCATTTTTGGTCATTTTTTTTTCTTTTTTTTTTGTTTGTCAAAGTTAACTTATATACGAATAACTAAATTAAAAAACTTGTATGCATCAATTATTTGAAATGATCCATTTTCTTTCCTTTCATTCTTTTTTTTTGTTAATGAGTCTCTGTTGCAGGTAAACATCCCAGCAGGCAATTATCACTTTCGTGGTATTACTCTGATGGTGCACGATTGAATGCAAGTATAGGACCAGTAAGCATGCATACATCATTAGTTTCCAGTGAAAGTTGCAATTTTGAAGGACTTTATGCTGTCACTGAATTAAATACAGCTTCAGGTTTGCTTCCTCTTTTTTCAAAATTTTTGGAAATAATTATTTAAGATTTAAGAAGGGAAAAGAGAAAAAAAAAAGTTGACAAATTGATTTTCGTGAATATTAATAATTAAATTTAAAAAAAAAAATATTTCATAATATTCTGTTATTATTTACTTTGATTATCTTTAGTATTATTATTGTTTATTACTTACTATTATTATCATTGTTATTATCACTTATTATTATTGTTATTATTATTATCATTATTAGTTATCATTATTTTTACTAATCAATTATTAAAAAAATTTATTATTATTTGTTCGTCAATATAATTGAAACAAATATTAATAAATAAAGTAAGTGATAAAATAATTGAAAAATTAATTATTTATTTTCTTACTCTCATCTTTTTTCCTATTTTTATATTACCCTTTCTTCTCTCTTTTAGCTCGATTCTCATGTCTTCGTGTTCGATTACATTTTCATCGGCCATTCCATGCATCATTTTTTCGTTATTTCTTACCAACAATTATACTTGTTGCACTTACCTGGATTATCTTTTACATTGAACGACAACGTTTACAATCACGGATAACAATTTTGGCCTTCTCATCTTTGCTTACATTCTTCTGTGTTAATTTTTTATTTAAATTTCTTTTTTTTTTTTCTAAATTTAATTCAAAAAAATGAGTAAATGATAATAATAGATTTTTTTTTAAAGAAAAATCTTTTTTTTTTCTTTTAGAATTAAATGAGAAAATATTCAAAATGAATAAGACAACAGTTTCATTAAACACTTTTTCGTATATATAATGCAGTAGAACTATCATTGTAATATAAATGATATCACTTTATAACTTTTATTGATTAATTAATTTTACTCACAAGCATTGAATTATCACTTACTATGTATTATCACTCTGATTTTAGTGTTGTTTCAATTACTTAATAAGATAGTAGTAATAGTGTATGGGATAAATAATGCAAATGTTAACCTGACTGATTCTAAATATATTCTTCCTAATCCTTTACCAGTTGGAATGAAATTTATCACTAACTGATGATACCGAGTATTAGATACGACTACATCATTAAAATAATTAAATGCGACATTCAGATTTCATCTCTGTGGAATAATTAAATTTGGTCTACTACCTAGCTAAAATTGATGATAATTTTCAGGTAAACTAATTACTTCCTTATCAGAAAATAAAGTGCTTTCAGGCAATGCTTTGGAATAATGAAGTACCTTCAACAGCTTACTTAACAGCTGCTGATGTTTGGGTCTTTCTATGCAATACATTCATTCTTCTTTCACTACTCGAAGTGATATTTTAAATTTTAAATAAAAAACTATTGATTATTACTATTTAGATATGTCTAAAATACGAGGTAATAATTAGTGTGATATTATTTATTACATAACCTTATAAATTAGTACTTTATTTTCAATTGTCCAATCTCATTCTTAACTTTAGCAAGTGTAAGGTTGATTGTATGTTCACAACAACATTATCAAATGTATCATAGTATTGAGTAACGATTGCAATGATCATTTTTAGTGATATTTTAATGGAAAATCGAAGTCATAGAAACAAACGCTAATCAAAATATTCGAAAATATAATTCTCATAGCAACTATTATTTCCCGTATCGCTTCAAATCATATTTATGAAAGAAATAAAATAATTGTTTTCTTCCAGAAAAAAGAAAGACTAGAAGAACCTACTTTATTACAAACGATTGAATATTTAATTAAAAAGAAAAAAGGAACACTAAACTTTTTAAAGTTTATGTGAACATTTGCAGGTTATAGCAGTGCACATATTAATGAAAATGTCACATAAGCAGCTTCTACTTGCTAATAAAAATGAATCTGTTCGAGCGGAAAGTCGATATCGGCGTGAAAAGCAAGCTGTAAAACGTGGTCGCTCAATTAGCCCAAGGCCACCTATTGCTAATGGACGAATATTTGAGATGAAACATTTAGATCAAGTTTGTTCATTTATTTTATTATAAATTCAGAATTACAGTTCTATAAAATAATAATGGTCAATTTGCGCTAAAATTGAAAATATTTAATTGGAAAATATTTTGTTTTAATTAATAAAGTGATATTGTATGGAATTGAATTAATTAAATCAGATCAGATAATATACCATAGTAATCATTCATTTTATTCTGTTAAAAATATATCTAAAATTTGATTGAAAATGTTTATAATAACTATTAGGAAAAAAAAAAGAGGGGATTTTGGAATAATTTATGATTTTGTAGGATTTACTTGGTTCAACATCAACATCAAACTATGATACTTTGATAAATGATTATTTCCATCGTTGGTCCGATTACTATTCAGTAACAGCTGCACGGGTTGATCTATCAGCGCGTATCATACTGCCACTTGCATATGGTATTGTAGTTTCACTCTACTTCTCTTTTTACCTATTTTTGTAATTTTTGAAAATATCGCTATTAGAATTTTAAAAGGAAAAAAAAGAATAGTGAATAATTTCTCAACATTATATTACATGTGTTATACAAAATCAATCATAACACATGCAACCATGATGATAAATTTTCAATTATAATTGTTTTCAACAAGCCAAAAAAAGAACCTAATTATGAACTTATCTTAATAAATTGCCAACAATATCTCTTCGTCTAAAAAATGAACCTACCTGTCCACAATTGAATATTACCATAAATAAAATCCTCAACCTAGTTTCGCCGCATATATATCCATTTATCTTATGTGACCTTTCTTTAAAAATAAAAAATTACGTTTGTGCTTTTCTTCGTATTCCCTCTTAGAACGACCACGGTCGTATATTATTGTCAACTTTTATTTCTGAATTATGTTACTGAAGTAAAACGCAAAGGGTGGTGGTGTAAAGAAAGAAATTTCATTACATTCATAATTGGTTATCTGTTTAAAAGTTATGATTCATATAATCCTATGAAAGCATAAATAAATAAATACAAATAAGTAAATATATATTATATACAACAGCAGAAGTGCATATTAAGTATTCTCCAGTCTGATGAATGTATCATTGAACTTTCTTCAATTCCAGAAATAATCATTTAGGAATAAGCAGTGGATGGTACAAATGAAATATATACATGAAAGAAATAAAATAACGACAATATTCACTGTAAGGCAACTTATAGTAAATGCTTATTGCTCTCTTCTGAGTTATAAAGGATAGCAGTGTATAAAAAAATAGTGCATAATTTGATTAAGACAGCTTTTGATGATTTTCTACGACTAGTACTTTCTAGCACTGATAAGATTTATGGCACAATTATCAGCAGCAAACACGTTGTGACTCAAACTTTTTGCGCTCCACGTCCAACTTATCAAATAAAAAACTATAGGCGTTCTTGTATGCATTCGAATGCACACCTCGATCATCACTTTGCGAGTACTGAAATACGCTCATTATATTTCTTTAAATGAAAATAAGACATTTTTTAAAAAATCATTACCATCAAGCAGTGTTGCTTTAGCAGAAAATTATGAAGTCAAATTTCATGAAAAATTAAAAAAAAGATTAAAAAAGATATTAAATTATATTATATTAAAAAAAGTATGCCAAGAACATACCTTCGGCCTCTCTACAACAATGCTTTTTATATTATTAAACAAGCTTGGAAGTGGTTTCCCGGGATTATATTTCGACCAGAAGCGATGAATTTTTAATTTCAACTGTAAATTAAGAAAAAGGAAGTAAGAACAGCACAGCAATGAAGGCTCAAACAGTTGTGTAGATAAAAAATAAAATACTGTCAATAAAAACCACTAACATTATTGATCCTATAATTGACATCTCGAACACTCGAGTAATACTGTTGCTCCTCAGCAAGCTGCGCTTTTTTCTGCTTATCCAAATTTGCTATATAAGGCAATTGGTAATTCCGAGCTTCATTTATAATGCCTTCCGCTTCTCTAATCAACTTGTCAAGTTCTTCTTTATATGGTCCCTGAGCAGCATCTAGTGTAAGTGGTCCAGCGATTTCAGCTGAAACATTAGACACTCCGGTATCTGACAACAACTGTAGCATGCCTTCAACCTGAAAACAACATATCGTTAACCTAAATGTACCTCACATTTCATTCAATGTTCAATGCAACTTAAACAATAAAAGAGTTCATTATCACGTTAAAGAATTTCAGCAGATTTCAATGAAAAAAAAACGTAAACACCAATGCAAACAATAACTAAACTTCAAATTCAAACAATAACTAAAAAACCTTTAAGTGACGTATTTTCTCATTTGCAAATTTGAGAGCATTTTGATTTTCAATTAATGCTGTTTCCAGAATACTGATTTCAGTCGCATATGTAAATGCACTGCCACTGGTAGCAGTTGGTGTTGATGGCAGCGAAGAACCGGATGATGTCAGATTACTGCTCAGGTTCTTTAAAAGGAAAAAAAAAAAAATGGCTACCCAAATTTTAGAGCCATAAATGTTAATAAAAAACAAACCATTATTTAAAACACTAATACTGGCTTTATACAATGCATTTTTTTCAAACATGGGTAAAGAATAACACACCATTAACAAAGCTTTTTTGCTCATATTTCTAGCACGTTCTTTCAGTTCTATATTCTCCTTTTCACATGCTTCCAAATCTCTTTGTATAGCATCCATTGTCTCTTCGTACTCACTAAAAATAATTCTGCTTCTCAACTAAACGCAAAAAAAAAATTAATACCATTATAAAGTGAGAATATGAAATAAACGTACTCTCTCCTCCTTTTCAATTCGCTTTGCAATTCATCACAACGTGACTGCAAGCTCAACACCCGTGACTCATCAGCTTTCCCCGATGTTTCTATTTTTTTATCAGCCATTTCTAAGCGAAGCTAAACAACGAAATAAAAATTACAATAAAAATAAATCTTCCTAAACAAGCAATCTTCATTTATCTCGCCCAGTGTGGAAATACCTGGAAAAACTTACTAAAAAAACCTATTAATATTCTTCCACATCATTGGTTTCTCAACTCTCATCCATCTTCCAATACCAGAAACACCATTAAGTTATTAAGAAATAAGTTCAAAAGGATACCCTATAATTGCTGATATCATCTGCCTTAGATCGAAGCGTTTTCTTCAAATCAGATATTTCATTTTCCTTTTTTTCCAATTGCCAACGAAGTTCTTCTGTTTCCGCTGCATCCTGTTTTCGAGCATGAGCTCGTTCCAAAAGCGGCGGAAATGGCTGAAAAATACATTTTATCCAAAATAGAATAGAACAAAAGAATTTGAATCGGTTTAACTATTTTAGTATAGTTATGTAGAGCGAAAAATTGTAATTCCTGATAAAAATGCATAGGTGGTGACACAAAGTTAACAATAAATTGGGGAGATCACAACTTTAGGAGACTCTCACCTTCTTATTGTCTGTTTCTACTTCCAAGCTCCCACTGTCCAACTGCTCAGCTAACTTTGCAAGAATCGATTTTAGTGTAAGTATATCATTCCTGTAGAAAAGATTCAGCAAATAAAAAGAAAAAAAATTATAGATTCTATACAGCATACACGTATTTCAATTACAGCAATAAAGAATGAATAATTTCGATACATATGATTACTAGTCATACAACAGCTTTTTGAAAAGCCATACTTAATAATTTCTTGGACCTTGGCGCTGTCAGTTTGACCATTCATTTTTTCAACGGCTCCCAGTAACAGTTCTTTAATTCGCTCACTTTGCAATCCTTCAACATCTAAAAAACCGCTAAATATTTAAATGTTTTTTTTTCTTAATTTTATTTTCCATCTTAAAACCAGTAACAATTGGAAATATTAATATACAACAAAGTTAGTACTGAGAACTGAATGACTTGTAATTCGGCTGGCAAATATTTACCAGTATATGTACTTAGCTGTATACTTGCTGTAGCACAGACATTGTCCGCAACAGTTGCTAATTTCCAAAGGATGTTGCCTGCACTTAATAAGTGCTCATCAACCTGAAAAATTAAGAAATAAAAAAAAAAAGTAGAAGAGCAAAAATTTTCTTCATTGCGTCCTAAAGTTTCTAGAAGTTTTAAATGGAACTGTATTAGAACGATTAAAGAAATGAAATTTCAAACACATCTGAAAAAAAAAAACTATACCTGTTGGTTTATTGTCATTTCCTTCTGTGCTGCGATACTATTTCTTGAATGAATTGTTAGCTGCTCACATTCCGTGATTAATCCCATTAAGGTAGCAGCAAGAATATTAATATCGCTATTTTCAATACCAGGCTTTAAAAAAATACCTGACTGTTAATTGATGAGAATAATATTTGCATCTATCTTCAAAAGTGATCGTAAGCAACTCATGATAAACAAACGAGAGAAATTCAGCAACTTGTTTACGCTATCTAGTAATTTAGCTTTCAAAAAAAAAGGATGGAAATGAATTCCTGAGATCTATAGAACAATAACATTTTGATAATGGGTAGAAATTATGAAAACGACCAAAAATTGCATTCATTTTCATCTATAGTATGACTGGTTCTTTTAAAAAGGATATTATCATCAGTTGCAAATCCTTCTAAAGTGCATTTATTTTAAAAATTTCGAACTCACCAATAAAAAGTATGTGAAACGCTGAACATTTATTTTCATCCAACCCAAACCAGAGAGTAGTTGAGCAATAAAATCAGAAAATGCCTGTTTCATATCATATTCCTCAGAAACCATGTGAACTGAGAAAACATTCTGAAAAAAAACAATCATTTTGTTCAAATCTAGAGAAAGAATTCCGAACTCAGAGCTAAACTCTAAAGTATATTTTGGGTAAAAGCATGGTGATTTATATCATACTATCAATAATACTAAAAAACTATAATTGTATGCTTAACTTTTACTCAAATAACACTTAATTTATAATTTGATATTTTACTAAGAATAGCTAGATTTTTCAATAATACAACAAGAACAAAATCTGACCTGGAAGTATGTTATTCCTTTCTCAAGATTTGCTGAAGAGGTATTCTCATCGAGACGATCAGTCTTCAATAAATCAATATATTGATCGATCATCCTTTCCTGTGTTACCATTTCTAACTGAAGTTGTGCCAAGCGTGACAGTCTTTCTACTGAACAGCGTTGTATTGCACTGAAATATATGCAAGAACATTTCGAAAAGAATCCATTTTGGACGATCTTCTCGAACTGAATATCAATTAAAAATTTAGTTTAACAGAATGCCACTAAGTGAAATACGAAAGTGAGGATGAAATATTCTTAGTGAAATATGAGATATTTCTTTTTATATAATGACTACTCAAATCGACTCACCTCTCAAATTTTCGTAGGATACATTCAAATGCATTCAATAAATAATTAAACTTTGCACAATGTGCCCACTGCTCAGCCTTGTGTGATTTGGTAACATGTTCACGACGCATACCACCTGGTACTGCAGGGTACTGAAAAAATCGGACAAATTATAAAAATTATAGATTACTTGCTACCACCCATTACCAGTGAAATACCATTTAAAAAAAAAATAATAAAATAAAAAAGAAACAAACTTTACTACTCATAAGCTTTGCCAAGGCCACTGATTTTTGATACAGCCGTGGAAACAAGACATTAAGTATTACTGCATCATTGTCACCTGTTAATTTGACAATTGTATTAGATTTAATTATTTAGTATTACACTACCAACAATAACTTAATTGATGCAATTTAAAAAATATTCTTGACTGCTGGTACTATTTTAAGTTTCTCGTACCAAATACAAATTGTACATCAATACTCTAAATGAAGCGATCAGATGATCACTGGAATGAATGATGACGGCACAATGTTTTTACAGCACTGTATTATGAATTAATATTATAAATTAAAAATTTACCCCCTGGTTTCATAAAATTATCTGGCATAAAGGCTTTCAGATATCTGATAAATTGATGTGCAGATTCCAATTCTAACGATTGCACCTTAGCATCCACAATCTAAAGAGATAAAACGACAGAACCATAAGAAGCTATATTCATAAACCGAGAGTTCGAACAGTAGTTCAACTCTTCATTCGAATTAGGTCACACTGCTAAAATTTTAAACTTACTTCCGAAAATACGCGTGCAGAGGTAAAACCGGTACTTTTCAATCCAGGAGCAGCAATTCCTTCTTCGAGAATTTTTATTTGTTCTAGCATATGTAAATTCTGAAATATTCATTTAAGTTAACTCCTTGAACTAAATCACAATATATTCCTTATGTCATTATATTCTAAATGGACTTGCATAAGATTTGCAAGAACGTGACCCTTATGAGTAGAAAGGGAAACTCCTCGAGAACTATTACACGCACTAAGTTTCCACAAACTAAAGTGTTGAAATAAAAATAAATGACGACAGTAGTCAAAAGATAACTATTTTCGGGTATGAGCTAGAATCACAAAAGCAAATGAGAAAAATCGCATAAAAAGTTGCTTACATCATCATAACGATCCTGGATTTCTTCATTTAGATCGCTAACTTTCTTACGAAACATGAGAATCGTTTTTTCGTAATCTTCCGCTTGCGCACCACAAGTCTTTATTTGTAGCAATAACTGAAAATCTCAAGATTATCCAAAAAGTATTTAGAAAGTTATATGAAAGACAAGTTGCTCGGGAACATCCCTCATTACCTCATTGATCTTCCCATACGCTTTATCAAGCTCTTCCCTCAACTCCTTTTCAGTATCTTTTTGATTCTCTAATATTTCTTCATCCATTGCACGCATAGTTTCAAAATCATCAATCGTTTCCTCCAAAGCTCTGTAAGAAAACAAAAACTATGATAGCAAAAGTACACAATTTAGGAGTACAAATTAAAACAAACTTAATCAAATCGATAAGCAATTGAAGAAAAAATGAGGCACACTAGCATAATCACCTCAACAAAGTGATATGCAATATAAACTCGGAAAAAGTAAACCTTACGGGTTACTGCTGTTTTTAATATGAAACAAAATATAACCTGACTTTATCTTCCATATTCAAGTTTATATCTGTCAATTTTTCTATCATTTTCTCACTTCCCATTGCTATATCTACCTGTAAAGCAATAAATCCTACGGGCTACTGTGTTTAATATGAAATAGAACACTTTAAAATCATATTTGCTGCTCTTAATATGAAACAAAATATTACCATCAAAATCATGTTTGAAAACAGCATCAAAAAGCTCGATCGATAATTTTTTCATTTGTAATAATTTTTTTATAACAAGTCAAGCAAGAATCGTTACAAGAAAAATCGAATCAAATCGATTCGAAACGACCCATAAATTTCATATCCCACCGGATAAGTGAGAAAAAACATGGTTTATAGTTTCACTCTAACAATTAATTAACCAAACAGACTCTACACCCATGGAGAAAATGTGCAAAAATCAAAAGAAACGATGACAAAAAACGCATAAAGTACAGTATGTCTACCCTTTTCTTAACACTGCAGTTATGCAAATTTCATTCTGAGAATGAAGACAATGAATTAAAGTTCCCAACGTTTGTTAGTGTTAACAAGATCAAATTATTTCCACACTTTGTATTATTAAGCATTCTCAATTTCGCATGATTCAAAATGTGAAGTCACTGACTTGTTCTCTTAACTCTGCAATGATATTTTCATATTCTTCCGAGTTCTCCTTTATTTTTTCACTCATTTTTGTCAAAGAGGCTAATTCATCTTTCAACTTTTCATTTTCTTTTGTTAAATCCTGCTTTTCAATTACCAGTTGTCCTGTGATATCTCGCAACCTAAACAAAATAAAAGTACAGACTCGCCTTAAATAATATTTAATCAATATTTGGGTGGTTCATGAGAAAAGAATCCCAAAACTAAATATCAATACCTTACTAACGCCTCACGAAGCTTCTCATTCTGTTGTTCCAGTTGTTTCACCTGCACGCTGCTATACTGAAAGTTTTAAAATGTTTCATTTCTTTCTTTCCATCATTCGAAAAAATCAGCCAATATTGATTAATTTTCGAAGTTTTACAAATAAGACTGTGATACAAACATGCCTCAGACGAACTATCGCCTGATTGCTCTAATTTGTTGCGTAGTAATTCCAGCTCAACTTCTATTTCTTGCGATCGTTGTTTCTCCGCTTCAATTTCGGTCTAAATAAATTGTGTATGGTTATGTTAAAAAGCTCACTGCAGCTGTTGGTGGAAAGAGATATTTTATGAGAATGCTTGAGAAGTTTACCTGCAGTATGTCGACCTTTTCTTCAGCCACCTCCTTTTCAATCGCTATTAATTCAAGACGCTCTTCAAGTTCTGTAATGTCATCACTTTCGTTTTTTTTCGATTCGAGTGCATCTTTTAACTCCTGCAACTTCACTGCTTAACTGTTTAACAGTACAATTCCAGGTTGAAACAGACGACTCCTCTGGTTGCTTTACTACTCATCACCTAGCTAGCGAGATAGCCACAACTAAAAATCAAACGCGAAATTGTGTTACCTTTTCCTTTTCCTGTAATTTGCGTTGTAGACTAGCTTTCTCCTCAATTATTCTGACTCTGAACTGAAGCAATGATTCTAATTGTATTCGGTTTCTTTCAAATTCAACCAATTTAATGTAATCATCTTTCCTTTTGATTCTAAAAAATGAAATCACTGAATGACACAGATGAGTAACATTGAAATAATGATAACAAAAAAAGAGTACCTTAAACTTTTCAGTTTCTCAGAGAGATCCTTATGCTGTATACGCAGCCATTCGAGTTCGCTTCGTTCATCCATATTAGGAGGTCGTGGAACTAACAAAGATGACTGAAATAGAGAAAGTCAGCATTCGATCATTTTATATTTCTGTTCTAAAAGTGACTAAATATGAAATACATAACAGAAAAAAAACACAAATTCATTACTGAACCTACAGATTCATTACCAGAAACTCTAACTTTTCTCATTATAAGGCCAAGCATGCTCGAGTGTTTGAACATACAACTAAGAAACGTTTTAATATGAAATTATTTTAACCTCTTCCATCTTTTTGACGATGTTTTTTACACTCTCTGCTGTTGCAATATCTTCCACACTGGTTGCTCTCGATAAATTTTCTAATTCGTTTACAGTGGAACTCTTCGTCGGAATTGCAACCGATTTATACCTGGTCTCACTGACAGGAGACTTCTCATATGAACAAGAATCCTGCAACCAATCAACAATACTGTGATGCACTTAGACTTGAAAAATTAAAAAATATTAAATCAATAAATCTGGAAAAAGAAACCTCTACAGCTGCCTGCAAAAGTGACTGACTATCAGATTTTTCAACACTTCCTTTCCTGTCTTCTTTAGAATAAAGCTTTTTTGCAGACAAACCACTCGTTCCACTTAGATTCTTCAGTTTTTCAGCAGAAGATGATGGTGTCAGTCCAGGAGAGATCTGGAAATTGAAAGAGAAACAGTCCATAAATCCTCACTTATTTTAAAATAAGTGCTACATCGTTTTTAAAACACTTGCAGCCAGCAAAATCTTGCTTCTCACATTTTTTCGAACATTGGTAGATAAACGTGAGCCATATTTGCCTCGAGATTCCAGACGAATCTAGAAGATTATTTAATAAACAAAATAATATACAAGAAATTTCATTTGACGTACTCCAATAATTTTACTTTCTAAAACACAGACGGATGAGAATCGTGGTAGCCATAAAGGAAAACTAAAGAATACAAGCAACTGACTTGATTTGCTCTCAAAAAGATGCCATGACTCGGTTTACATGCAAAATACTGTATTCCTTTTACTGTACCGTTGTGTTTCCCATTCGGTTCATCCAAATTTATGCCTATCCAAGTACCTTCCGCAAATTTGGTTTCACCACAGAATTCTATTACTCCTGGTCCCCTATCTAAAAGCTCAAGTAGCTTTTTTTTGTTTTTTATAGCACACACATAAGAACAGAATTCACATGTTTTATCATGTATTAAGCAAAAACATAAGGAGCACAATCCGATTAAATACCCCACCAAAAAACAACAAAATCTACAAAGTTTATCTCTTCTTATATGCTCCCTGCTACAGTTTGAATTGAATTTCAAAAAAAGAAAAAAAAAATTACACTAACAATAATGTTTATAAATTGAATAATAAATGATTGGTAACATCATAGTTTCACTATTAATAATAGTCGAACGGTTGCGTCAAGCATTTGGTATGCTTCAGATATATGTTCTAGCAACTTACCATAATATTTTATTACATTTTTGTTCAATATTGTTTCAAGAAAAGCTTACCTGTATCAACTCTTACCCCAACTTTAAATGACATGTTTTTTTACAATATCAGTAGAATCACAATCACCAATTATTATCCACAATTGCAACGTCTAAAACCAGTTCACATTTCTATTTGTTTTTAAATTTTCATCAAAAAAATCTGGAAGATCTCAATATCTCACCATAATGACACCACGCAATTTCAAAATGATAAATAAAAAAAAAGAAAGAAAAGCAGAAAAGAAAAAGATGTTCTCTTCTAATTTTTTTCCTCTGTGGAATGGTGGACTATGTATTCTTTATTTGTGTAGTAGTTTCAATTGCAATTTACTCATTAAACTCATATCATTCCCAGCAGAAAATAGAAATTCCAAAATGTTATACTAATCATTAATTATATATATGACTTAGATTGATAAGAGTTATTAGATGAAGTAAGCAATCAATTTTTAGAAATGTTCTATGAGTTAAATTACAACAGATGTCCAATAAAATCCAATCAAACTTAGTTAGTACAAAGCAGAAACGTGTACATTTCAAACTTATAGCCATTTCATTACGCACCTCTTCTAATTACACTGGCCGCATTTTGTGGCAATTTTAAAATGACATAGCGGCGGGGATGGTGTGGTGAATCAACATTTAGACGGATAGAAGTTGAGTGTGAGGGAGAAACTGAAGTTATTTCAACATGGCTCCTAAAATATCATATCAGGTTCTATTATTATATTTTAGTAACAGTATTGTTCCATTAAGATGGAAGGATATTTTTAATTAAGTCATTTATAAAGTAGAATATTCATCTTTTTCAAAGTTGTTTCTTATTACTAATTATTACTAAAAAAAAAAAAAAAAAAAACAGATTTACCTTGAAAATGATGAGGATTAGAAGAAAGGAGCTAAAATTCAAGACTGATAGCAAACGAACAAAGTGTGTGGTAGAGTTTGTTATTATTAACATATTACGTAATGATAATGACAATTGTAGAAATATTGAGATACTTGATCATGATTAGACTTAAAGAAAACTGCCAGCAATGCTTGCCTGTATGCTAAAGTAGTGAATTTTTACTTTTAATTAACTCTAAAAATTTAACATAAATTATCTGAAGTATAGATTATCTAATGAGCATGTAGAAGATGTTAAGTTGATGGTTCAGTTTTTCATTTCTGCAAATAATGTTTGTCGGTTGATATATATGTTGTAGCATTTCAGTAATTATTGAGAATGTTTAATGGATTGGAAGATCAGTTTAAGAAGTCTGGATCTCGTTATCAATTTAATATTGATCGCATTGCGGAGAAATACTGTAATGCATCAAACAGTCGTGAAATGGCGGTTGAAGCGCTGCAGAGAGATTTCGGAGATGCATGTATTTCATCACCGGTTGTAGAATTGAAGAATAAAAATAACAGAACAGTTTGTGAAAGTCTTAATGAGGTAAGATTTCGCATGTATTTGAATCGTTATCAAAGTCCCAGAGACTTTATTGAGATTGTGTATATATTGTATTACTGTGAATAAAACTCTACTTATAAGTGATTCGCTCTTATCGTAACATGTTTCTTTTGTACTTTAATTCTTTCAGGATTTTGAGATGGAATATGGGAAACGCATGTGTTTGGTATTTTTTTATGTCTTCACGTATTAGAAATTTGAAATTTTTTATAATTTTTTGAAAATTTAAGCATTTTTTGTTTAAAATTTAATTTTGGAATTTAAATATTTTTTTTTCATTTACTAGAATCAGAGAAACTATTCTTTTCTTGATGTTAGCTTTTGCGCAGATAAGTTATTTGTAAAGTACTGTTTCATTTCCTGAATGATTTTGTATTTTTATGCTTTCCTTCTCTTGATCCCTTACCAGAAGTAAGGAAATTTTAGGGTGATGATGTAAATACGAGACGAAGTGTCCCTGTGGGTAGGAGAAAATCCGGTATGTTCTCTCCTTCTTTAGATTTTATGTAAGTTTTATCTTGAGTTATCATGTCTTCTTATGCGGTAGCATCACTGCATTTTTGTTTATCATTGTTTATCATAATAGAATCTTTAGTATCGCGTTGACTTTGAATGCTTTGAAATTGGAATTTGAGTCATTTCAATTAAAAATCCAATTTCCAGCATTACTTTTCTATTTTCGAAACTAGCTTGAAAAGTGTAATATGAAAAATTATGAAAATGTTTGCTTATCCCATCTCAAATCTCTTATATTTTTAGATATGGAGAGGGGAGGAAAATTTGCTGCTATTGAAGAATATCTTGTGAGTTTTTGATATATAACAACTACTGACATCTTAATGAACAAGTCGGTTAAATGTAATAGGTTTATAAATAGCATGATCAGCTGACATTTAATAAATAATTTGTAGTCAAACGTTTCAAAGCGTTCTACAATTGCCAATATGGTGACGGACTCCGTGGAAGAACAGCCGTATTACTCACAAACTGTAAGTGCTGTCGTGTGTTTTTTATTGGCCATATTATTTACGATTTGTAAGTGCTGTTAATTTCTTGATTGATATAAATGATCTTAAATTATAAAGAAATCAGTTATATCGATGAACACAAAAACCCTTGCTGATAATAATGAGTGATAACACTAGCAATATGGAGTAGATAAGTAATACGAAGTTCATCAAAAGTCCATGGCACTGTGAAAAGTTGGGGTCACAGTAACTGTGATGTTGTCATTCTAACTTTCATTGTGCTATGGATTTCTGATGACCAATAAAGCATATCGTTGGATAAGATTGATGCATTTTTAGTTTATTATGAAGCAGAGGTATTAGTTCTAACGCTATTGATCTGAAAGTTCAATGAAGCGTAGTATAGTTTTAAAAAGAGTGGGACTCCACTGCACTATTTCTTTCTAATATGTAAGTTTTTTATTTGAATCTGAGGTTTTTTTTTTTTTTTTTTTCAGAAAAGTCTAAGAGAAGATGGGCTCATCAATAATGGCTTTATTGATGTGATTACATCACCTGTAAAAGAAGGTGCAGTTGAAATCCGTATGGTTAGTTTGATACTTTTTGAAAATTATCCGAAGAGTATGTTAGTTGTGTCTCGTTGAGAATTTTCAGGAGCAAGAAACTTTTGAAATTTACATCTGAGTTAACAATGAACATTTTCTTCTACAAATATGCAAAGGGATTTGACACTTTTTTTTGCTTGATGGGAGTGATTTTTTTAAAGTTCTAGCTTATGACATACATTTTCAGAATAACGAATTGACAATGCCAACATTGGAAAATAACGTACCTTCTCTACCATCTTCATCTAACCGATTTACTATTGCAGAGAACGGTAAGTCTTGAATATCGTATCATTTCATCTGCAGTGAGAGTAGAAAAAAATTTAACGTTTTTTGACATTCTTAACTTTTTGTTTAAGTAAAAAGTTTGATAAATTAATAAAAATGTTATTATTCTTCATATCTTGGATTAATTCTTCTGATCTGTGTTTTCCTTGTGCACAATAAGGTGGGATAATCTGTTATACTTCCAGAAACATTCTTGAATGCATGGTTTCGTAATGCGGAAAGTCACAAGATCAGTACTAACTTCACTGAAGATCACAATTTACGCCAACGTGCAATGTTGAACGCTCAGCGCAATGCATACTTTAATCACGATTATATGAATATGACAGATCAGTGATTCTTTCATCATTTTTCACAGATTTAGTTGTAGTGGATTGAAATATTCCTAATGGGTTGACTAAAGGGCTGTACATCATTTTGTGGATGGTATAATTTTTAATCCCTGACTGTCATATTCATCGTTTAATCCACTAAGGATAGGATAAAATTTAACATCCTTTGGCATTCTTTACTTTTTATTTAAGCAAAAAACATTGGTAGCGTAATGAAAAATGCTGAAAAATTAAACCAGTTTTTTGTTTTCCTTTTTCGTGATAGCTGTAGTTTTCAAAGTAATGGCTGCTAAATTTTTCTTTCTTCCTTATATCAAGAGCCAGACAGAAAGTAAAATTTCTTTAACAAATCTTATCGGAAAGCAGTCTTTGTATTTACGTCATTCCATAAATCGACATTGCTCAATTTTATATGATTGTATTTAATTCCGAATAAAGTGATAATCCTGTATCCCTTATGTAACACTGATCATTTTTTATCCGATATATCTTCTGGAATACTTCACTTTAAATTTCAAAAATTTTTTGCTATGAGCAAATGTAGTGATAATATAAAGATCTAGTGTTTCAATACGTTCCTTAGTTCTTACTATTTAAATTCGTATTCTATAGAAAATGGTCCTATTAATGAACAATAAATTTATGGCTATGGTTCTGTTTGATATTACTTATCACCTCTTACACTTTCCCACAACTTACATCGTCTTTCTTCTAACTGTTGAGTATTAGATATTTATTGGGCAGTTTGGTTTAGATTTCATCGTTAGAGTGAAGTTTCTATTATATTTTTGCTGCGAATGAAATCTTGCAACTTTAAGAAAAGTGCTGGAGTAATTAACATATTTAAGAAAAAGTTCCAGGACATATTTCTAGCTAACATTTACGCCAAAATGTCTTTCGTACGGTGGACTATTGATGAATTTATTGCATTAGAGGTATGCGATTGATGCTATTTACTTGCAGAAAAGGTCAATGGATATATTTCCTTTGTAACTCATTCGATGTTACCAAGCAGTTGTATAATTCGAATAATTATCAGTTTTAATTTATATTTTCGTTTATTTAAGATTTTATTACAATAAATAAACAGATTTTAGGTGGTTAATTTTAAGTTGTATACACAAATTATAAATATAAATTAGGTTTTAAGATGGGATTTCCATCGAATGTCGCACGATCATTGGTTCAGTTATTTGAAGATGGATGTGAGGTACCATTTATTGCTCGTTATCGGCGGCATTTAATTGATGGAGCAACACCTGATGATTTACGGCATGCAGTGGAAACCTTTAAGAATGCAAAGCATGTTTATCATTGTTTATCCTCGAATAAATCACACTGAATGTTAAGTTTGAGTCTCTGTCTTAATTTTGTAGATAAAATGTGTGTCAGTATTTCAGAGCCATCAAAGCTAAAGCGGAAAAACTTTTAAAACGAGCCGATGCTGAAATTGAAAATGACGCGTTAAAAAAATCTGTGAAGGATGCTCTTTCAAAGACGATGGATGCTGCTGAATTGGATTGTTTATTCGAACCCTTTAAAACAGCCAAAAAAGGTTCTTTGGCTTCAAGAGCAGTGTATGTTTTGTGCATAATTTATGCTTTTCTATTTGATAACATTCAGTTAAATAAAGAGATGAATATACGAAAATAGATTTGTTCATCGTTACCAGCTTATATTCGCAGACTAATGATGTGCAAAATTTCTAATATTTGAAGGGAATTAGGTGTTGATGAAATTTGTCAAAGGCTTTATCGTGGCGAATATGTTAATTTACAGCGTTTTGTTCATTCTAAACCAGGTATTTATGAAATATTTCGTTAAATTTCTCTATATCTGTTCATTGTAATGAAATTATTGGAAGATAAGACGTTGCATGAATAACAAGTTGCTTTTCGCATTCGTATCAAGCGTGGTAATTATTTTCAACCGAAAATAGCAAGTGTTACCTTATAATGAATGATTAGAAGTGAAAATTTTAATCCTTTCTTTCTACTTTATTGAATTACTATTGTAATTAATGGTTCTTAAAAGTATTGTCATTCAGAACTAAATACACTAGCAAAAGTGGAGGAAGAGACAGTACATCTGTTATCTCATGAACTGCATCGCTTAGAAGAAACACAAAATTTGTTGCAAAAATTGTAGGTTTATATATTTCGTTATTTTTAATTATCTACATTTAGCGTAACTGAAACTTCGGTTTAAATTTCCAATTTCGAAATGGCACTAAACTTTCAATGATACTTTTATATTAGTCATATTTTAGAAATCGTAGCAAATAGTAAATTCATTAATACATGTTCTACTTATTCACAATGTTTGCTTGTTAAGGGTATTACTTTAGAGATATAATGTAACTGTTATATATTTAATTCTTTGCTACTGATTACTTTGCAAAATGTTATGTGCACTATATTCGTCCTAAATTGTTCCACTGCATGTTGAATTGTATTGTTCTCACAAATGATACGTTGCAGATGCTGAAAACACTAAAAAAAAAAAATATTCATTAAAAAAAGAAAAAAATGAAAAAAAAAAAAAACTATCGCAAACTATATATATATATTGCATCGGGCGATATTTAATACTACTGATGAAAAGAAAGGACATGTTTCTGTGATATATATCATTGGTTTTATGCATAATAATTAGACATCATTCGATAAGATAAAATGTGGTTTTCAGAGCCGAACTGAATAATCATCTAAATATTCGTTTGAAGGTGAGATCAACACTTACGAAAAAAGCGAAAGCTTTGAAAGAGACAGACAAGAATTTTTCTCTACTGGACCATTTCAAATTATATTTAAATTTTGAAAAGGATGTTCGATTTGTTCAGTCTTTTCAGGTGAGGTCTTTCTTTTTTTTCGCTTAAGATGTATAATATTTAATGCTCTTAGTGCTGTCTTGTAAAACAGTTGATAATTGATATTTATCATTTTTGGTTCTCATTTCTTTCGAAAAGTATAGAACCTATGATTAGTTTTATATATGTACAAAATTGTTGCCATTCCTTCATGTAGTTGCGCATCTCCTCCAAACTTTTCTCAACTTAGAAATAAGTTTAGTTTTTAGAGGCTTAGAATATGCATTATTATTTCTTTTCCTCCATTATTATCTGTTATTTTTTTTATAGATTTTAGCTCTGGAACGAGCTTCATCAAAAGGAATCATAAACTGGAAAATAGTTGTGGACGATAGTATTGCAAGCATTCATCCAGGCTTAAAACTCAACTTTCATCTTAATCATACAGATTTGCTAAGAAAGGCTGTCCAGGATTCTACGAAACGTTTTCTTATACCTTCGATCGAACGAAAAGTTCGGTAAATTAAAAATGCTTTATCTGTCTTAAAATAGACTTATAAATGATTTCTTAATAACTGATTACTTACATCGTTACTATCATTTACTGTTTAAATATTTTACTCATATCTTTTATAATTGTTAGAAGGAAATTACTTGATCGAGCGGAAAATTCGGCAATCGATTGTTTTGCCAAAAATCTTCGCGAATTGCTTCTTACAGCTCCTCTAAAAGATTACGCGGTTCTTGCAATTGATCCTGGATATTCAAATGGATGCAAGTGTGCTCTAGTCAATGACAGTGGTATTTTTTTTTTTTTTTTGGCTTCTTATTACTTATTTGTGCAAGCAGAATTTGCGGTAAATTTAAAATGCTGATTTCCACTAGTTCATAATTTTGTTATCTGAGAAATAGAGGAGCAGTTCAATTGGTATTGCTATAATTTATTACTCTTTTGACTGTATTAAGATTATGTGTCAATTCAGGTGATCTCCTTCAAACAGCAGTATTTTACTTCCGTCGACTAAACGCCAAGAATTGGTGCCCAGATGAGCGGGCTGAAGAAATACTGAAAACGCTCGTATCAAAAGCGCTTAATTCACCTTTTGTAATAGCTATTGGAAATGGCACTGCAAGTCGAGAAACGCAAGTCTTCATAGCATCATTAATTCAGCGTGGTGTAATTGCTGCAAAGTTTTGGTTAATTATTTTTGTATTTGATCATATAGTTGTTTTCGTATTTGACTGTAATTGTTTCATATTTTATTTCAAGTTGTGCTAATAACTTTTTGCTTTTTTCGAAAAATTTTTGGAATATCATACTTTACGAGTTATTATTACTTATTAATAACATGCATCATTTATGATTGCTTCTAGCGTAGTTTCCGAATGTGGTGCATCTATTTATAGTACAACAGAATTGGCAGCAGAAGAATTGTCGGGAATTGATATTAATTTGCGAAGTGCTGGTTAGTTTACTGATTTTGATTGCTATTCAGATCACAATGGTAATTGTTATATTAATAATGATTTGTTATTATTCGCTAATTATTTCTCAATATCAGTAATACTGGTTATTTTGTTCAATAAATCGAAATTGATGAACCTTGCTGAAAATGTTTTCAAATTTCAGGTAGGATAGTGTGAGGAATTGTAAATTTGTTAAAAATTCTAATTATTTCAGTTATATTTTAGTATATTAACAAATTATCTTCAAAAAGGAGAGAGAGAGAGAAAAAGAAATAACGATATTATAGCAGTAAAGATGTAATATTACAGTGTCACTTGCGAGACGTATCATTGATCCGATTTCGGAATATGTGAAAATTGCACCAAAACATCTTGGTGTTGGATTGTATCAGGTTTTGTTAACACCAATTTTTTACTTTTCAAACACAAAAATTTTGAAGGTAAGAAGGAAACAAATGTTACTACACGACAGCTTTTCTGACTAAAAGTTCATGAATTTTACATCTAGCACTCGGTGAATGAAAAACGCTTAGATGAAATGCTGGATATAGTTGTACGCGAATGTGTTAGCAATGTTGGCGTTGACGTGAACGTAGCCTCACTACAAGTTTTGCAGTAAGTGATGCTTTAGTTATCTATCTTAGTGCTGTAATAAATTTGTTACATATTTTAATAATCACTTTATCATTTCCAAAATTTGCCTTGTTAAGGAGAGTATCAGGTTTGAATAAGAAAACAGCTGCCAATATAATCAAATATCGCCAAGACAATGCTGGCATAAAAAGCAGAGAAGAATTGAAAGTAATAAAACTTTATATTTGAAATAAATTTTAAATAAATTTTTCAAATAAATTTCGAACAAGTTTTATATTTCAAATAAATTTGCTATTTACTTAATTTTATTTATAACTTTTAGAAGATAAACGGAATTGGTCCAAAATGTTTTGAACATTGTGCTGGATTCCTTTATGTATATAATGGTAAAAGATTGAATGCGCCAGCAAAAAAGAAAATAAAACTTTCAAAGGAATTCAATCCGTTGGATGCAACTCCTGTTCATCCAGAAAGCTATCAAATTGCTAAACAGTTATCAATTTCACTGTTTGCTTGTTACTTTATCAGAGACCTAATATGTTTTATTGTCTACTTGCAAGGTTTTATTCATTCATTATAATAAGTTCATCATATATCTTATAGTTCATTCATTACATATATATATATAATGAAGGAAGTGATTTTTCAGAATACTGGAATATGCTGGTGCCGATTTGACACATATTGGGCAGAATAATCTCTACCAAATGTTAGCAGTGATCGAAGAACGAATTAGAGAACGAGGTCCAGAATGGCTTTCAGTATGGGAATTACTTTCAAATCCGTTTGTAAGGAAAAATGCGCCAGTACTTTTGGTACGTACTACACTTTTTTTTTTTTCATCTCATTAACTAGAATTTTATAACAAGGTAAATGTTTTAAGACGAATGTACTGGAAATGAAATCACTGAAAGTTGGTGATATCTTGGAAGGTGTTGTTCGAAATCATGCTAATTTTGGTATATTTATCGATATTGGGGTAGGCTTCAATGCGTTAGCACATTCATCAACTCTATTGTCAGTTGTTCCTGAGGTTAAAATTTCTTTTTGCTAACCCAATTTTTCTCATGATCTTGAGAGGTTATATTTGTTTGGATAACTCAATTATATAGTCTGGTTCAATAGTATCTTTAAAATTAACATTTTACCCTATCTATTGATTTACGATATTTTGATTTAGCCTGGTTATTTAGATTGTTTGCTTTTGTACCCAGATTTTCTTTTTCTGTTAAATTGCAAAGTGGTTATTGTTCTTATCTAGGAGATTCCCTTCTTTAGAAAATCTAGTCTCCCAGCAGTGACATTAGACCTCATCAAAAACAAAGAAGTTCACAGTGCAGTTCAAACTTATCTGCTATACTGTACCCTTTGATTAGACCATTAGAGGTTATTCTCACATTGTTGGTGAGGAACTACCATTTTTTTTATCAAAAAAAATTATTATGTTTTATATGTTAATTTACAAGGACTTACTAATTTGTAGGTAAATTCTTCAGTGAAGGTGCGAATCACGGCGATAAATATGGATCGGCGTCGGATTGGTGTCGTTTTAGTTTGATCTTAAAATTCTAACCTTATCTAATGCTATTCATTTCTTTCTATTGCTTTCTTTTACATTTATGGATTATAGTGGTATCATACAAACTGTGTGTATAAACAATCTCAAAGTTACGAGTAATTTGCTGCAATCCCTATCTTCGTAATAGCTTTGGTCTCCCTATTCGAATATCTGACGAAAAGCCATGGATACGAGAAATAAACTCGGTATTCTGAAGTATACAGGATAATGCAGTGGAGCGCTAATGAATCTTAGCTTAAACAATAATAATATAACATTTTCCACCGAATAGTGATCCTTCGGTAAATTTAATCTGCATTCTTTTTGCTTTTATGTATATAAATTTTCATGTTTCTTACATATGGAACATGAAAGGAAGAAAGATTTCTATATTTTATGGAACTGTATAATATATGTACGATAAATTAAGTGCATTATTATTTTTTATTTTGGTACTACCGCATAAGCAAACATTGTTAGTACAAAGCTTTCAGAACTATTGAAAAGATTTTGATTACTAATAAAAGAGAATTCATCTTCATTTTATTTTATACTGCATTACTTTTTTTTTTTTTAAATTTTATCATGACTTATATAGATCTTATCTCTTCACCACATAGATTTAGTAGATGATGATTCAGACATTCAGTATTTCTCACTTTAGTAATCTCTCATAATTCGGGCAAATTGTTGAATCTATCATGTTTTTGGGCAGAGAAGAGTGATGGCGAAATATAACTAGATGAAAAATTACAGCTCTTAGAATAAAATCGTAAGTTTGAGAGTTAATCATTGATGTTACCGACATGCTTATCATCAACACTTTTAATCAGAACTCGATGAGCAATATTTCACGATAAAATTCCTTATTCTTTAGTATACGATGTTGAATACCACCTGTCATTGACTCATTGGTTTGACACTTTTTTTTTTGACGAATTCCGAATACACTGAGACATATACACTAGCACATGCACACACCGACACACATATATAATATCATGGATATTAAACAATTCTACATGCCTTCCAAAATTTTAAAACAATATAAAATATTACATTCAATTTATTGCATAAAAATCTATACCATATTAAATCTAAGTCATTAATTTTCATTAATATCATTACGACTAAATTTTCGTCTGAATTAATCCTTCAAACTATATAATTCGAATTTGGAATAACAATTCATAAGACTACAATTTCTCAATCTATAACTATAATTTTTAAGGTATCCATATCCTTATGATATCTAAATTGTTAAATATCATAGTTATCACTGTATATAACTGCAGCAATATACTTATGGTTTTTTTGGAAAATAATAATATTGATGAAAATTACGGGCAAATGATAAGTATAATTATTAATTTAATAAAAATAGTAATGATTAAGATCAATGAATAATTTTTTCTTTCTCTTTTTTTTTAGTAGATATTGCTATATAGGCGCTATTAAATAGTAGCATAATGAGAATTGTTAAAGAGAAACTTATAGACTATTTGATGTGCGAAAATGATTGTAATTCTTGATAGCGATATTGATAATGATTAACTGTCATCGTTTATCGTATCATTAATCTTTCTTTCCATCTCATTTAGCCATTCATAATGATAATTGTAAGCTGGGAAACAGTACAATTGAACTTTCATTATTCAACAATTGTAAATTTCTCTGCTAACCAATAATATTAGCATATATTTGTACAAAATGCATTAAAATTACCTGAAGATATGTGACAATATCTTGGAAATTAATATCATTAACAGTATTATAGTGGTACAATATCCTATCATAATTCTGTTATTTTGATGATTGGAAAAAAGAAAATAATAATAAATGGAAAAAAAAAGCAAATGAAGTTATGTTAAGCTCTCATAAGTTATTAATATATTATAGAAATTTTCGTTTTAAGCAAACACTGCCACAATTATTATCATTTAACATTGATCAATTAAGTTGTTTGATTGAATAAATATCAAATAAAATGCCTAATATCTCATAATATCATTATCATAATGTAATTATTTTATCTCTAATGATAGTTATTATATTGAAAATAAATAAAATATAACAATAATAACATTATTTCATGTGCTATTATATCACTATTATAATTTTAATATTAACAATTATATGTAAATTATATTACTAATATTTGATAAATGGGTAATGTTATTTTCTTGTCCTTAATATGATGCTCTCTTTTAATATTAAGTGGTAAGCATAAGAGTAAAGAAATAACGTAAGAGAAGAAAAAAAAAAAAGGAAAACAAATAGTATTTAAAAACTTGAAAATATTACGTGTGAAAAAGAAGGATACGTGCAAAAAATTTTGTTAGGAAATAATTTTATAGCATAACGAAAAAATTCTTCTTTTGGCTGTGTTTCGTTATCAATGTCGGCTGTGAATTCTAAATGAATATTGAATATTGCTTGGTACCCGTGTTATGTACACATACATATATGGTATGTATGTGTACACACATACACATACATATGTATATATCACATACATAGACATACTTAAAACCATACATTACACGTTAAAATGACCTTCTAATGATTCATGCTGGTATGCAGTGCGATCCCTTTTTTCGTTGTCCTCGAAGAAGCCTACAATCCTTTCTCGCGCTCATCTAACCCTTTCCTTCCTCCTTTCTTCCGGTCGTTCATGCAAGCTACTACTCCCTGTCCTACCCTACCCTTTCCCCGCCTTCTCCCGTCCCCATACCCTACCCGCACTTGTACCCGCTTCCTACCCCTCCTTTTGTTCCATTCAATCCATCATCATTTCTCACAATCTCCTGTTTCTTTCCTTTGTGCATTACGTGTAACGAACATATTATTTTTTTGCACGCATTCAAGAAACACATTTTTTGTTAGTTTTACTTTTGCTGGAGTATCATTGTCTGACATGGGACGTATGCTTTTCTTCTTTGATTTGATGAAATGATTGGGATTACTGTTTGAGTTAAATATTTATTTGTTTGATTAATTGGTATAAGTTAAAGTAATATATAATAATAAGCATGCTAATCTTTATATTATTTTAAATGAATTTATGATGAGCAACAATTTAGAATTAGATCAAGTTCTACAGATGTTTTATCTTTTATACTGAATCTTTCCCTTTTTTCATTTTTTTTTTTTGCTTTTGTTTTCTGAAAAGATATTTAAATACGTCATCATAGAGTTGAAGAACAGTAAATGTAGTTAAGAGTTATTATAAAAATATAGTTGGGTAATTATTAGCTACAATAATATTTTGCAAAATAAATAAATTCAAAAATTTGATATTATCTTTAAAAGATGCAAAATGGATAAGATGCATTGTTCATTTGTTTCTTTTTTAGATCGATTAAATTGGATCATTTATTGATAAGATGTTTTATACTTGAAGTAATACATGAAATGTATGGAATTTCAGAATATATTTACCATTACAATAATATGGAAGAATTTGAAAAAAAAAAAAAGCATCACTAATGGCATAGGAACCATTAATATGATGTGAAAATTTTTTAAGTATGAGAAATAAATAAAAATACTAAATGATACATTCATGGGAGTTTTTTTTTTTTTCATCCAATGGATTGAACTATTTTTGTATTATATATATATATATATATATATACATCTAATACTTAGTTAAATGTATAGTTTTCAAATAAATTGAATAAGTTATAATCAATGAAGTAATTAATCGATTAGCTTAATTACTTAATTAATAGCTTAATTACTTAAAAAATGAAGAAAATGAAGTAATTTAGCGTTTCATCTTTTTCAAAACTTCAAAATCAGTTTTAAGTATTATTACATAACAAGTAGGTTTAATGTTTTTCTTTTTTTTAAGAAAAGTAGATGTAATCATCAGATTAATTCAATTCAACTGTAAAAGTTAAATTAGTAATTTTTCTTTTTTTTTTTTTTTTTTTTTTATTCTATCAACAATCAGTATGAGAAATATTTGTAAAAAAGAGAAATTCGATCAAAAATACTTTTAAAGTGAAAAAAAAAAAAAAGGATATATTAGTTAAAAATTTCTGATCAGCTATAAACGTGAAGTACAAATGTTTCCTAAATTGTACAAATAAGTAAAGGTAAACTTCTACTCATTTATTCCTGTTTTTTTAAAAAGAATATTAGATTAGGTTTGGAACAATAGCATATTACCGTAATATTTCTATCCCTTTTGTATAATTGCTTTTTCTTTTTTTCTCTTTCTGTCCTTCTCCTCCTCTCTTCCTCTCTCCCTCGTATTAATTTCTCTCATCAAATGTATTAGATGATTTTAGCACTGTATTTGGTTGTTTTTTTTTTAGATATATTATTGATGATTTGTACTTTATTAAAATATTTTTCCTTTCCTTAGATAATTATTCTAATTTTTTCTTTTCTTTTCATATTTTACTAATTGCTATTCAATTAATACATTCATTTTCACTTTTTTTATTGTACTTTCTTTTACGTAAAAGACTAAATGAACTTTGTAGTGGTAAACCAATTTTAATTATGAAATTAAATTTAGAAATAGATAAAATAGAGTGTTATAAAAGTACTCATCCATATTGGTGTATTCTTTCTCATTCGATGAGGAATAGACAAATTTGATTTTGATGAGCATATTGGAAATATTTGATCTCTTAGAAATAATCTAGATTAGTTCAGTTTAAGTTTTTGAAACGTAGAAATCATCTTAGCTTATCTCATATGCTTGAATTATATAGGTAAATACTAATTAACTTATTCGTAAAATGAGTATTTCAAATGATTGCGGTATATGAGTTATAAGTCTCAAATTGGCATCACTTATTGGTTTTATTAAGTGGTGGTGAACAGGTTTTCTCATCACTAAAGATGCAATTCAGTGGTTCACACGTGTTTAAGTTCGAAAATGTAATTTAAAAATTTGAATAGGGACTAGAAAATGAGAAGGGAAAAGAAATCAAAGGAAGCAATTTTTAGGTGATTTATGAATCAAGTAGCTATTATAGATTGTATGGTTAAACAATATGATAGGTGCATTGTAAAAGTATCAAAATATTAGACAAATATCACAAATGTTATCGATAATTTGATTATTTATATAGTACGCAGGAGCTATTGGGAAGCTTATTGGATGGATAAATGAAATAGCATGAGTGTGTAGGCGTAATCAACGTACGGTTACGTTTGTAAATATTTATCATCAGAGATAGTAAAGTAAGAAATTCTAAAAATATATTTTGCTTTAATCGTATTAAATTATGATAACTCTAGACGTTACATATATATGTATAATATAAATTAGTAAAATTGAGTGATGGCAAGTATTTATGTATAACATTCTTCCTATTTCTAAATTTGAGTCATTTTTAGACTTAAATTATAAATGAAATAAAGGGATGAGCATTCATCTATAGGATTTTCGAAAGAAGTGGTGCTCATAGTAAGTGGAAAATAGTCTTCAAATTGCTAATATCTTTTTTACCTATCATATAAGTCCATAACCGAGAACGATATAATTTAATATGATTTAGACATTCTCGAGGAAGATATCTTTTCTATCACAGAGTACAATCTTTCGTGTCATAGGACACAAAATATGATATGATTCAGACAATATTAATGAACTTATATTTGATAAAATAATCTCAGAAAATAGATTAACCTTTGACTTTTTTTAAAAAAAAATAAAAAACAAGAATTTAAGTGAGAGAAGAAACTGGATCATAATAATTTGAGTAAAAGTATGCAGTGAAAAGAGATGCGTCGAGGTGAAAACAACTGTTACATATAATATATTGTAATAGGCAAAGCAGAAATTTGATATTAAATTAAACTAAATTAATCGAACGTTCTAATAAAATAATAAACATTCATTTCAAATCATTGTTATCATCTTTAATAAATAAATGCTATACTGTAACTGATACAAATAATATGATAAATGATTAAAACAAAGAAGATGAAAAGAATTCCCTTTCCTCGTATATTTCTAAAATATTCTTATCATGTGCTAAATAAGAAAGCGAAATGAAGGAAAAAAAAGGTGGAGGGGGAATTAACGAAATATACAAAAAGAAACATATGAACCATAACAACATTTGGTGGCATTGACTAAAATTCTAAAAATCCCAGTCATTTTTACCTCTTTTCTATCTCCTTTATTAATCATTTTTTTTTTACTATTCCATTCTTTTATGATATATATGTATAATATAATCAATCATATATCTTCATTTTCATCTTTTATCCAATTTTATCATACACAATAAATAATTTCTTACATTTTACAATAAATTTCTTATATCTTTCATTCATTTCAATTCATTTCTTGTCTTTCGTTCTTTTAATACAAAAAAAAAGACAAAGAGTTCATTCATTTATTTCATTTGAATGAGGAAATAATTTATTTGATTATTTATGCAAATTAATTTTGGGTATATGTATATTTTTGCGGAATTTGGAAAGATTTTGATTTATATGTATATTTTAATTCTCTTAATGTTTTCTTCCAATTTTATAGATTAATCACTTCGTTTATCAATCATTATTAAAACATTAATTACATGTAGCAAATAATACGATAGGATAAAATGAATCGATCCCTATCTCACTTTTTTTTTCCTTTTTATCTTACTCAATGAGCATTTCCTGTTTTGGGAAATTGATTAAATGATTGAAATAATCAGTTACATAATAAAATATTCTCCAAATATTATTTATTTCATGTTATTATTATTATCAATTAGTAATAGAAGAAAAAAGTGTTAAATTTAAATCAAATACTTTTTTTTTTTTTTTGTTTCACAGAAACCACTATTTCAGGAGCATATCCAGAATTCTGGTTTCTTCATGACAAAAAACAGAGAAAAGAACTAACAGTATTATTAACAAAAGAGAAATAACATTCAAATTTACATTCTTCATTTATTTAGTTTATTTAATCTTAAGAAGAGAGAGAGTGAGAGAGGAAAAAAAAATAATAAGATAAAAACAATAAAGCTTAAAGAAAAAGTAGTGTAACTTTTCATTTTGACCGTTACATTGGTTTCTCCTCTTGTCATCATCATTGTCAATACAGAAATCTAGTTGTAAAAAAGGCGAAAGGAAAAAGGAGAAAAAATTTTTTCCTTCCTTTTCATTCATTTCTTTAATTTACCCAGTTTCTGTTTCTTTTACGAAACTTTCATATCATTTGTTTCAGTTAAGATATATAGTATAATAAAATATTGTATTGTAAAATTAACCCAATTGATAAGACTAATCTTTATGTAATTTCCGTTCATTAAAAGATTTGTATAGACTTTTTTTTTTGAGTAATATGCTCTGGTTTTATGTTTAACACTATGTTGAGTTTGGGACAATTCCATTTCTTCATATATTTGAATAATTCGAATTTAATTTCCAGATAATTCTGTCCTTAATCTGTTATTCTGTGTTCAACTGATTTCAAAAATTTACACTGAGAATTGTTAAAGGGATTTAATTTTTTTTTTTATTAAAATTCTCTTATATTCATAGGACAGTTAATTAAATATTTACAGTTTTTGGTGTAATTGTTACTGACGGGTAGAATTAAGCCAACGGCAAATGTCGTTGAATACAATAACCCAAGATGAGCCTTTTGAGGTAAAAATTTCATAAATAAAAGTTATTACTGAGACTCTTTTTACACACTGAAGCAGTTATACATCATTTGAAATTGATTTTATCATACAGATTAATATGAAATTTTATTATTCGTACTGTTATAATTGATATAATTACAGATGGTTCTAGAAGATCGGCAACCAGATGCAGAGTGGAAAAAAATCCAGCAGAATACTTTCACACGATGGGTTAATCAGAAGTTGGAACCAATAAATGTTGAAGTCACTGATTTGGTATGTTATTTAAAGAAAGATAAAAAATTATGAGATTATAGGATGGTTTAATATTATCAGTGAAATTTAATACTACCAATTCTGTCAATTTCTGTTAATATATTTCATTATATTTGAAATTGATATATTTGACGGGAGATATGACTTTAGACAATGGAAATAATTGAATAACAAGCATCATGGACACTTCCAAAAATTCATCTATGCGATCATTTGCAATACTGTAGGCATTTTATTATGAGAACCGCATTGTACTGAATAGCCATATCATTTTGACATTTTGACAATAAATGAAATATAAAATGAACACTGGTAGTCTGGTAATAAGTTGATGAAGAGGAAAAGTTTTATTTCTAACAAATGAAAAGTTTTCTTGTCTATATAATTTATCAAATTGCTATCAGTGCTTCAGGAAACTGACTTTGAAGAAGGTTTAAAATTAATTCGTTTGGTGGAAGTATTATCAGGAAGATCTCTTGGTCGATACAGTAAAAAGGTCACTTTTCGCCATCAGAAGTTAGAAAATATATCGCTTGCGCTAAAATTCCTGGAAAATGAGGAACATATTAAAATTGTTAATATCGGTATATTTTTATATGTGATTTAATTTTGATAGATTTCTATTATTGAAAATATAATTAAAATTGTTGCAATTGTAGAAAACAGATATTTTCAGATAGTTCAGCAATAGCAGATCGCAATTTGAAGCTCATTTTGGGTCTAGTTTGGACACTTATTTTACATTATTCTATCTCAAAACAGGTCTGGGATGACCATACAGGCAGTACAACAAAAGGTGAAGATGTATCACCAAAAACAAAACTTATGACTTGGCTTAAGGGAAAATTACCAACTGGACTCCCTTTTACCAACTTCACATCCGATTGGAATGATGGAATTCTTCTTGGTGCTTTGGTAGGTGGCTTTTTCTACAAGATATTTTATTGCATCTTGAGAACATGTTTCAACAAATTTCCTCCAGGTTGATTCTTGTGCACCTGATTTGGGAGTAGATTGGCGCAATTGGTTACCATCGCAGGCTTTACATTCAACTCGTACAGCAATGAACCTTGCAAAGGATTACCTTAACATCGCTCCTGTTCGTTTTCGATTTCTTTGAAATACCAAATGATCGGTTTTCTTATCTCTTTTTATATGCTATGAAAGGATGTTGATTAAATTTTTTTAGCTAATTGCACCAGAAGAATTAATCAGTCCAGCTGTTGACGAGCGAAGTGTGATGACATATCTTTCACAATTTCCCGGAGCAAAATATACGCCACGAATGGGTCGATTTCATAATATTGATGTGATGCCAATTGTTGGAGTCAATACGAAATTTACTTTTTTAACCAGTAACGCATTTATGCTTCCAGAAGTAAACATTAAAGGGCCAGCGGAATCATTGGTACCCTACAACATGAGCCGACTTTCAGAAACCGTGTATAATTTCATTTATCAACCGGAAATTGCCGGTGAATATCAGGTTATTTCATTACTGTTAAATTCATAGTTTAATCAAATATTTTTTCTTGGCAAATTTTTGTGCATCCTGTTCATTTTTTTCAATAGTGTACTTTTTTTTTTTTTTTAATTTTGGATTATAAGAGTAAGCCATCTCAAAATTTAAAAAATCTGAAGTTATGCCATTTGTAGCTCATTTCAAATTTTCAAATGTGGGAATTTTTATAGATTATGGCAGTAGTTCGTGACGAGGTATCGGGTAACTTCGCTCAGTTGGCAAGTCCTAAAATAACAGCAGTTGAAGGAGCACATTTGTTATATGACAGAAACGTACAACATGGCATGCCAGTTAAATTCAGGGTAGAAAATGCAGGGAACGATCCGATTGAGGTATGAAATATCTTATTATAACTAGCCCTAGTTAATTAGCTTGCGCAAGTTAATTGTGCTTCCAACGATACTTTGATATTGCTTCTACATTTCTTAGTTTGTCTCCACTTAACTCAAAGTAGGAGAGAGAGGGAGAGAAATAAATTCATTATTAGAGGATGTTTTTTGCACTTTTTTAGAGAATATGTCCAGTATTTTGTTAAATTATATTTTGTTCGTATTTAATAATGATTCAGCATGAGTTACATAAGTAGTCATGAAAAAAGGTAGTTAAATAATGTGGGATTGTATGCAGATGTAAGAAGCATTACAGGTTTTGGTAGCCCCACCATACGATAAGGGATTTATGGTACCGGTGATACCTGATGGTAATACTTTCAAAGGTGAATTCATACCAAAACGAGAAGGTGTGTATGAATTGGACGTTTTCCAAAAAGGAGACCGCATTGCTGGTAGTCCCTTCTCACTCACAGTAATTCCACAAGGTAATTTAGTCATACATGCAAATATCTACCATTTTGTTATATTATTAAATATTCACTAGAAATGTTTTCTGGTTAGAAGTATTTTTATCTTTTCATTGTAGCTTCAGAGAAAAATAACCGTATTCAGTTCTAGATGGTCCAAATGAGATAATAGTTCTGTTTTTAGCACAAATTAACATTTGGGGTAGAGGTCTCGAACCACATGGTATTCAGAGTGGCGAAGAAGTAATCGTCTATGCAGATTACAGCGGTAGCTTATTGGGACCTCCACATATGCGAGTTCATCAACTGTGTAAGTATCATATAATTGATCTAAAACAGCCTTGGATATAGCTTAGGATAAATAAGGTCAAAGGTTTAGCTGATGATTCGTTTCTATACTCCTTTTTTGGCATTAAAATATATAGTGACGCAAAAATTCAGTGCACAGAGAGGTTGAATGTGGATTATCTGTTCGAAGCGATAAAATAGTTCTGACTGCATTTTGATGAGATCGGTTGCTGTTAATAGAGGACATGGTGCGAGTAAGAAGTTGGAAATTATCAATTAAATGTCAAAAGATATATCTTCAGAAAAGTTTGTTTAGAAAAATAAGGGATATGTTTGGTTAAATGATATCATTGGGGATCAGGTAAGTTTGCATTAATCTAAATATAAAATAAATTTTATAGCTGGAAAAGAAATATCGGTGAGTGAAACTATAGATGAAAATTTGCACCTAAAAATTTTTAAATATCGGCCACAGGATGTTGGTATTTACGAAGTTGATATACTTCTGGATGGGAAGCACATCGATGAAAGCCCGTATAAGGTTCATTTTGAGCAAGATATTTTAAGAAAATTATATATATATATATATAAAGAAGTGTCTTCACAAAAGTTTAATTTAGAAATAACAATTTAGCACAAGACTTAGAAAAGTGAAGGATATCTTGGGTTTAATTGTATCATTAGGGAACAGGTAAGTATATATATGAATTTAGTTCTGTATGAATTTCATGGAATAATTAGGGAAAAAGATACCGTATAAATGTACGATGCAATACGAGAAATGGAATAGCATCGCAATTTAGTTGTATTATATGGATGGTATCCCAATTTAAGGGTTAATTATGTATGTGTGGTGTATCACAATTAGGTATAGTACCAGTGGTTTTTTTTTTTTTGACTATTCCTATCATTTTTTAATTATGTTCTGATATAAAATTAGCTAGTTCTGGATTAAATCTGCATAGTTTTGTATTTTATTTCAGTTTGGTTTTGAAGGACTTTTAGGATGGATTTAAGTTTCTTGTTTAAGATAATGATATCACCGGTAAGTGATTCAAAAGTACGAGCATTTGGACCAGGGCTAGAAAGTGGTGTTGCAAATTTGCCAAGCATCTTCCTTATCGAAACAAACGGTGGTCGTTTTGAACAGATTGGTAGGTTTCCCGATAAATTCTCCATCTTGGTGGAATGTCTACTTCCAATTTTTTCCAAACCAATACTGTATCAATTGTTTACTCGAGAAGAAACTGATTTATAATGGTTGATATTTATGTTCTCGTCCGTTACAGATATTGCTGTTAGTGGGAGAACATTGACAGCAGAAAATGTTTCCAAGAAACCGGATATAGAATTGGTAGATAATAAGAATGGATCTGCTGTTGCTCGATTCACTGTTAATTTTCTTCCTTGTTCACTTTGGTCTTTATTTAGTCATATAATAACGAAGACAAAGTAAATTTGTAGTAAAATTGGTCATATTAACTGAACTCTTTAATTCCAAACGACGTGTTTATTTTCCCTTAATTTTTGATTAGCTACAATTATATTTGCAGTTGGCAAGTGTTATTCCTATCAGCTAGTAGCTAGCTTTTAATAAATGATTTAGATTTAAGCACTTCATTTTTTTTTTTTTTTTTTTTTTTTTTTTCATTGAATTAGTGAATTTAATAACCTCAAAACTTTATTTACTTAAAAAAGAAAAAACTTTCAGCCTGCTGTACCCGGCATTTATACAGTGAAGGTATGTTACGCTGGTGAGCATGTCAAAGGTTCACCATTTATCGTACAAGTGCAGCCAGCTAATAATAATCTTAAAATTGCTGACATGCGGTTATCTGGTATCAAATCAGACGTCACTGCTCTACAGGGCGAAGATTTAATATTCTGGATCGAAATGCCTGACACAAGAGGTATATTTGAGAGGAATTTAATCATACTTGTGATAGCTGGCTTGATTCTTAGAGGTTTTCTTTTTTTTTTTTTTTTTGTTTCATTTTTGCATGCATTTACCCTAATCTACCTAATTATTTTATTGTATTTAGTTTTTACACTTAATTACTACTGTTATAATAAAGCGTTCGAATTGAAGTTTGTAATGGTCCTCTACTTCGGATAAACTAGTATAGAGTATATCGGCTGCCAATAGTAATTAATTATAATGTGCAAGTGCAATTATAATATGGAAATGTAATCTATCTTTGGGTCGAAAATTTGAAACTGATAACATAAGTAAATTGAACTTAAATAATAAATTTGACACAGCGAGTTTTCTTCGAAAACTATAACTCGTTTGTATCCAATATGTAAATGTTATCGGTAAGCGATATACTGCACAACGAGTGTCTAATTCTAATTTAAATTTCACTTCTGTATAGTTTGTTGGTAATATTTATTGCATGAGCATACATGTGACGGTAAACACTTTCTTCTTTATAGTGCGTCTTAAACCATTAGTAAGAGCACTGGACGAAAAATATGAAGAAGTGCCAATACAGGTAGTGGAAACTAAATCTGGACAGTATGAATGTCGTTTTGTTCCACTAGCACTTGGTCGATACTATTTTCTTCTATCGGTTGGCGGTGTTGCAATACCAGGATCACCATTTGTGGTCTCTTTTTAATTGCATCTTTTTTAATTTCATATCAAAAAAGTTAATGTTTTCAAATCTTTTAGCTAAACAGTCCTTATTCCTTCAGTATTGCTAATAAGATTTTGCTGTAATTGGTTAGCTACTTATTATTATATGCAGGTAGTAGTTCGAGAAATAATTGATCCAAGCAAAATTCGAATTTATGGTATTGGTATTGGACCGAATATTCATGCAAATCGATTAGTAAGCTTTGTCATTGATCCACAAAAAGTTGGTACTGTCGAAAGATTTGACTCGAAATTGCATCATGAAAATGGAACACCGGTGAACGTGGCTTTGATCGATAATGGAGATGAAACACTTATAGCGAGTTATACCCCCCATGAAGCTGGTCTGCATAAGGTAATATTGTCCAAAAAGTTAAACCGCTTATTAGTATAATTTTAACAAACTTTAACCATTATTATAACTTTGTTTCAGTTGGCATTATATTATGACGATATGGAATTATTGAAAATGAACATCAATGTTAAACCAATTGATATTTCATCGATTGTGATAGATGGTCTAAATAATGGTTGGAAACTAAGCTCATGTTGAATTTCACTGATGTTTTCATTTATCTTACAAAGATTGCAAAAAATTTTTGATATCTTTTTTTATTTCATAAAGCATGCAGAATTTTGCAGAGACCGTTGTAATTGGACATCGAGAAGATATTGTTATTGATATTGGGGATTTAATGTCTATGAAAAATGGTGTCGAAGTTATTGTAGAAGAAGCTAATGGATCGAAATATATGGTTCCTCTTGAGAATGGTTATGATTCAACTATTTTCAAAGGTTATGTCTTACTTTTCCCATCGACAATTATAATTTCTGAATTTCACCTGATGGTTTATGATAGTTTGTTTCCAGGCTCCTGGATAGCCAAAAATGTTGGCAAAACAAAATTTTCTGTTTTCTTTGATGAATATTTGGTTTACGAATCGCAAATTATCGTTCGACGAAAACAAGATGCTACTAAGTGCCGAGTTACTGGTGATGGACTTAGGCGTGGAATAGTTGGTATACCGGCAAATTTTCAGGTGGATATGAAGGTGTGAAGTAGCATATGAATTTTCTTCTTTGCATTTGCAAACGTTTTTCCATTATGAAATTGAAGTTTAGTTAAAAGAAATAAAACCACAACAATATTTTAGCAGTAGTATTCTAACTGAATAAACAAAATTGGATTCAGGATGCTGGAGGAGACAGGATGAAAATGGCTATCAAGGGACCATCAGAATCAAAAACAAACATCATTGATCATTCCGATGGCTTATGCACTGTAGAATATACTGCACAAACACCTGGTCTATACGAAATAAGCATTTTTTTTGGTGATAATGAAGAAGAAATTCCCGGTCATTTTTTTTTTTTTTGCTTCATCTTTTCTATTATCATTCACTGTTTTTGATTTCAGTTGTATTCGCGAAGTAATTTACTGAACTATTGTAGGTTCACCCTTTATGGTATTAGTTGATTATGAATATGATCCGTCGAAAATCTTGATAACCGGATATAATAATGGACATGTACGAGCTGGTGTACCTACGTCATTCTTGATTGATGCTACACGTACCGCTATAGAACCTATCAGTGTACGATTTCCTATTGGCTTTCAGCAACCATTTATTGAAGAAATTGAATCTCGAATATATCGAGTAACATTTACGCCGAATGCCAGAGCAGGTGAAATATTGCCCTTGGAAGTCCTATACGGTGGTCAACTTCTCTATGGAAGGTAAATTATCCGACTTATTTATATTGATAATTTGTATTTTACACATTGATGATTTTTATCCTTTCCGATAACACTAATTCTTTATCGTACCATTGTCTTCCAAAGTTTTTTGCATGTCTGATAAAGATACAGTCAAGACTTGAATATCATAGGCCATGGGAATTTACTGTTGAGCAAGACGAACGAGAATTCATAGCGCTAAAGAATGATTCCGGCATTCTACCACATGAAGTACGTGCTTCTCTTCGATGTGAATTGTTAGTTGAAGGAAAGAAAGCTGAAAAAATTAGCAACATAAAGGCCGAAATAAAAGTAAGATTTTTTCTTTTTTTTTTTTAATGAGAATACAACTGCAACCATTGGTCACTGATACCATAGTTACCGAACTGAATATTTTAATTTTGAATTCATCTATAGGGTCCCGATAATAAGCCTCGAAAATCATCGCTCACTGAGACACCAAATAAAGGAATATATCTGTTGGGATTCGTCCCGGATATGGCTGGAACATACCTTATTACTATATATGGTGATGGGAAGCCGCTCCATTCAAAGCCATATGAGATCACTGCTGTTCCAATTGGTTCCGCAAACAAGTGCTATTTAGAATGTAAGTTTTTCACATATATTTATGAGCGTATTGTTATTAATTCTTTTTCGGTCGTTTTCTTAAAATAGTTCTTTTAACTACTTCTCTTTATTACGACCGATTAATTAGAAGATTTCAAAATTTCGATGTCAATCACATCTCATATTGTATTATCGTATCTATTCGATGTAATTTCAGTAAAACCGCTCGATAAATTTTGGATTATTGAAGAACCGAAAACATTCAAAGTAAATGCAAACTGTGCAGGCGAAGGTGCACTAAATATTGTCTCCGATAGAGATGATTTAAAAGTAAACGTTGTGAAACAAAATGATGGCTGTTATTTAGTAACATTTACTCCACATCATGGAGGACCGCATCAAATTACACTGTTGTACGGTGGTGTTGAAATACCTAATGGAACGTTCAGTTTTGAAGTTAGCAAATCTTATTTAATTCGGACAATTAAAGTAACTTAATCTAGGTCAGAATTATTACTTAGTTTAATTAGCTTTGATCATTTCTAGACGCAAGCTTAATATAGTGAATTAAAAATTTTAGTGTATGCGAAGAATGAAACCTATATTAGGATTAGGTAAGTTATGGTTTTGAAGACGAATGTTTCATCCTTTAAACACTTTGTTGTTTTGTGAAATGTTACTTTTACTACTATTTTCATCGACATTTTTTTTTGTTTTCACAGCATTTGCTGGAAAAGAGGAGTCGATTTATAGGGTAATATTGGTAAGACGTTATTATTGTTTCCACTTTGAAACAGCTGGTTTTTCTTCAGTGATTTATAGCGTTATTTTTTGCTACATTTCTAAACGCTAAGCTTATAGTGCTGAATCAAAATGCGAAGATGCTAGAGTTTTAGCTTAGATGAATTATTTAGCATTTTTTGCTGCTTTAGCAAAAAGAAGAAAAGTTTTTTTTTTCTATGAGAAATATTTCTCTACGCATTGTTTGGATAATTAAAAATTGTTACTGGCCGCTTTCTATCTTCTGGGTCTTCAGTACTATAAGAAAGAGAGAATGGCGGAAACTAGCAATAAGTTTTCTATTATTACTTATTAAGTAAATGTAGTATTCATTATCATTAATGTCGTACTTATTTGTGAATCATCAAATGATAATGAAAATTTCTATTTCAAAGATGCTCGCTCTTATTTTTTTTTTTTTTTTTTATTTTTTTGAACTTGCATGTTTTCTAGAATTTATTTTCCTTAGAGTCCAGTGAAGATATGACTAAATTAGCAATGAAATTTTACACTTGTATTACTTTTTACCATTTCAGTTTATTTATATATCACTTGATAATGTCATATATTCATAACTTTTTCTAATGAATGCATTAAATAGAGCTATAAAAAGCTGACATCTGTTTTGAAAAAATAATATTTTTATATTTAAAAAACAGCACTGTATTATATGAAATCGCCAGATGGTTCTAACAGAACTGTTTTAGTAGTTTATTTTCCATTCGAAATTAGATCAAATTGTATATATCGTTTATTGAATCGGTTAAAAGAAAAAGTTTATATTTTCAGGCTAATTTTCAACACTTACCATTTGCTAACATTTTATTCACTCTATTGCTTATGTTTTAGTAAACATCGGGAAAACAAATAAACTAAACTTTCTCTAAGACTATCAAAATGAAATTATTGGTAGCAAAGAAAATGATTTCATAAGATGAATGAAATTTTTTTTCTACGCAAAAATCTTATTGATTTCTCTCCTAAATCTTTTTATATCTTTTCCAGTTTATCGGTTATTCCAAGGAAATGTGATCTCTTCTCATCTTGTCTCATCTGCCTATTTAATTCTTTGCTTGTAAACAATCTAAACTAAAGTGAAGCAATATAAAACTAATCGTTCTTTCATTTTCCGTATTCTTCATGTGTTATAAATGTTTAGCAACATTAGACACATCTGTTCGTTTATTCTTTCCCTTGAATTGATAAATCGCATAATATGTGGAATATGCTTTTACATCGTTCATTGGACTTTATCTCAATTATCAATGAAACCTTTATTAGAATTTTTGAAATTTCTTTCTCTTTTTCCTATAGTTTCTAAAAACTTTAATGAATCAGGAAATTCCGTAACCATCTAATATTTTATTCCTTGAATCAGTCTCCATGAATTTGAAGTAAATAATTCTAAGTCATTTGTTTCAAAAGTTTGAATTGTAGTTTTCAATTTTAAAGATTCTAATAATAGTTAAAATTTCTTTACCGTAAAATATCATTTTTACAAATGTAAGAAACAAGATGCAAAATTCATTTATTTTTGCTTTTTTTGGGATGATGAAAAAAAAAATTCATGTTCGAGAATTAAAATAAAATATGTTATACAGATAACAACTGCTTCTTGAGAGCAGTTGTTGTTATTTGCAATATTATGTTGTAATGAGAAATCATTTAGCCATTATGAACCTTTCTTGTTTTTCATTTATTTCTTTTCTACAGCAAACTGCAATTAGGATCTAATATTCTCGTACTTTTCAGTGTGGACCAGCTGTTGCTAGCGAACCTGAAGTAGCATTATTAAAACGCGAAGCAGATCCGGAGCAGTGTTTTTACAACGTAGAGAAACATTTGATACCACATACTTTTCGTTTTTCAGTAACTCCAGATAGTCATTCTGACAAACTAAGTGCATCAGTAAGAATGCCGTCCGGTAAAAAAGATGTTGCGCATATCAAGGTAAATTTTTGAAAGGTTTTTAACGTAGATGTTAGGTTCCAACGAAAAAAAAAGTCTTAGACAATAGAACCCTATTCTATATTGCACTAAAAAATGTGTGGAGAAATCAGACATTAAGGTGGAAAGTTTTACTTTTAAGTAATAAGTTTATTTTCTCTTTGAATTGTAGGATAACGCTGACGGAACTATAACGGTGACATATCACCCAAAACAGTGCGGCAATCATCTTCTATCAGTGCAGCATGATGGAGTTAATATGTCTGGAAGTCCAATCTCTTTCTACGTTAGCAGTGCAAATGATGGATATGTGACTGTATATGGTCCTGGCTTAACACGTGCAGTGGTTGGTGAACCAGCACCATTTACAGTTTGCGCCAAGGGTTCACCAGCTAAAGAATTGGCAGTTGCTGTTGAAGGAGCTGCAAAAGCAACAATTAAATGTCATGATAATAAAGTAACATTTAAATTTACAGTCACAAATAAACTAATCATAAATTTTTTAAAAGTTATTTAATAGTTTCTTTCTCTTCTGCAGGATGGTACATGTTCTGTAGCATGGGTACCACCTGTACCTGGTGAATATAAGGTACATGTCAAACTTTCTGGAAATCCGGTGAAAGGTTCACCGTTCGTTGTCATTGTGGCTGGTGAGGGCCAGAAACGTGCCCATTTATCAGTTGGATCAACATCGGAGGTTTTTTTCTTTTAATTTTCTGCAATTATATGCTAAAATAATTTCGTTTCAAGTATTTCTTATCAAGGTGTTCCCAGCAAGATTTTCGTTGAAATTTATTACTATGAATTATAGGTTTCACTAAATGTTGCAACTACGGAAGTCAAAGGACTGTCAGCTTCAATAAAAAGTCCTAGTGGTATTGAAGAACCGTGTTTTATTCGTCAAATTGATTCTGCTAACATTGGTATTGATTCTGCCAACATTATTATCAGATCATTGCTTCTCAGTCATTCTGTATTTATTTTTCTTCCCCATATATTCTTTGTTTACTGGTAGTTTAACTACAATTATATATACCATTTCAAATTAAAATTATTTATAAATGGAATAATCTATTTTTAGGTGTTTCATTTACTCCTCGTGAAGAGGGTGAACATCTGGTTACTGTTAAAAAAAATGGTCAAATCATACCAAAATCACCTTTCCGAGTTAAAGTCGATAAAAATCAAGTAAGTCATTTTTTTTTTTTGTTTAATCATCTGTATCAATTTATTAGCTGTAAATGATATGAAAAGTACTTAGGTCGGGAATGCGTCGAAAGTTACTGTTAGCGGTAATGGAAAAGCGAACGCTATTTCTCAGCAGTACAACGATGTGATTGTAGATACGCGTAATGCAGGTCAATTAAAATTTTTTACGCGGCTGCATAAAACAAGATTAATTCATATTGGTAGTGCTCAATTTAATTCCAGGTTATGGTGGTCTGTCTGTATCTGTTGAAGGGCCATCAAAAGCTGAACTAAAATGTACTGAAGCAAAAGAAGGTTTAATTAATGTCGCCTACAAACCGACGGAACCAGGGATTTACATTTTATCCATAAAATTTGCAGATACACATGTAAAAGGTTGGTGGAAACAATTTCCATTGTGCTTCGATGTATTTTCCTTTTTAAAAAAAAAAAAAAAAAAAAGTTTTCCTCCAGCGAAATTGACAGAATTTTTATATTTGCAGATAGTCCATTTACCGTTAACTGTACTGGTAAGGGATTGGGATCTGTGAAGAAAAGAGCCACCAAAAAAGTGAATCAGGTAAATGTTTAAATTTTATGAAAGCGTTGAAAATCATAAATTGAATCAAGAATCTACGTGACAGGTTGATTTTGCTAATTTGAGAACAACTACTAGAAAACTATTTTAAGGCACCCATGATTCTGCCCAATCAGGATGCTTCCATATATTTGAAATTAGAAAATACATCTCCAATGGAAACAACAGCAAAAGTTATGAATCCTGATGGGAAAAGCTCTGATATAGAAGTGCGTGACACTGGTGATAGCCTTTACCAAATTATTTTCAAGCCTGAAATGGATGGTTCTCATGCAATTTCTGTCTTTAATAAAGGGCAGCATGTTTTAGGTAAACTATTACATTTATTTATTCACACATCTCAATTTCTCCTCTTCCAGAAATGGGAAAAAGCAAAAATCGTTTTTGAAAGTACCTTTTAATTTTCAGGAAGTCCATTTCAATTTACTGTTGGACATATAACAGAGGTAGGAGCACATAAAGTGCGTGCAGCAGGAGTTGGAATACTACGAGGAGAAACAAACATGAAGCAGTCATTTAATGTTTACAGCAGAGAAGCTGGACAAGGAGAACTTGAAGTGACAGTGGAAGGACCGTCGGAAGCCGAACTACAATTTCAAGACCATAAGGTAAGATATACATTGCATAGGTTTGGGCATTGCATAGGTCTTATTCTAGGTCATTTTTGTCTTCCATATTGTTTGATGAACTTACAAACAATTTCGACTGATGCAAAGTCTATATTAGCGATAGCTAATGTAGTTTCATTGCAATACTTTTTTTCGTGAGAGAAGCTATCACAGTAGACGGATGGGTAACAAACGGAATCCATGTGGCATGTTCATAACGCTATTTTTTCAGGATGGAAATTGCCATTTTAATTACAAAGTTAGCAAACCTGGAGAGTACTTGATAAGTATTAAATTTAACAACCAACACATAACGGATTCACCATTTAAAGTTAGTAATTCCATGATATTCTTCTAGTTTTGGAAGTAATTGATTTATGTGATAATTGTGGATGTTGATATTCTTCATACACATCCTTAGGTATTTCTTGCGTGTTCCACGTTTATTTCTGTTAAATTTTTGAGTATCGGTTCTTTCATTTAAAGGTGTTCGTGGCTCCCGCAACGGGAGAAGCTCGCCGGCTTGAGTTAGCGTCATTCCCAGATTCTGGATTGCCTGGTAAAGCATGCACCTTCACGGTACTTACGCATCGTGCAGCAGGTCATCTTGAAGCGAAAGTTCATACACCGAGTAATAAGATTGAAACAATTGATATTGTTCCTATTGATGAAGGCGAATCGTACGCTTTACGATTCATCCCTACAGAGGTATTTGTTTTCTTTTCCATTTTATGACTTCTGATTGCTAACGTTTTAATGGTTTGTCGACTTTGGTAATTGTTCGTTCGACATATATATTGTTTTTTAGACAGGGAGTTATTATATTGATGTGACACTTGATGGCGCACCAATGCGTGATTCACCCTTCCGTTTACGTGTCGGTGCGAATGAGGACAGTGATCCAACTGCAGTAACAGTAAGTGGTGATGGTATACATGGTGGAGAAACTGGCCATAAGTGCGAATTCATCATTAATACTTGTAATGCTGGGAGCGGAGTTCTGCTGGTTCAGATTGATGGTCCATCGAAGGTTACTTTGGACGCGTATGAGGTTAGTTCGTTTCCCAACATCTATTGTTTTATTTCGTCCAAAAGTATCATCAGTTAAAGGTTGGATGAATTATTGACTTACATCTTTAGTATTACACTGGAATCCAATATATGACTGTATCCAGCGTATATATAAAGTTTGCTCTTAATTAAATTAATCGGACAATTCTATTGTTTTGCATTTATCGTTATTATTGTATGATTACTTTTTTTTTCTCTCTGTGTGAGTTGATACCAATTAAATATTACATAATTATAGCTGGAAATGGGTTATAAAGTACGATACATGGCTTTGGCACCTGGAGCGTATTTTGTAGATATCAAATATGCAGGTATTTTAACTAAAAGAAAATAATCAATTTAGGATAAGGTATGAAGAATGGTATTTATGATGGATATTTCTGAACAAGAAATTTCCCTTCCATTTAATGTGAATGTCATGACCTTGCCCTTCATTTCATTAAGTTCGTCAAGTTCTTTATCCTTTTTCAGGTGTTCATATCCCTTGTTCACCGTTCAAGGTAGTTATGACTGGTAAAGAACTTGGTGGTGGTGGTGAGCCGGACACTTCGCTTATTAAGGTTCTCTAATTATGCATTATTTGATGGTCTTTTTTTTTTTTTTTTAATGGAATGTAGAAAATGAGGGAAAGGAAATAGGCATTGATATTATTGTTAGACTGTTTATGGGTTTGGATGGGTTTGTTTTCCAGTTCACCAGTAATGTTTAATTAAAACTTCCTTTCAGATTGATGCACTGGCAAAGACAAGCAAAGGGACTGTTGCACAGGTTCCAGTATTGAAAGGTGATGCAAGCAAAGTTACTGTTAAAGGGGGTGGTTTGAACAAATTTTTCCCAGGTCGACCAGCTGTTTTCAACATTGATACTGCTCTTGCGGGTTAGTCCTTTATCTTTTATGATTTCATTTATTATATATGATACAAAGTTTATTTCTCATTTTCTCCTTTTTTCTTAGATATGAGGAAAAAAGTGACACAAAAGTCTGATAAATAATTATTTCTTTCAAAAGAAAAGGAAATTGTGATCACTACGATGGATTAATAGTTCCGTAAAAGAAAAATTTATTAACTATTATTAAGGTGAAAATCTTCTGTTCGTTGGTATTCTTACATCAAAAGGACCATGTGAAGAGGTTACAGTCCGACATCTAGGCGGTGGTCGATATGTGGTTACTTATCGTATTCAGGAAAGGGTCAAAGGATTCATTTTTGTCAAATATGGCGAAACTAATGTGCCAGGCTCGCCATTTGCGGTTTCATTCTAAAAATAATCATTTTTGACTAAATTTTTTGCGCTTTCTTGTATCCATATTGGGTTCCTTTGCCACTTTTTTTTCCTCCAACAAATTTTATTAGCTTTGTTTCCTGTGCTATAAGTCTATATATGTTTGTGTATGTATGTATGTGTGTACGTGTCTGTCTCTCCTTTGTTAAGTAACATACCTTATCTTTTGTTAAATTTTTATTTAAAAAAAAAAAAAAAAAAAAAACCTTTTCTCATAAATAAAACGTATCTCAGAAATATGTCAAAAGCTTTAAAAAGGAGATTAGCACTACCACTGTCTCCGATATCGATCATTGCTTTATATGTCTTTTCTTTTTCTTCTTAAAATCTGTATATTATCTTGTGGTTTGGAGAGTGAATTTTATTTTAACTTGTTGCTCTGTGAATTATTTCTACATCAGTGCTTATGTTATTCCGGATTCATCTTTCAGTTTAACGTTACATTCATCTATAAACGTTTTGTATTCAAATATTTTGCTGAATAGTTGCATTGCCTAAACACTTCGAATTTATTTATTAATAATTCGATAACATTCCGTCATTTAGCTTGATCGTTAGGTAAGCAGTGCTTTAAAAAAAAAAAAAAAAAACATTGGGGATAGTTAATTTGGTACTTCATTGGTCAAAAATATATTTTGTTAAAAGAGTAATATTTTGTATGAATTTATATGTTTGTTACAGGAATCATGCGTAATTAAATGATGGATTACGGCTAAGTGTAGTGTGAAGGAATTTGCTTAATAGTATATTTTTCATGATAAGCTGTTGTTATATATCAATTTAATAAGTACCATTCTCACCTCGGATTATTATTATGTATTACTATCTTGAGTAGTTATTGACTAAGATATCTGGTAGATTTTTAGTAAGATAGCTTAACAAGTAATTATACCGTAATATTTGGATGCAATGGTCGAATGATGCTTCATTGTTTTCAATGTGAGAAAATGATGATGGAATAATTCGATGAAGATATATCATGAAGCTTGAGTTATTGGAATTGCAATAGAAGGTATGGATTTAATATAAAGATAGTGAACTAACAGTTCGTTTATTTGCATGTTTTAGGTTAAGCAATGGTGTGGCACTAATTCTGTGCAGGATTTATACGGGATATTTCATTTACAATAATTCCTTTTATAGTACTATAAATGTTTAGTAATACTGAAATACTGGTAATGATTTATCTACAAAACAATGCAAAAAATAACACAATGTAAGCATAAACAGTAAGTTGTTAAAATGTTTAATTTACGTGAATAGGAAATCAATCAGTATTTACGTATAGGATGTTCCGTTATTTTGACTTTTTGCTCTATACCATATTTAAATTTGCACGTTCCTTTCGTCGTATATAAAACAACCTATAATTAATAGCTGTGAAAGCATTGTAGATATGTCAAAATAATCCGCTTTAAACATGCGTTATGCTCGACAGTATTGAACAATATTTCTACTATAAACTAACATTTGAACAAAATTCTTTTTTCAATATATATCAAAAAATTGGATAAAATTCCAACTTTATTTGTTAGATTAATGGTTGGGTTGTTTTATTGTTTATGATTTATGCATGGTTTGGATGAAGTAAAATAGGGAATGAATGAAAATGATTGATGGTACTTGAAAAGGGTTGGATTGCTAATGAGCTTCAGACAATGCATAATCATTGGCAATGAATCAGTAATGAAGTGTAACTCAACATCTAAAGCTTATTTTGAAGAGTAGAGCTCATGTGATAAATGCTGCAATAAAAGATGAAATTATGGTGATAAACGCAAAGGTAGAAGTACTTTATCAACTTATCATTACAGAATTTTAGAAGAATTTTTGCCGGGTTTTGGAAATATTTTTCTTGTCAAATTTTGTAATTTTTGCATAAATAAAATTTAATATAGACGTGAAAAGAATGGAGTTAATTGTAAATTTAACTCACATCATTTTGTATTGTGAAGCCCAATGAAGAATAATTTGTTATATTACGTATGATATCGGCAATTTTACCCTCAATTATTGTTATCAAACTATTATTGTCCTTTATATTTGTCACTGTAACAATAATTCTGCCTGACATACGACTTTCGATTGAAAATTTCCTGCAAAAGGAAAAAAAAAAGGATTATCGTTTAGCTTGCCATAGTTTAAATAAAAGCGATTAAATTACTATTAATTATTTAGGCTATTGTTATCATTCCAAAATAAAATTGTTACTGTTTCCATCAATCAGTTACATCGTTTCAGGATCCGATTTAAATTTATATACTATTCATAACATTTTTTTGAACATTTATCGTAAATAAATTTTAAGGAAATAATTGAATTCCGTTTGATTCGTTTGTTATTTCACACAAAAAGGAGGAATTCTGACTTGTATAACAAATAAAACATATGTAAAATGATTGGAATTTAGCAGAATACAATTGAAAATATTAATATAACTCCATATCGTATTTCATTTCCATGTAAAATAAGCAATAACAAATTAAATTATTTCATTTAATCTATCTTAACAAGTGAAATTTTTGTTAGTGTTTAAGCGATAAATACATCAGAGAAAACCAAATGTAATTAATTCAAGAATAATCATAGAATTAAGACAAAAATTAGAGAATAAAAGACAAGCCTAGTTTGATGATCTTCCAAAATGATTAGTTCAGCGGTTGTTTCACAGAATGGTGGTACTCGAATGGTACTATCAACACCCCATGTGAGTTCTTCCTCAATTGTATTCTCACCAATATTTATCACCGTTAATTCACTATTAAATCCAGCATTTGCTTCTACTACTTCACCTGGTGTTTTTAATTTCAATGACATTTCAATTCCACGACATACACCTTTCTCTATAAAATAAATTTTTTCGTTTCATTTCTGCAATATTTTAATAATAATTTAAAAAAGAAGTATATAATTTAGAAATTACAATTATACTTTTTATTTTTTTTTTTCATCTTTCCTAAAAAAAGAAAAAGAAATCGTATGTTAGTGAAAAAAATAATAGTGTTATTCAACTCAATGTATTTATTTATTTATTAAACTGAATGTAAATTTTCATTGCTATAACAAAAATTTAAAAAATTTTTTTTCAAATATTTTTTAGTATAATCATTTGTTATAATCGATATATACTTATTTATTAATTTATTATTCTAATATTTTTTGATTAAAAAAAAAAATCAAATATATTACCAATAATTACTGTTGCTGCACTACGTGTTGAACGTTCTGTTTTAAAAGAATATTCTTGTTCACGTTCAGTTGTATTGGTAAACGTTGATTTAAATAAGCACTGCTCATCTTTTGTCTCATGAACATTTTTTGCATTTGTACTACCAATTGTATATGTTGGCTCCAATGATTCATTGAACAAATGGGACCAATTGATATTATACTGTAATTTTATTTAAAATAAAAAAAAAAAAAAAAGAATTACACACAAACACATAAATTTTTTATTAAAATAATACTCTTTTTTTCATTCATTTTATAATTTTTTTTTTTTTTAAAGACGGAAAGATTTTTAAAACAACTTTGATTTTTAAAGTTTTCGCTTTTTTTTTTTCATTTATATTTCTAATATTATTTTATTGAACATTTTGAAAGAATTTAGAAGCAAAAAAAAAAAATTAGAAAGGAAAATTACTTTGTCTAAAAAAACATAGCATCTTGCTATAATTATTACTTCATATTATCTCAAATTGTGCAAAAATTGAACTTTAATAATTTTAAAAATTAATATGAAAGTGTTATATAAATCGTTTTAAACCAAATAAAAATGATAAATTTGAATTGTTTTTTGTGACATTTTTTTCATCCTTTTTCACAAACCCAAAATTTCTATGGTGTGTTTTAATTTCTGATCAATTTTCAATTTCATTGTTTTGCTTTGACTTGTATGCATGAATTTGTTAAATTGGAATTCCAATTTCTAGTTTCGGCATGGCAAACTGTGAGTTATGTAACCTTTTAACCATTTAATTGATGTATATTGGCAATCATATATTTTCGAATTTTTTGTTAAACTTAAAAGAAGAAGAAAGCGTTAAGTGAACTATAATTTAATAATATGATCATTTAGGAATTATTTATTAGCCATTTTTCATATTCTTTTAATTCTACCTTGAAATTATGCTTAATTATAAACATATCAAATGTTAAACTTTTCGGATATTGAAAATAATGAAAAGTCCAAGTGATAGAATCATTTATCGTCCGAATGAATTGAAATAATTTAAAAATTTTTCAATTTTTTCCTTACTTTAACTGCAACAGCTAATCATTGAAAACACGGTTGAATTATATATACGTATGTATATAAATATCTAAATAGCCAACTGGATGGGAAATCTCTGTTACAATTATAATTAAACCGATCTCATTCATTTATTTATCCTCTCCCTCACTCTCTCTTTCTTTCTCTGTCCCTCCCTCTCTTGTCTTTTTACTTTTATGCCAATCCTCTAATCGTTAATTATTGTTGAAGCTATCTGGTGATAATACTATGTGAAAGAAGAATGTTTTGCATGGAAATCGTTAATAAAGGCAAGATAATTCAATGGACGAATTGAATCATCAATGAAATTTATAGCAACTAAATAATTTTGGAATCATTTGATGGTGACAAGTTTACTTTCTATACTTTTCAAATAATAATGCTAAATTTCATTTTTCTTTCATCATTTAATTGCGCTATCCTAACTTATCTTTTTTTTTTTTTTTTTTTTTTTGTTAAAAATTGTAAGTAAAAGAAAAAAAAAATGGAAATGATATAACAAAAAACCTAAGAAGACATGAAAAGATTGAAAATCATTAATTAATTATTAATTAAATTAATCATTCAAAATAATTGAAAAATGTAATAATGTATGGATATATACATTTCATAAGCAATTATCTTCATCTTCACCTCCGATATTATCTCTTTTCTGGATGTGATAAATTGAGATAAATAATATTCGATTATTCAATGGAAGCTTTAAAAGCATGATATTGACTAAGATGTATTTACGTACATATATAATACGAATCAAAATTTTCTTCCTATTTCCTAAAAAACCTACTTCTATTTTAAATTTTATAACAAACATTCCTCTTTCATTTCATTTCACAAAATTTTCGATAATTTTTTTCATTTCTTTTTTTTTGTAAAATTTTATACGAAAATTATTGAAATTAGTTATTATTTTTAAGCTATTGTTAATACAATTTTATTTGTTCTATCACTGATATGTTTAGAGAATAATGAAATTCATATTACTCCTAATTATACCAAAACTTATTCCTATGTAAATAAAAAAAGTGTACCTTAGTGAAAGCTACTAAAAAAAAAATTGTTTAATTCAAATTTACTAAAAAAAGTTAAGAAATTGCTGAAAATTAACAAGATACATTAGAAAATGTTTTATTTTGTAACATAAAAATCAAATTGATGCATTTGTTAGTAAAGATAAGAAGAGGAAACATGAAATATACTTTGATTATACTCGAACCATAAAATAAACAAACTTTGATTAATGATCTAATTGTTTTATGTAGCTTTAACTTTCATTTAGCACTTTAAATTTCGAAATAATCAAAAATATTCATTTTAGGCAAAAATTTTAAATCATAAATTTTTCCAAATGAAGCTGAAATCTGAAAATGTTCAAAAGTATATATACTCAAAGATTTAAATATAATTTTAAAGCTTTAAATTTAATTTTTATAACAAATAAATAATTTTTCGTGGTAAATAAAAACGTCTGGGTATAATGATGTACCTGAAGAAATTTTTTGTTGATTTTAGCTTCTGTCTTAGTTTTGGTAACATCAAAAATTTGTTTGGCCCAATTTAATATGATAATTTCAAGGTCGATCAATTCTTTGAAACTAGTATCAGCTAAACTTGTTGTATTCAACGGATCTGTTGTTGACATTACATTAGATGCTAATGGATCCTTTTCATTTCTATCTGATCTGCCTGAAAAACTAAAAGTTTCACTATGAAGCAATTTTCTTCTTCACTTTCATTAAAACAATTTTAGATGATTGATATTTTTGATCAATTAGTTTTATAAATTTAATGATTGGATGAGAAATTTTTGTTCTGTGAATAAATTTCAAAATGTGAATTATTTAACACTTCAAAAAAAAGGTGAAAAATTAACATTTTGGTGCTATGTGATATTATCTATTATTATCATAATTTTCACTAAGTTATGCAATAATTTAAAATATACTTTATTATAGCTATTAAATAGCACATATAAACCTATCAATTATTTCATTGTAATTATCTAATTAACCTGTAAATTGTTAATTTAAGTAAAAAAAAACTAAAAGGAACAGAGAAAAAAAAAGAATTAATTTAATGAAATATAACTGCTTAAATGTATGGTGTAGGAATTATATTAGATAAATTTTTAATAATTAAATTATTATCGTTGCTAGAAAATTATTTGATAAGAAGATAGATTATTTAGTAAAATTAAACATTTTTCATGCAAAATAATTTAATAAAGTTAATAAGTGAGAGAAAGAAAAGGGAAAAAAATGAAAAGAAAGAATGCATTATGGACGACTACGGTATTTGCTTATATTGCAGACGAAGGGTGATCGATCGGAGCATGCCATTCGCTTTAAATAAACTTTAGCTTATCGATGGATGAATGATTGTCATGAAATTTTAGCATGCATCTCTGCTGCTTTACATTCCTCATTTTTAGCTTTTTCTCATTTAAAGTAAATTTTTTTTTTAAAAAAAAAGTGGACAAAAATTAAGAGAAAGGGAAGAATGTAATTTGACAAAAAAGCTAGAAAGCGAGAAAAATTGATGTATGAGATGTAAAATAGAAAATGGATAAATTCTTGAAAATGAAAAAAAGAAGGCAAGGGAGAGGAAGGGTGAAGGAGAGAGAGAGAGAGAGAGAGAAAATAAAAAAAGAAATTACTTTTTCGCATTGTAATGTTGAGTAGTAATATAACTCCTGTTATTTCTTATTGTATTAAATAATCAAATCTTAAAAAGACTGTAATCAATTACTACAATATGTATAATTAAGAACTAATCTAAGATATCCAATCTGTCTGTTTATTAATAAATTATTATTTTACGAAATTAGTTATATAAATTAGTTATAATGTGTTAAAATATCAAACTATGGATATCATAGATAAAAACTAGGAATAAATTAGATGCTCACAATTTTAATAAAGATGAGAATAATAATAATAATAATAATAATGAAAAAAAATTTTTCAACATTATAGAATATCTTATTGTTTGTCGTTTGTATTAAAGTTTTTTCTATCAGCTTTTATTTTTCTTTCTCCTATAAAAAGTACTATTCAAACTTTTTAAGCAAATATTCCTTAATTTAATACAAAACATTTATAATTTAACATTTTACTAGCATCACACATTATTTCCTCTTTTTTGTTTTCTTTTCTTCTTTTTGTGTTCTTCTTCTTGAGATTTACTAGTTAGAGATGTTGAAAAAAATTGATGAAATTAATTTTAAATAATCTCCAACTTCAAAAATTACGGCTATACCATTTGGTATTTTATAAAAAAAATCTCAATTCATTTCTTGCTTGCATTCAACATTCAACAAAACGAAAAGCATAATATAATATATAATGATAAGCATTGAATCACTGATTTATTCATGGTATAACAATTGAAAAATATTTATATGTAAAATTAAAATTTTCATATTTCATTGAATTATTATTATTATTACAGTGATTAGTTGTGTAATAATTCATATATGAGCTACAAGTTCATTACAAGTTATTTCTAAATTTTTGGTAAAGTTCTTAAAAAATTTTTTAAATTAGGAAATGTTTTAATGCAGTTTCAAGCAATCAGAATTACTCACTTATCTTATTTATCTTTTTGTTTCTCTCTTGTTTCTTGGTTTTATTTACTTATTTATACACTTTATAACTTCTTTATGAATTTTTTTTTTTAAAAAAAAAGAAAAAGTTATAGAAAAAAAAAATTAACGTTTGTACATTATTTCAAAAATCATTTCTGTTGCAATACTTACTGAATAAGTTAAATACGCAATGATCATATTCATATGTTATGAGCAACTGTAAGCTTTTTTTAATTTCAAATAATATTTAACAATCTTCAATAAAATTTTTTTACTTGATGATGAACATTCATACATCTATAAATACTTAATTATCATAGTTCGGATATGATAATATTCAATAAGAATTTAATTTAAATAATTTAATAATTTAAATTGGAAATTTTTGTATTTGTGTGTATATGTATGACAAAGAGAAAAAGAAAAAGAGAGAGGGAAAGAAAAAGAAACAAATAACAGAAGGAAAATTTACCGCAAAATAATTCTTTCAAAATTTGAGTCGTCGTTTTGATGATTTATTCCTTTTGTACAATTGAAGTATGATCTATTAAACGGTGAGAAAATATTCCGCTTGATTTAGTCGAGAAAAGCTTAGCTTACTTGAAATAATAGTATTACAAGTGAGTAAGCAATTGAAAAATTCCTTTCTTTACCAAATTTTATCAGTAATATTATCAGAAAGAATGAAATTTAGCCTTCAAATAACTAAACAACTCAAAATTATTCTTTCATTCAACGAAAAGCAAACACGAAATTAGCTGTTTCCCTTTCTCCTCTTTAAAATGCCTTAAAATTCTCTTATATATTGTGAGAGAGAAATACACACCCTTTTAACCATATATCCATTCATCTATCTATCCATCTATCTATCCATCTATCTATCTATCTATCTATCTATCTATCTATCTATCCATATTCATCCATTTATTGCTTTTTCTCCTACATCGAAAACAGGCAAATGTTTTCAAGCAGGAAAATTTATCACCACGCCCAAAGCCTACCTACAGCATCTAGCCAATCAAATTGAATGAATAATGCTTCTAAAACAGCTTTTTTTTTTTTTTTTTGAAATAACTGAACTCATTAGTAGTTAGTTAGGTTAAGATAACAAAGCTTTCATCTTTACAATTATCGGGCATTTTTAATTTTATACTAATAATGCTTATTTTCAACTGAAAATTTCTTTTTAAAACTTTCTTTTTGTTTTATATATAATATTTAATATATTAATAAATTCTAACTTTCATACTTTAGTGAATTGTAAAAATTTTACAACTTAATTAAATGTTATTGTGACTTCTTTTATTTGTATTTTTTTTTCTTCTCAGTACTATTTTAAGCCAATTTCTGCATCTGCTTCTAGTTAGTCTCAAGATCAATGTCAAACTCGGTTTTCAGTGATATAACAAACAGATTTTGAGTAGAGAAATTCAGAATTTCATTTTAATAAATGACCTGTAATCATTATGATTAAGTCTTGCGATAAATTTGCAGAAGCGATATCTTAGATTTTATTGCTTATAAACATTCGTATTGGCAGATTATGTTTGAGAATTTATTTTATTATTTTCCAGTTCAAAATTATTATTCGATTTATTTCCCAATATATTCTTATTCCTTAATGTAACCTGTTTGTAATTTTAATGCAATAGTAGTGATCACGCAAAATGGATAAGACATATTTTAAAGTTCTAAACTGCTAAATTAAACTATGATAATTGCAAGTAAGATTAATGAAGCTGATATATTCTAGTCCTAAAAGTTAATCTAAACTGGGCTTGTGACTTTTGTTATTTTTGGATCGAAAGAATTGTCAGTTTGAGATATCGTCTAGCACTTTAGTTACTTAAAATAATAATAATAATTGCAAAAAAATCAATTATTTTTTAGTTTGAACCACTTACTCATTTTTCCTCACCATATATAGCACTCAGCTGTGTTAATTACTATGCAAACTGAAATTATAGTTTAATCTATATAAAACAAGCAATCCATTTCAATCTCACTCTATTTTTTTTCTCCTCTTTCCTCTCTCCTTCTCTCTATCGATTTTCTGCATAAAATTTACAGAATTACTTCAAGAAAAAAATATGATAAAATTTTTGGTATTGTAGTAATAAAAAATCTTCAGACATTCAGATGTGAAAATTAAAATTTGCAATAGTAATTCATCAAACGATAAAAGGTTAAAAATCAGTTGTGGTGAACAGTAATTGTGATTGTGACAATAAAATTGCTAATCTAAGCGGCATATTTCTTTGATATATTAAATGATGAAAATTTTCTTAGTAATAATGATAAAATAATAAACAATTACAGTAATATCATATCATTGCAGTAGCAATAATCTTTTTATATTCAGAAACAAATGACAATAGGACTGATAGTATTCTTTGATAACATTATCGCAAAACTTTTTCGTTGTAATCATTTTTTTGTCATTACTGCAAAAAATTGAACAACTGCACCTATTGACAAATTTGATATCAAATTAATCAAGTTAATTAATTTAATGAAAATGTGAGCATTAAGTGGAGGTAATATAATTTGTATGATTGCTAGGAATGATTTCAGATGATGTACAAAAAATGAAAAAAACTTAAAATGATTGATATAATTTTGAAATAATTATTTATTTCAATAAAAAATCTTTAATTAATATGGTTCTTTATTTATATCAAATATCAATAAATAATTTTTGATTTTCATCATAACAATGAATTATATATTTAATCTTCCCAATTTTTAGTATATTAAAATATGTTATTATTGAATTTTATTATTTTTATATGTAATTATTATAATTATGTAAAAGATTAATAAATTAATCACTTTTCCAATATCAGCAAAATGATAAACTAAATATTTATTTCTATAATAATAGAGCAGAAATAAAATAAATGTAACCTATATGGATGGATGAATGAAAATTTGATCATCAAGGCAGAAAATTGTTGCTTTAAAGCAAGCGTTAATTAATAAATGCATTCAATTTGGCTAGAGCAATAGTGACAATTCACACTAAGGCATTGAAAATTCTAAAATTATGCTTACATTCAAAATGTAATCAATCATTTCAGTTGGCTGTAATTGAATTTACTACTTTCAGTTATCATTTCTTTGGATTTTGAATTCATTTATAGCTAATTGACCTTGTATCATTTCATTTATATCATGTATTATGATATCATTTCATCGTGTTGAAATTGAATATATTTGAATATTTGATAAATACTTGCCAAATATAGTTCAAATTAAAAATAAAATCAAAGTAAGGATGATAATATTCATATTATAATATATAAATTACTAAATTGAAATAAAAGTGATTAAATCATTTAGTTACTAAGAAAAAAAAAGACATAAATAAGAAATGAGAAATTCTGAATAGAAAGGGAAAAACCAAACTGTATATTTCTGAAGGAATTTTTTTTTTTTGGAATTTAAATTAATTCTTTTTCTTAATACTTATTTGTTGTGAGATAAATAATAAGGGAAGCCTTAAATATATTATTAAATGTGCGTATCATGCTCAGCTATGATATATATATATATATATGATTTATGATTTGTTAATTATACTAGAAAAAGAGAAAATGATAATTTACGACTAATTAATATCATACATCCCACGATTCATAAATTTCACCAATTTTTTTACGATTATTAGAACAATTGAAAATGTCAAACTTTATATACCTAAATTCTATTCATATTTGTACAAAAGTTTTTTTTTTTTTTTGTTTCAATTTAATGTATTTAATATTTCATCGAATGAAAGTGAAAATTCAGGAAACAAAAATAAGATTTGATTAAGAGTAAAAGTTAGCAAGATTTAATTAATTTTTAGTACTACCTAAATATTCTTACCACTCACATTTAACATTTTTCAACTTATATATCATTACTGATGACAAATTTTAGCTTATGAAACTGAAACTCGAAATTAAATGTATGGATGATGTCCAGTTGTGAGAATGATAAAATGCTTTTTTCTTAACATTTGAAAATAAGATATTCTGTACAATTGAATGGATACATACATACATTAAATGGAGGTATAGGACCAAAGAAAAAATATTTAATTTCAATAGGTAAGCAGTAATAGTATGAATCATCTTTGAAATACAAAATTGTTTAATTAATTTGTCTCATTTGAATTCATATTCTAATTTCTTTTAACATATTTCTTTTTCTCATTCCTCTATTTATTGAGCATTTTAAGATGATAAGCTACGATAAGATAAATATTTTGAGAATTCTGAATGTTCATGAAAACACAGTAAAGTTAATTTTGCAGTAAATTTGACAAAATGAATACGATATTATTCATTATGCAATGGAACAGTTGCATTGAAATATAAATTAAACAATATATACTTATATATAATAACAAATAAAGATAGAAAGAAATTGTTATCTTTAATATACAAAGCATTGCAGCTACTCGATGCTTTTGAATTAAAAGAAGAAAAGAAGGAAACTGCAAATTTTTTTAATTTTCAATTTTAAGATAGTCAAATTATCATTTAAAATTCGAAAAATTTCTAAATTTAATGATAACTGTGTTGATCTTATCCCATCTCAACAAACAAAACAAACAACTAATTAATTATTGATTTTACAAAATTACTATAAATGAAAAATGTTCTTCCAATAACCAAACTGCATTCTTTCAAAATTTGCAGAATTACTTGCAAAAATTATGGCTAACAATGTGATGACATATGTCACATTTCACTTCACAACACCATATAAATTTACAATGACATTGCTGTTCCTCTACCATACGAATTGTTGTGTAACCTCGTCCACAACATATCCTATAATCAATTAAAAAATTTTCAAATTTTTTCTTCTTTGAAATCTTTAAATTTCAAGGGTTTTGTATTTTACTGTAGCGATATAATTTGAGAATTTGAACATCTTTTTGATATTTTTGGATAAGCACAAAATTTATTCTTTTTTTTTCCTTTTTTTTTTAAGGAAAAAAAAAAAAAACTAATAACAATAAATTTTATCGTAGTATAAAAGTTATAAAAACGAACATATTGCACTTGTCAAAACATTCACGACCCTGTGGACTTCGAATATCGTTTAATTGATCTTCCTTGCAATAATCAAGGGAATCATCTAAATAAACAAGCACATTGTCCAGGAATGATAGTTGTCCAGATTTGTGCAGATATCTTCCAGAACGACTTCCTGTTCTGCCCAATTGTGGTATTAAAGTTTTACTTTCTGGTGATAAATTAACCTAAATGTATTAATTCATTTTAAAAAAAAAGTTTTTTTTTCTAAATTTCAGTGATTACGAAATAATCAAAAAAAAAAAAAAAAAATAAGAATGAAATAAAAATAGTAACAATCTCTTTCTAACCCTAGTAGCATGCGAATATTTTTTTCTTAGCAATAAGCCAACTTCCTCTAATTTTGGTACAACTTTCCAGCATGTTTGCATCACGCATGATCCACTAATACCATGACATTTGCATTCACGATGCACGCTGCTCGATACTATTTTTCGTCCAACTCGATTATTATGCAAATTCATCATTGAACTGAAATGTAATTGAAAAATGATGTGACATTTATAAATATTTCTAAGTACTTAAAAAAATATTAAAGGGACTGCATCATCAATTATTTTCTTTATCAGTACGCTCTATAAAGATTTTCAGGCGATTAAGTATTAAATTAATTAACATTATCCATCTGTTATTTTAACGATGTAAATCAGAGTTAATTTTAATTAATCTACAAAAAGTAAAAAAAAAAAATTGTTCGTAATTAAAAAAGTTAACCTATAATTAATTTTCAGATGTAGTTTGAAAATAATTGGTTAATAAGCAATTATCTATTTTATTACAGAGTATTAGTAACTAATCGAAATTATATACCTGAAATTAGAAACTAATAATATTTGCACCTAACATCTTTTACAAGTAAATAACTAATGAACAAAATAATACAGATAAATAAGGTAATACAAATACTAATTCATCTTTATCGGACAAATAGAATTTTACTAATAAATAAAATTAAAAAAAAACGAATAACAAACCGAGCATCACTTGCACGTGCTAAATCAGCTGCATCCATGAATTTACGCCCAAAATTATTCGCAAATTTAATATTATCAGAGCAACCTGCCCATTTGAATTGTTTTGTGATACGTTTTGGATGAAATCCACAACTACAACTTGCAATTGTTCCTTGTGCACATGCTCGTGCTAATGCACGACTTACTGCAGCAGATGATAAAGCGAATACATAAGCTGATTCTTTACTTCCAACTAAATAAGTTCCTTTTAAGAATATTTTATGTAAAGCAAGCAAAATAGTTATAAATTCTAATTTTAGCACAACTATGATCAAATTTTTAACAACTCATTATTAATAATGCAAAAGAATTAATTCCTAAAAGTTTGATATTAATTCCTCTACAAAAAAAAAAAAAAAAAAAAAAAAAGTTAATCACTGTCGATTTTCTACTCAAAATGCAAATATTTAATAATAATTAAGAATTATAAATGTATGTCATATATTATTTTATCATTATGAGGATAATAAAAGAAAAAAGATGAAATCTTAATAACATAATGGAGAAAAATCGAATTCTTTTTATTAACCGTAAATATAATTTAAAAAGAATATTCAAAAACCAAAAAAAAAAAAAAATAAACTTTGATCCTAGTTATGTATTTAAAAAAATACCTTTAAGATGAGAAATGGCAAAACCATTGCGACTTGCTGAACAATTCCATTGCTGATCATAAAATTGATTTTTGCATTCATGTAAGGCAGCTTTCAAGCCTTTTACAACATAACGTATTGCTGTAGGATGTCGCAGACACAAATCACTTTGTCGCCTTGTCAATCCCGGTAACAAACCACAAAGGACGCCATCATCACGAAATACATTATTTGGTGTTTCTGATAGCAACCTATAAATTTAACCTTTACAAATACAAATATTTTCCATGATTTTCATTTTATAATATTTAAAATTTTTTTAAATTTAACAATTTCTTTTTTAAAATATTTTAAAATAATTTTCCAAGAAATTATAATTTATTCACTGAATATTTTTATTCAAAAAAAGAAATTTAAAAATATAAGTAATTTTGTGAGAAAATTCATTTTAATTATCAACTAATAACTAAATTTAAATGATTATTTTTTTTTCCTTTTCATTCTTTTTTTTTTTTTCTGTAAGAGAAAGTAATAAAAAAGAAAAAAAGAAATAATAATAGGACAACAGAAGGTAACAAAATATATAATTTACGATAGATGGTTTTATTATATCTATGGTAACGTCCCTTGTGGTAACAGACCGCAATGAGATTTACAACCGAATGTTGCATCAAATTAATGTTTTCTACTCCTTTTGACCCTTAAAAATTCTTAAAATATCACCAACATAAACATTTTGACATTATGCACCTGGTAAGCTAAAATAATACAAATTATAATTTCTTTTATTTTTTTTTTTTTTTCACAAAGAAAAACTGTAAGATTTCCCAATGATTATTAGAAAGATGAAAATAAAGTAAAATATAAAAAGAATTTTAAAAATTAAAAAAAAAAAAAGATGAAGAAAAGAAGAGAATAGGTTTTGATATTTGATAAAAAATTATGATTTACAAATAAATTAAAAATTCTACCAGTGCAACAACTATTACGCTCATAAACATAATATTAAAGATGTTGAAGAGGAAACATTTCATCGTTATTGCAACTTATCGCAGTTTATTATAATAAAAATTTTTTCTTCTCCTTTTTTGTAATAGTTAAAAGAAAGGATTTTTCCTTAAATTCAATTTGATCAATGAATTATTTTTCAATAGCACCAGAAAAATCAACAAAAGAACTGGAAAATTTCATATGCTGAAACAATTGAAAAAAAAGTGAACAAAAAATAGCTAAGTGTGAGCTATTATTTTAAGTATTATGTAAAATGTATTTATTTAAAAATAAACTAATTCATTTGATAGCACCAATTAAATGCAAGTTAAATTAGTATTCTTGTTAAAGTTTAATATTGCTATTTTGAAGGAATCTGATTGATTTAATGTCTCATAACATTTATCTGTGTTTTAGAGAGCAATTATCACTTTGAACTATTTTATTGCATCAGAATAAATGATAAACTCATTTACTAATTTAATTTAATTATTGCAATATAAACATTATCTGCATCTTATCAGCTTATCTTTAGCTCATACAAATAATATGACTCACATTTATATTGTTTAATTTCATCGTTAATTTTATTTCATTTTAATTTTATTCCTATTACTATTTTATTTTTAGCTTTTTTTTCCTTCTCCTCTTTACTAAAATATATATAATAATTTATTTCGTTGGCTCTGTTATATCAAAACAGTGATAAATGATATAAGCCCGATATAATAAATAAGTGATAAAATGATATAAGCCTGATATAATAAATGATATAATAAATAAGTGATAAAAATATTTGTTGTTAGAATTAAAAAAAAAAGGAGAAAAAAAATTAATTTTAATACTTTTCTTTCGTTTGTAAAATAAATTTTCACTTAAATTTTTAGCAATCTTAAATGAATTTTCGTTTTTGTTTTTTATTTTTTTAAGATTCAAAATATTAGTTTAATTTTAGATTAATTAATGTAAGGAAGAGTGAAAAGAAAAAGCTTACCACCAACAATGTGAAAATGAATTGAAAAGGATGAATATTAGTTGAAGAAGTATGACAATTTGAGAAGACATTTTCAATCTTTTAAAGCAGTAATGAATAAATAAATAGCAAGCGATATTAATAGAACGGACAGAAGAGAGATGATCGAAAGAAGTAAAATGGATCTTCCTTTTCCTTTTTTTTTTTTTTTTTTGTAGCATTTACAATCATGATAACTGTATCTCCTTCTTTTTCTCCTTTTCCCCCTCTCTCCCTCCCTTCCTCTCTCTTCAATGGTGCCGCCTTCATTTACTGCTTCTATTTGTTTCATTCGATACTTTCCTTCATCTTCACAAGAAGCTATAAATCCACAACAATTAACTCATCACACTCTATAAAATCCACCATTAACCTTGACCATATTTAAAAGAATTTGAAGTTATCATGATGTTCTGAAAATTGTAAATCATTCATCGATTGAATCTTGTTTACTGATTAAACCATTTTGACAAGAACTCTCATCTCTTTATGCTAATAATTTTTTCTTCCTGTTCTTGTTAAAAACCATTCATAATAAATACATAACTTTTTCTTCCCTCCAATAAAGATGAAATATGGAAAACAGAAATTTAGATAAAGGAAAAAATAGAGTTGTTCATATTATGTAATTTATTAGCACAGGATTAAAATTTATATTGATAGCCTTTCATATTATTTATCAGCCCTGATACGTTTATCTTTAAATATCTTATTCTAGAAATATTAAACATCTTACTTGAGTTTTTATTTCTTTGGAATGCTCTCTTCACTCTATCAAATTCATATCCATTCATTACTGTGATCTATCTATCTATCTATATATATATATATAGATAGATAGATAGATCCAAAATACAGTAAATGCATAGAAAATTTGAATTCAAAAACTTTTATCATTGAAGAAAGAAATGCAGCAGAAACAGTGAAACAATCATTTTACAGTGACGAAAAAAGACATTTTTTTTAATGCACCATTTGATGTATATATATATATATGAAAAATAAGGCCTAACCAAAAAAAAAAAAACAATCAACAAATTGATGGACAAGCCTTCAACGGATTAACAACGATCCCGTAAAAAGAGAAAAACAAAAATATGGACAATAAACAAAAATGAGTTAAACAAGACGCTTGATCCTTTACTTTCTACATATCCATGAAACAATCCCCCTTTAATTTTATAACATTTTTTTTTTTTTCAAAGCGATTATAAAATAGAATAAAAAGAATGGAATATACAGATCAAAAATATCTGATGCACAGAATGACATCCTAATTATCAAAATATAAAACTAATACACTTATGTTGCTACTGGAAACAGAATACATGTAAAAGCTTAACAAAACAGCGTAACAAAATCTCAACACTTCCTTACTTTTTGTGAGATCAGAAAAGTTGAAATACCCAAAAAATTGACATGCAAAATAAAAAAAAAAACCAACACTTTTTAGACCGTACTAATGCTTTTTACTTAGGTATAACAGTGATGCTATTTAACCAGCAGAAAATACACAATTTAATGTAATTAATTGTACCCAACATTAATTACTTATATGCTGTAAAAGACTGAATACAAAAGAAAAGAAAGAGTAAACAAAAGTAATAAAATATGAAAATAATGCAAAAATAATTTTGAAAAGAAATAAGAAAACAAAGCTTTGCATGCTAAACAGACAAGGCCTTCGCTGAACAGTCCTGTTTGCTGGATCCAGAAGTCTGTGCACCACCCAAACCATTATGCTTCTAGAAACATACGTTATTGCAGAAATTATCTTCCGCAATGACAAGCCAACCAAAAATTTCGAAACTTTCTGAAGCAATAAATAGAAAAGAAAAAAAAAAGAAAAGGTAACGTACCAAAACCGTGTCTTTAATCTTTCTTTTGACACGTAGCGCAGTATGTCGACAATCGATGCTTGCACTCCAACATTCCTCTATTAGCTCACAGATTTCTTTTAGACATGGCTAAAATTAAAGCATGTAAAGTGGAGCTTTTAAAGATAGATATATGTTTAACTAAGAAAATTAATTCAAACAAATTCAAGTTAAGAAAAAAGTTAGGCTTTTAGAATGATGCAAAAAGAAATTACATCTCTCATCCAAGCATCCTCCAATAATGGCCTCTTGCCTTCGAAACAAACAAGTCTACGCATCTGTTCAAATGATGGATCCGGATCGACCATACCATCAAATGGTTGCATCGGAGGTCGCGCTTTCAATGACTGCAAATGATTTATATATATACTACTTAAATACAAACACATATACACAAATAAAAATCTCTTTACTGCAAACAAAAAACTTGAACACAGAAGACTGAATTTTAAACTGACCATCGAATTATCGGAAATACTTTGATGATCCACCACTACACTACTCGAAACATTGGTAACATATGTGAATATATCAGGATTTGCAATAAAGCCAGGCATAAGTTTTGCCGTCCCACTTCCACTACCACTGCTTCCAATACCACTGTCACTTTCCGAAGCTCTTGAAAGACAATTATCCTCCTGAAAAATTACGCTATAAAAATGCCTCTCACTTCATCATGCCCATATTAATTAAAACAGTGATACATTTCAGCTGTTTGCTAAAAGTCTACATCAAGATCGTTTCCAAAAGATTTACTGAGGAAGATTGCTAAATCAATTTTCTTTAGGCGTTGAAATAAATCTAGCAAAACCTAAAAGCAGATTCATGCTTCAATATTTCTTTTTTTTTGATGACAGCGAAATAGAATTTTATATTCATCGTTTTTTAAAATGGCCGAAACGAAACAATAATTAGAAACTGGAACTTTATTTAAAAAAATTATCTAACATACAAATATAATAATCGACTTCATCGCAAACTGACCTGAATTCGTCGCAGGATTTCCCAAATAACTAGCGCAAATGAATAAATATCAGCCATTTTAAAATGATGAAAATTTTTAACATTTAAAGATTTGTCAAGAACTTCCGGTGCCATATATCGTTTAGTACCCACTTGTATATTTATATCCATCCTAGTTTTCACCATATCCTCACTTAAAAAAAAATAATATTTTGCTCAATTTTTTTCTTGAAAAGGACTGATTACTCCTTAATCTCAAAAATTTTCTAAATAAAACAATTAAAATTGTGAAAGCAACATTAAAAAAAAAAAGATACATACGTTAATGCTAATCCAAAATCAGCTATGCAACAAACATAAGGCCTTTTAACGATGATATTTTTTGATTTCACATCACGATGTGCAATAGCCGGTTTCTGTGGTGTTCCCGTTCCATGTAAAGCACTATGCAAATGTTCTAGACCACAAACTGCACTGAAATTCAAAGGACTAGATAATACATTTTCCAGCACCATTTCTATGGAATGAAATTTTTGCACATAGATCTTTTGCAATTTACAAATCCATGAATTTTATATTCTACTCTTTCACTTTTTAACTTTTCTCTACAACAGCAATGTGTAGTTGCATTCGAAAATAAGTCTTACCTGTAGGCTAAATGTAAAGCTTCGCTCACCGACAGAGTTTCTCCACGTTGCAAATATTCAAAAAGAGAACCGTAAGCATGAAAATCCGTAATTAGAAGCATTCGAGTAATTGAATCTTCGCTTCCGATATCAGCAGCAACAAATTCTACACAAATCAAAATTAACAAACTCTTAGAAAGTCTAATAAGGTTATTTGTTCATAAACATAGCAATTATTTAATGGAATACTTACGTAATATATTCTCATGATTTAACATTTGCGTTTGATAGATCTCTTTTTCATTTTTCCATGAATCTTCTTCTGTAGTATAAAATGTCTGAAGAAAAAGCACTATTAAAATCAAAGTAACTGAATAAATAATACTTTCAACAAAACAGAAGATATCTTTCGACAAAAGAGATATCAAACCAACGAACAGTTTACCTTGACAGCAACAATACGATCACCACGATAACGTGCTTTCTTAACTTCACCGTAGCGTCCTTTACCTACTACAGATAAGAACTCAAGATCTTGAGCAACCGTGCGTTGATTTAAGCTCGCAAAACCAGAGCCTGAACCACTACTGAAACAAAATTTTGTTAAGTACATAAATAAAAGATAGAATCACAGATAAATAAAAGAGATGGAAAACGAAAACGACAAGCTAAAATACTGGAAATGCTGGAGTAAATAAAACGTTCATTACCTGATATCATATAGCATGGGAGCTTTTTCAATTTCACCCGTATCAATCGTTTGAAGCGTTGACTTCTGAAGCGATGGCTTCAGTTTTTCAGCTGTAAAATCTACCATTGCAACTATTTTAAGAACTGGTGACATATATTTCTACGTAACGTCCAAGTTAATCTATGACATTAAACGACTTTTTTTTGTTACAATTGAAAAAAAAAAAATTGAAAAATAAAAAATTAAAAAAAAATATCCATAATTCACATTTCATAAATCACCTATAATTCATACGAATGCAACGTTTCTTCAAATTTAAAAGAAGTTTTACCTATAATATCCCATCGCCAAAAGAGAAGTAATGCAATGCCAACGAATAGTGAAAAAAGTACAGCATATAAAATAATTGTAACTGTCACACAAGAAACGTAATGATCAACAATTACTCCTGAAAAATAAGTATCCTAAGCTTTCAATTCTTCTTTATATTTTCTGTTTCTTTTTTTTCAGTCGTGTAATAAAAAAAATTTTTCAACAATCTATGAAATACCTTCAGGTGAAACATTTACGTAAGCTGGGACAGACAAATTACGATTACAATAATTTCCTTCTTGACAGCATGCAATACTTTTTGGTCGAGCATGTGCAACCAAATGGGCTTTACACTGAAAAATACTTATTGGAAGTTAGTATTTTAAACTTATTAAATAATCAACATGTAACTGGGATTATGCGTATTCCATTTCTCCGAATAGTGGTTTTTTGTTTTCTAATTAAAATTAGAAATAAGACTTACAACTTTAAATCTAATTTATAATTCAAAAAAATGTCATATATGGTGATATATTCATAAATGATATATTCTAAGGCTTAGAAATGGTAGTTAATACCATAAG